CGAGCTCCATTTTTACTGAAAAAGCAGCTGTCTATGATGTCAATTTATCGTGGGGAATGGTTGTATAAAGTGTTGAAAAGTAGTACGTTTTGATGTTATTGATTTTGTAAAATTTTGTGATTTCAAATTTTCTAAAAGTACTGGAAATGTACCTTTATCCCTCAAACTTCTTTAATTTTAAAATAATTCTGTATTTTTTGCAGTTATGTAATAAATTTCTTTTTGGACAAACAGGTTTGCTTAAGAAACTATATTTTCTGGCTCAGAGTAGTATATGCTAAATAAGGTATCATAGTCATTTATAAACCAACAAATCAACTAAATGAGTTGAATTGCATAATGGTTTGCTTCGAATACTACAAGGAATATCTCATTTTCTACTCACTGATGGAAAAACACCATTATTTTTCATGCATTTCGAAAATGCCTTAAAAATACAATTTTATTATATCAGTGTAATATAGAGATAATGACCCCTAATCATATTTCAAGTCTATTAAAGCAATACAAATCGGGAGCAAAGCAGACAGACCTCTAAAAACATCAGAGGTGGGATCAGGTGCAATGGAGGGGTTAGCATCTTTTGTCGACCGGTAACATCCGCCGTGATGGTAAACAGAAAATCCGTAGACCATTCAGTGTGAAAATAATGGCCCTACAATTTGTATGAAAATTGCCAGTCAATATTCGACGTAATATTAGATTGTATTGCATGTTTGACTTGCTGACAAGGTCATTAAATCGACCATAGAATTAGGGAAATGTTGACTTTAAGGCATTCAATGTATAACGACCATATTTTGTACCTAATAAATGAATGGTCCGAAATGATTAATCATGGTAGCATTTTGAAGGTGTTATGAAATAAACATGCTCCACTAAAGGAATTTACAAAAATTTAATTATTGTCCAATTTATTTCACCTTAAATTTTACATTGACGTTCATGGACAGCGCATATTTTATTAAGATACGAGGGTTGTCCAAAAAGTTCGTGGACAATGGCGTTTTTGTCAAAATGAATGGTTCAAGAAATGCTTATTGTATACCAAAATATTAGTTATGAAAATCCAAGTCGGAATAGTTTGGTTTTTACTGTTTGAACTTAATATTTTTGTAAAAATCTCGGTCATTAAAGGTCGCCGATAGTGCGTACGGACCAGGGTTAAAAATGCCATGAACTTTTAAATAAAGTGATCTGATTGAAATGATTATTTTCTTTTTAAAACGAGTCAAAGCTGAATAAAAATTTAATATATCACAAATAAAGCGGTTATCGCCATTTTCTGATACCTTTAGTATCGCTTACTAAATAGACAATGAAAATATTAAGTGAAAACCGCAAGAAGTATGTTTCAAAAATTGACAGAAAAAGAGACGTCGGCCATCCGAACGGGACAGCGTCCAATCATACAATTAAGGTGAATATGCTTGAAACGTCGTCAAAAACAAAATATTTATTCAAACAACTTAAATTTATTGGAAAATATTTAGTCTAGTGATTTGTAATTGGTGTATATGATTTTTCAACGGTGTTTTAAGTGACCTCTAAATTTTAGGGTCACGTAGAGGCCTGCATTAACTTCATATGCAGGTGATAATGATATATTCCTATATAATTAAGTGAAGTTGACAATGGAACAATTGAAGTCATCATACAGTTTTGTTGTTTTACCATCAATGTCTCTTTCTAGTAAAATATCCAAATATAAAACAGACGTGCCAGACTCTGTCTTTTATCTCGAGTTCAAAAGGATATATCGAATCAACGTAGGAATTAAAATGAATATTGTTTATAGATAAGACTTTTTGATGTATCTAAATGTTGAATTGAAGGCGACAGCAAAAGACTTTTTATCATGTAGTTTTTTAAAGAATTCTGCTTCATATGAATACAAAAAATACGCCTGCTGATAACGGGGCGCAATTGGCACCCATGGCAATCCCCAGAGATTGATGGAAGACTTGATCTCCAAAAACTACAAAGATATTGTCAATCAGAAAGTCAAGCACCATTTTAATATCATCTTTGGAGTATTTGTGTGAACAATAAGAATTTTTTCCAACAAAAACATTTTGCAAATGACTAATGACAAGGTAAATAAATTTAGAAGTTCGGTTTTTGTTTAAAAAGCAGGTGTCTATAATGATTATCTTTTATTTATCGTGGGAAATAGTTGTATAAAGTGTTAAAAAGTCGTTATTGATTTTGGTAAAATTTTGTGATTTCAAATTTTCTGAAGGTTCTTTGGAGTTTTTAAGTATCCTAATTTACACAACTTCTCAAATTTATTGTTTTACAGTATTCCTGAATTTTCTCATTCACTGCTTTTACTACTAAATGGAAAGAGGCTTGAACATTTACTGTAATCCGCTATATATCTCTATTTGTAAGGATTTTTATGTAGTTAGGAATCCAGTATAGGTATGGTCATTTAAATTCAATTTGATTGTTCGGAATATTTAACATATTTAAAACAGGCATATATACACAGACTTTAGCAATTGCCTGTTTGCTTCCAATTTATTTGAAGAAGCTTATTCTGTCCTGCAACCATTGATTGGATCAACCAGGACCATGCGTCTCGAAATAAATAGCATTAACTTTCGTAGAGGTGTTTCCCGTGCAAAAAAGTTCTTCTGACCCTCAATTCGACATTTAGATATATCTGAGGCTTTTTATAAATTTACAATATTCGTTTTCATTTATGGTTTACTGTAAAAAAAAAAACTTACAATTAAAATAGGCAAGAGAACATGCGTACAATTTTTAGAACGAGGGAGATTACTGAGCGTGTAAATGGTGAAGATAAGGAACAGTAATAAATCTCATAAATCCATTAAGCAAAACAAATCGTGAACATGGTATAAACATGAAACCCTGGAAGTACCAGAGGGAGGATCAGGAGCCTAGGAGAAGTAGGCATCCCTTTCGATGTCTCACACCCGCCATGAGCCCTATGTACTGGTTAGTTAAATAGTGTACTCCTTAGTCAAATTTAGTATAAAAGAAAGGACTTAACAAATGCTATGAATTATGTCAGGCAAAGTAAGACCTAACAAAAGGCTGTAATTAAAAGCAGTCATTAAATTGACTTTAGAATTTTTAAATGGGGTTGTTGAAATCCTTGTAACATCAACTTACTTGACAACTAAGTGGATGATACCAGGATATCAACAATCTTGTTTTACTTCAATGTTTTGCAAATTCTATGGTTGTTACAGTGGCATTGTTTGGAAATTCAATGAAATATGGAGATAACGAACAGTATTAAAGCTCAAAAGTCCATTCAAATAAAACAAATCAGGAGTAGAGCAAACACGGACCTCTAAAACATCAGAGATGGGATATAATAAAGGGTACACGGCACGAGTAGCCGGTCCACAGGTAATGCTCCCTCCCCCATGGCACTTGATCCTACCACTTGATGTATTTATAGATTGGTGTTTGCTCAGCTCACAATTTGTATTGTTTTACTCAACTTTTGAGCATGATCACTGTTCGTTATCTTCATATTTCATAGAAAGCCCAGTTAATGGAAGATCGTGACATTAATCTGAAAATCTTTAGGTATAATGTCATAAATTCGATCGTTTAGGTAAACCAAAGGAGACCAGACTGACTGAACTTGCCTCGCGGTTGTCCGGATTCATTTCAAATTAATTAGATATCAACATTAAAATTCAAAATGTAAATAAATAGAGTTTAGTAGCTTAGTTGTAGTGCTAGATGTTTTTGTTTTCATCTGTTTTGTATTTTATGACTTTTTAACCTCTTCTATGATTGAACTTAAATGCCAAGATTATGTCTGTATAAGTGCATTGTCATATAAAGGTTGATTATATCCTGCATAATGCCAGGTTTGTATCTTTTGTATGCTAACAATTTGTATTGTAGTTGAACCATGAATGGCCTGCTTCAAAATTAAACAGTTCTTTACTCAATTTTCAACGTTGAAATTTGATATAGCGATGGAGTCCAGAGGTTACTAGGTATTTCATCAGAGGCTTCGGTTTGTACTTAAGGTCAGATGACACGTTCCTCAAAAACATATATTTCCCAAGAATTTGTCGCTCAAGTTTTGCTACTTAAACAAAATTTCTCATAGAATATTAAGGTACCTTACCAGGCATTTGTGCAAGATACCAGAGGGCGCTAATTCTTTTATAATCCTAATGGGTAATCTTTTGAACTGCCCATGTCACAATTTTTGGTGTAGTTATTTTTAAAAAACATTGAAAACATTTTACAAATCAAAAGAATATGACAATTATGAATATTTTCTTATATAATACCAAGAAAAAAAAACATATATTTGAGGTACGTGTCGTCTGATTTTAAAACTTTTGGAATACAGCTTCTTTTTTCCGCAAGCTTTGAAAATAGAGAGAGAGAGAGAGATTAAATCCCATTTATTATGCAACTTTAAATTAAGATTCAAAAACTTTAAGATTAGTAGAAAAATTTGTACACACAAATCCAGAATAAAATAACAGAAAGACACGGTAGAAAGAAAATATGAAAGATTACAAATTAAAAATTATAACGAAATTTAAATAGATAACGATGCAATGAAACTGAAAAAAATGACCTCGTATGAAGGGAGTCGAAAAATAAACAAAAATATATACATTGTACAATAAGAGCAAAACTATAAAGACTTAAGATTCAAACTCATTGACTAATGAAATATACAAATATATTACGTATAGACGGTTGTTCTCTGTTTCATTAATAGATATTACTATTAAATGCATAAATAACCTGAAAAAAAAATATGTTACATATAAGTTGATATCTAATAACTCTAGAAAGTTAATAAATAACTATTTATTCTAGAAGGAAGTGGAGTTTGTTCATGGTTTATGAGCTATATCATTTTATGAAATATCAGATCATTACATCTTCTATTCATAGCTGACAAATTCAATCCAAAATTAAATTCTGATCCGAATTCACATAAAAAGAAGGTGAATACATCCATAACAGATCATTTTTATAAATTCAATAAAGGCGAACATAATTTATCTATCAAAAAAAAAAAGGAAAGAAAAAAAACAAATCCAATTTTTTCTTTAGCACTATTTGTTAAAGATTTAATATTTTACAACTGATTATAATAATATGATATGAAGGAGATATTTTGCGACTAATCAATATATGATAGGAAGTTTAAGAGCAGCCATTAGTATTGCACTTCAAACAAAACCAAAAAATATAAATTTTAAAAGGTAATACCTAGTGAAATCAACGGTATCATAATTAATGAATCACAGCTTACTTTAAATACATAAAATATTTATATTTAACAAATATTTCAAAAAATAAATCACTAGGTGTCGAATAAATAATGTCCATAACATTTCTGGAGATTGACACGTAATCAAGCGCTCTCTGTTTTCTTTTCCTTTTTCTCTTCCTTTCCATTGAACCACTCCTTAATTAATCCTCCCACCATCACCATGGCTCCCCCGACCATCATCCAGGTCAAGGCCGTGTTGGCCTATAAATAGAAAACATTTCAATTGATAACCTGTATTTAGTAACTTGACATAGAGAATTTATCTGATGACCACTACAAGGAATTATTATAAATTCATTTCTGAACACGCACCTGTTCTGACCAGTTCACTCCGTATCTACAGTAGGCAGCAAAATGCTCACAGTTATTCCACAGTACATTGTAGCCAATCTTTCCAATTTTCATCAAAGCTTCTTCAACAATTTCATGTGCTGGACGTGGTCTACATGTTTTCAAAAAATATTAGGTCATATAAAAAACATAATTCTTTGGAAATTTATGAGTAATACCGACGTCGTATGCCCAAATAAATGCATTACAAAGGCATTTAGAAAAATCTGGATTTCATGCATATTAGTTTCGAAAAAAGTCAAATATCTAACAACTGACAAAAGTCCAACGAAAATGTAAACTTAAAAAGTAGGTGAGCCTGTTCTCATTAAATTCATTTAAGAAAGGAATGTATTTGAAAAGGGTGTCCTTATGCTCATGCAGTTTTGTTTCAATAAATGGCTAGAGCTTTCCATGTTGCCAGTCTGCGTCTTACAAAGTTATGGAGAATTATTTTCCATTTTTCAAACGTTTAGCAATTTGTAAAATTTCACAAATAGACTTTAAAACTTTTGCCAATTTTACTTAACTGGATTGACAGAATTATGTAGAAAATGATGCATTTTCTTGGAATTCAATTTGAAATCATATCAAAAGGAACCCCGATACCTATATTCAATTTAATATCATTTTAAAGAAGAGGTCAAGAAGTTATGAAAACCATTTTCTGAGAGACTGTAGGCAATATTGATACCTTTTCTTTGTCTGAGATGGAGAAAACTTTCATTTTTTTTTTATCTGATTTTCTCCATTTTTTAATCAAAAAGGGCAGTTTAAAATATGTTTTTGTTGAGTTTATCTAAAAATTACGCCCAGATACACCTTAATTTATAAAGCTATATTTGTAAGGGATTGTTAAAGGAATTTGTTTCTTTAATTTGAAAAATATGTAGGCACTCTTCATTTACTACTGTAGATCTTGACCTTAAATAAACATTTTATATCTGCCATTTAAAAATAACAAACACAATCTTAATGTTTTGTGAAAGCAACTTCATCTACTTCGTACTATATTTATTGTTTTACCTGCATTTTCTGTCTTTGTTGTTGTTTATTTCGGCCTTGGAATCCAGAACCACCTCCCAGAAATTCTCCCGTTTGACCACTGCCTTGTTGAAGGTTTTCCCACAAATGGTAAATACATGCTGTGTTTTTATGTTACCATTGATACCGTCATTTTCATCACCGGCTAAATGTACAACTTCCTCATTTCCTGTCAAAAACAAGAGGTGATTATAGTTTCAATAAAAAGTTTATGCTTGATATACATCGTTATTCATTGTCTATAGTACACATGTACTTATATCCATCCCTAAGGACCTTGTAACTATGTGATGAACTATCTCTGAAATCCCGTTGGATACTTGTGCTTTTGTCCTATAATTGTGTTTCTTGTGAATCTTTTGAAGTACTGTAGGTCCATTCCTCTGCGTACATTTCACCAGTGCAATTACTACGTATCTGTTAATTTTTATTCCCTGGTATATATGATATTTGCACACATGTCTGCACTATGGGTTTATATGTAGCTATATTGATAACCTGGTCCCTTGCCCGAAATGAAAGTTACATGTAGGGCCATTCCAAGTTTTTTCTATGTTTAGCGTCCGCGTGCGCCTTGGTTTCTGACACCCCATATCAGAAAAAAAAAACAAAATCAGGGGTCCTAAAATTGATTATTCTGGTCGAAATCTTTGAATTCTTTCAATTTTTCTATATATTTGTCTACAATATGTCGTATTAGGTATATTTTAAGCAATTTATACCTTAGTTTTGCAAAAGAATAAATCTTTCTACAAGAAAAAAATCTTAATGAAATTATATCCTTCGACAATGTAATTTGTAAGACTTTAAAGTCTGTGTTTTTATTTTTTGGTTTGTGTGGGTTTTTTTGCGAATAGGTAGGTAGGATTTTGAAAGATGGGTGGGCGCTAAACAGAGAAAAAAAACTTGGAATGGCCTAGTTGTAGCAACCCGAAATGAAAGTTACATATATAAGTTGGAGCAATCGATGAAAATTTTGTAGTTGGCAATCCTTGAGCAAAAACGGATTTAATACAGTTTGAATTTACGATTTTTAAAATGTCATTAAGTTAAATTTGCATTTATACTATCTTACTGACCAATAACAAAAAAGAAGGATTTAACATTTTACGTCGTATGAGGTACATTATGGGATTTTATACTATAAAGTTTCAATCATTTACTTTACACTTCAAGCCGTTCAAATTACGTTAACCAGTAAGTTCTTATATTTCGTTGTTACATTCTAATAACTATTATCTGATTTAACCCATAATTGTCTATCCTGTTGTATTCAAATCAGTTATACATCCAGCAAATTATAATATTGCTACAAGTACACACATGACAGCTGCATGATATTGAACAGTTGTTGAAAGATCGATATGTCAATCACATATTAAACAATATCGATGTATTTTGCTTTAATTAATTAAAAACAACCTTACCTAAATAGACAGCCCAGTGGGAGTACCATCCACGGGGAAACTCCAGTAAATCTCCTGCTTTTGCTCTGGTCAGAACGCTTCTGTTGTGAGCTTCGTGTGTTTTCGCTGTCATGTTGACATTTTTTGGAATCCCGGGAAGATGTGCGTACAATTTCACCTACAGATTCCTCACTTAAAAGATATAAAATTTTGTATTCTGTTCCAATCAATACAATTTAAGTACTGTGAGTACTGAGTACTACGAATTTATCACCAGTTAGTTTACAAAGTAAACGGTTATTCCGACGACATTATCGTACGTAATTTCTATTTATAGAAACATTTGACAGGTGAAAAGGTAGATAACTCTTAAACAGCTCATTACCGTTATAGTGGCCATTTTTAATGCACCAAAATTTTATATAGTAGCTCTTTTGATATTGAAATTTTTTTTAATCATTTTAAGGTATTTTAACAGTTTTTTTTTTATTTTTTTACCCTAAAAAATAAATTGCAAAACTTGTCTTGGTTTCCATGTAAGATTTTATACCTTGAGTAATATATATATATGTAAATAAATCAACATGATAAGCTTTTAATTTTATTCGGAGATATATATATATGTATTATCTGTGGATGAAATTTTCAAGAAACGTACTGACCTTCAGAAAAAAAAATTAGGCAAGCATATTTTTAAAAGAAGTAATGACAAGTGATTCAAATGAATATGCAAAATTTATGAAATATTACAAATTTTCAAATTTTAACCAATCCCGATGAAACTAAATTGATACCGATCGGCATAATTATAAAGTGGAAATATATAATAATTAACAACAAGGTGGACAAGGACGTAATCTTACAGCTAGGGGGAAATATTCATTCATTCTTTATTTCCTCCTGTTAGAGATTCATTTTATACAAAATACAGTCGAAGAAAGTAATTTCACATAAGTGCTAATATGTAAATGAGTGCAAAAGTCCTTTCTGTCTGACATATATATTTTTCTTTGCTTCCAAAAAGCTACAAAACATTTGTTTTCATAATTTCATTACATGTACTTCAGGTAAGAGAGTTACAAGAGGAAGTTCTATTTTGTAGAATTATATATATATATATATATATATATATATATATATATATATATATATATATATATATATATATATATATATATATATATAAGTACTTGGTAATTATTAGTCTACAATAAAAAAAAATCAAAAAATATTTAATTCATTATTTATTTCATATGTAGAGAAATCTAATATCGTAATAACCTTACTAGTAATTTCTCAAAGCAAAAAAAAAAATAAAATAAATAAATAAAAAAAAAAAAATTAAATTAAATTTAAATAAAAAATCTTCTATCACAGTCACTTAGTTGCTTGAAATATTACTTCATATATGCACTACATATAGTACTTCAAATGTACAATAATTTACAAGGCCGTAGGAACCGGGGGGGGGGGGGGGCGTGCCCCCAATAATTTTGCCGATATATAGAATACTATAGAAAACATAGCTTCTGTATGCTTGTGCCCCCTCAAAATAACGTCTGATGACCTTTTTTTTTTTTTTTTTTTGCTTGTCAAGGAATTTTGGTAGTTGATAGTGCCCCCCCTCCCAACTGAAAATTTACGTTTGTGCCCCTTCAAAGTGAAATTGCTTCCTACGGGCCTGTGGCCCTTTTCACAAAACATCCTACGACTAAGATAAAAATTTGACAACTCTGTAATTTTTTGTTAAATAAATATATTGATTTTTTTCGTAAATAATTTTACAATGTAATCTGATGTAATAAAAATGTAAGACTTTTTAATGTCCTACTATAGCTTAGATACTTTTTGCAGAAGGGGAATATTTTTGTCTTAGTCGTAAGATTTTTTGTGAAAAGGGCCACTGATTTTAAAAAATGTAACTGTAAATTTTAAGTTCTTCGCATGCTCCACAGCTGGGTTGGTAAATGTTGGCAACTCGCCAGGATGATCGGTTTGTAACTGTCCACTATGGTCAGACAGAGTCCACTTTCACTGTGTATCATTTGTCCTGACTGAAAATTTCAGAAAGTTATTAAGCAAGATACATGACTACAACAATAATAAAAACAACTCGTAAATATGTTAAAATATAATAAAACAATCAGTTCTTAGTTGATGATCATTTTACGGAGAGAACATTTCCTTTTTTGTTGTCCCTGCTTTCGCGATTCAAGCGAGGGGGACATTTCATCTCATTCGTCTGTCTAGCTATCGGTCTGTTACAAAAACTTTAACCTTGGTCATAACTTTTTAATAAGAAAAGATAGGGCTTTCATATTTTACATGTACATTACCTGTGACAAGACCTTCCAAATATACTATAATTTTTTACCCCGTAACCTTGACCTTGAAGTTTGACCTACTTTTAAAAATTTTTAACATTACTTTAAATTGGTCATAACTTTTGAATGAGAAAAGATTGGGCTTTCATATCAAAAATGTGTATTACCCTTGACAAGACCTTTCAAAATGTACTATTATTTTTAACCCTGTGATCTTGACCTTGAAGTTTGACCTACTTTTCAAAAATTTTATCTTTGCTTATAACTTTTGATTTAGAAGAGATAAGGCTTTTGTGTTTCACATTTGCAGTACCTGTGACAAGACCTTTTCAAATATACTACGATTTTTCACCCTGTGACTTGACCTTGAAATTTTAAAATTACTTTGAATTGGTCATAAAATTTGAATGAGAAGAGATAGTGCTTTCATATTACATATGTACATTACCTGTGACAAGACCTTTCCAAATGTTTTATGGTTTTTGATCCTGTGCCCTTGACCTTGAAGTTTGACTTACTTTTCATAAATTTTATCATTGCTTATAACTTTTGATTGAGAAATGATAGGACTTTCCTATTTGACATGTGCATTACCTGTGAGAAGACGTTTCCGAACATGCAATGATTTTGACCCCTTGAACTTGGCTTTTATGTTTGAATTTAAAAAAAAAATTACTTTAGTGATTACTCTTGAATGAGATATGAGAGGGCGTTCATATCTAAGAAGTGCATTACCTGTGTCAAAATGTTTCCAAATGTGCTATGATATTTGACCCCATGACCTTGACCTTCAAGTTCGACCTAATTTTCAAACATTTTATCAGTGTTAATAACTTTTGAAGGAGCGAAGATAGAGCATTTATATTTGATACGTGCATTACCTGTGACAAGCATTTCCAAATGTACTATGGTTTTTTTAACCCATGACCTTAACCTTGAAGTTTGACCTATTTTTTTTAAAATTAACATTACTGATAACTTTTGACTGAGAGAAGACACGGCATTTACATTTGACATGTCCATTACCTGTTTCAAAACCTTTCCGATTGTATACTCTGGTTTTTGATTATTTTTTTTTTCACATGTGCATTACTTGTGACAAGACCTTTCGGATTATATTATGATATTTGACCTCATGACCTTGATCTTGAAGTTTGATGTAGTTTTTAGAAGCTATAATCTTTTTCATAACTGTGATTAATTCAATAGTTTATGTCTTTTTTTTGTATGATATGCTCATACAAGACAGGACACACAAACAAGACAGTTACAATATGCCATAAATAATAGCATCCCATCCACTAAGACACCGAAAGCGGAGGAATACAATTCTTTGAATTTGCTTGTTGTACTGTAATCGAACTTAGGGCACACTCTTGTGTTAAAAAAAATATCGAAAAGTTAGAGAAAGATCCTAACCCCTAACCCCTTACAAAAAACAAGATTTTCGAGTTTGGTAAGTTGGTATTTGAAATGTTTAAAGCCCTGTCTATTCTATACTTATCTTTCATAAGAAATTCTGTTCAAACGTTTATCAACACGTTAAACCACTGCCATAACATACCAGGTCGTATGGCCATTTCTTTTCTGAAGCTGTTTGTTGTAATTATCTCATTGATTATATTCATTATAGTTCCTGGTTAAAATCTCATTAATTACAATATCTAAGGAAACCGCCCTCACATACCTGGTCGTATGACCATTCCTGATTGTTGCTGACGCCACAGGATTGTACAGCAACATTGTTGTCCTTCTTCAAGCAACACATCATTCCATGACGTAATTCATTATTTGCGGACATTTCCCAGTACTACAAAATATGAGAAAGTGTGCATGCTAAACTATAATATGATACATACTAGTATATAGGATAGCCCAGAGGCCCAGAGGTAGAATGTTTGACATCATAAAATGTCAACAATATCTTAATATATCTAAATATTTCAGAAATTTTATATTTTATTTCATTTACAATCAAAAAGTAGGTCTAAAATATATACCAAATTATGCATCCTTTTTTGGTAGCATCTGTTCTTAAATTTTAAAATAAAGAATGAGTGAAATCAGATTGTTAGATTTTTATTTACATTACTTCAAAGTGTAGATTTCGGGTCTTTTTATTTTCAATTGATTCACTGATATATCAAAATATACTTTAGGACAGATGATACCAAAAAAAAAAAAAAAAAAAAAATAGATGTCTGGATTGGTATATATTTTTGGGCTAATGTGGTTGTAAATAATGCAAATATCAAAGTCTTAAATACTTAGAAATTGTATTTACTTTCTACGATGTTCAAAATTTTACCTTTCTGTAATCATCCTTATAAATATAAAATCTATACAACTTTGTATTACTCATGCAAAGACATTATTGTTGAGAGAAAAATAAAAAATCTGGGAGGTAAAACTTATTCATTTTAATTACATAAATCTGACTAAAGATTTTATATCTTATTTTTTTTTTTAATTTGTATAATTCATTCTTAAATAAAAAAAAATCTTTATATAAAAAAGCTTCTAAAATAAGCCTAGCTGAAATAGTTATTCCAGTGGAAAATATACATGCGATAGTTTTTCCATTCACCCTTTTTTAATGAAAAAAAATTTACCTACAATTCAAGACAACTTAACTGCTCTGAGTGTTTAGAGATATAAGAAATTTTGTTTCCTATAAGCTTAAAGGTATGTCATAGTCTTGTCTTAGTTCAAACTCTAGAGTCATGTCGAGAGGATATGAATATTACACACAATGCATTCTTCATCGCGCTACCACAAGCCTCATATCTGAGTTTCGAAAAAAACATAGGATGTAGCCAAGTTTCATGCCAAGGAAAACATTTACTTAAGCTCTAAACGCTTATGACCTTTTTTTTAATTTTAGAAAATTGTATAATATAAAGGTGTACCAAATGAGTTTATCTTTTTTTCATTTTCAACAAAGCCTACACCAGGAAAAATGTTCAAAGACAATGATATATGTGGAGATATCGAACAGTATTCGAGCTCAAAAGTCTATTATACATTACAAAATAGGAGCAGAGCAAAAACGGACCTCTAAGACATCAGAAGTGGGATCAGGTGCCACGAAGGAGTGAGCATCCCCTGCCGACCGGTCACGCCCGCCGTGTGCTCCTTGTCATGATCGGGAAATAACGGGAAAATCCGTCGACAATTCAGTGTGTAAATAACGGCCTAACAATTAGTATGAAAAAAGTCAGTCAGCATTTGACTTAATGATAGATTGTATTTGCTGACAAGGTCATTGTATCGACGAATGAATTACTGATGAATGGAAATCATCTTACAAGAAAGAGCAGATCACATAAAACTACCAATCGGAGTTCCTCTCGTGGCTCGTACCTCGCACACTAATATTTGTATGGAGCAAAGCAGAGTCAGCCGAGGATTTCCGAATGTAAAACTACCATGAACTAGAACTCTGCACTGCATGTGCAGTATTTGGATCTTCCTTAAGTTGCTTTGATATAAAAGATCTGATTATGAAACATCCAAATCAAACTTAGGGGCTGAAATGTTTTCTTACCCAAATAACTATTTGACGGATACATGAGGTATGGTTTATTGGATATATCGATAAACCCACAAGATGGATAAAAGATTCACAAAAGAATATGACTCCATTGTACGCAAGGAACCAATTTTTTAAGTAATAAACCACGTGGAGACATAAATACCTGCGGTCCACCAGAGTGGTGACAAGGGTAGGCAAGCAAGAGTTCATTAGAACCATAGCCATTTGTCCTACCATCTACACAAAGGTTAGACGCATTGTTCTGTATCTGTAAAAGATGAGACGCATTTCTCTCTATCTGATAAAGATTAAACACTGGATGTTTTTATCTGTTAAAGATTAAACACATTGTTTTTTTTATCTGTTAAAGATTAGACACATTGTGTTTTTATCTGTTAAAGATTAGACACAGCGTGTTTTTATCTGTTATAGATTACACACATTGTATTGTTATCTGTTAAAAAAAAATAGACATATTGTTCTGTATCAATTATGCACATTTATCTACACATTCTTCTGTATCTTTTATAGAATATACGCATATTTCTGTATCATTCTGTTAAAGATAAGACGCATTGTGTTGTATCGGCAAGAGAAGCATTATTCTTATCTCTAGGATCAAAATTCAGATGTGCAGCATCTCTTCATCTTAATTCGTGGAGAAAACATGGTCAAAGAGGGTTCAAATGTTTTATTATCAGATGTGACGAAATAAGACAAACTGTACTATATGGTGTCTCGATAGGGCCACTTGCAAAAGTGTAACAGCGCGTTAGGAACAACGCGCTAGCGGGCAAACGGCTCTATTGGGGCACCATAGCACTGAAATAGAAATTAAAGGCACGATTTAATTTACCATTCCTTTGGCCTTTAAATTTTCGGGAACGTAATAGTGTACATATTGGCGTATAGTGTCTAAAAAGTATTGGAAAGATCTGCAGTTGTTCTTTTTTCTGATCATCAGCCTTTCCGTAATGTCTCCACTCTGGAGTTCCTGTCACAAATAAAAATACATTTGTACATAAAGCATCAGATTTATTAAATTACAGAAACACATCACATATCTCTGTGAAGCAATCAAATTTAAATCAGGTTAAGTAGAATTAATCATCTGATGGAATCCTATTTGTATTCAATTTGATGTTTAAAAAAATTTAAAACGTTGACAATGGTTTCTAAAAATTAACTGATAATTCTTATTTTTTATATTATCTTTGATTATTTATTGATATATTGTTTATTTGCAAAAGGATTGAGGTAAGATAAGTTTCAAATTTCGTCTCAGTTTATAATAATTGTTTGGATAATGTTTTACTTAAGATTGTTAGATGACTCATGCATTATAACCAGTATAAATTTACAAAATAAAAAAAGTTATTAAAAATGATTGATTGGAACAATTTGTCTTTTTTGAAATTTTATTCAAATTTTATAGTCTTTGTGCTTAAAAACATAAGGTGCAAGCTAGAGTATCTGTATTATCGTGTATGTATCTTAAACATGAATAAAACATGCCAATAGATTATACATGCAAGGGACCATCTCTTGTGCTTTATACCAAATTAATACTAATTCATTTTCTTAAATGAAGGTTAAAGCGACTATTTTTAAGTACATTATTTAGATTCAAAGTTGGACACAATTAATTCTGTAACAATATCGACTGCCAGTTACAGTTCTACTTGCCGTTTTGCCTGACATTTCTTTAAATACTTCGGCGTAATCGTCCATCCAGACGCCAATGACTCTATCGTTGTTGTTTGTCTTTGCCTTGTTCAGATCTTTTACCCAGGCCACGTTCCGATACAGGTGGGCGGCGTTAGAGCACGGTATCATCTCCACTGACCCACCACATTGCCACACCTACTGAAAATGATACAAAAAAGTCAGAATTTTTGTGGTAATATATATATAGAGAGAGAGAGAGAGAAGATATTCAATATGGAATTTATTTCACGAGTGGGACAGGATTTTTTTTAATATTTTCACCAGTGCGAAGCACGAGTGAAAATATCAAAAAACCCTGTCTCACGAGTGAAATAAATTCCATATTCATCCACAAAACATTGAATTTTCTGTTTATTACATTTTCTTAGATTTCCCTTTGCCTCTGTCTTTTCGTAACATAGTGTCATAGGATGTGACGTCATAGTTGATATATGATTACAAGATTGAAAAATGTTGTAAACATGGATTTTTAACGACATATTTGGAAAAAACTTTGGCAGTATAACTATTAGTTTCTGTCAGAATGGTTCATTAACTCTATCTTATAACAGGCCGGGTATTTTTTTTAAAAAACACTCTTCGTGAAGGGAAGGAAAATCGTAAGTTTTGCCGCACTTCTGATATTCTCACACTGTGAGAATACCATTTTGATACCCTTTCACACTGTGTCAAAATACCATTTTTATTCGGTAAATAAATTACAGTATTTCACTGTTGAAAATGTAATATATATATATATTAAAAAAATATAAAAATATAAAAAGAAAACACAAAAATCCTCTGTAAAGTTTTAGCGCTTTCATTAAAAATCTTCAGAAGCTTTATATATATATATACATCATTGTAATTCTTTAAAAGTGAACGTCAAAAATTTAATGAACATATTTATCACAATTTTTACCGGGCCTCCTTCAAGCTTTACTTGCTGTCATCAGAGCACTTTCTATTTAAGAAACAATGATAAAAAGAAACCCTTCCCACCCCTGAACTTGATATCTGATGTCATTCTGATAAACACTTTAAAAAAAACTTTTGTCCTAACATTTGGCAGTCTATTTTTAGCATTCAAATTATTTGAAATTTAATCCTAGAATACGTACATCAGTACTTTGAGTAGCTGCAGAACTGTACTCTCCAATTACAAAACCATTGACAGACCGGAGAGCTACAGTGCCACCGTATTGTCTTCATACCCAAAATGACAGTTTTAATACTGAGTAAGCAAAATTTTCCATGGTTTCAATTCAGACTCAGGGATGGGGTGTGGGGTGGGGGCTATTAAGAACTGTTATTAGTCCCCTACCGGTGAAACCGGAGGGGACTATAGGTTTCCTCTGAGTCTGTCCGTCCGTCTGTCCGTCTGTCTGTCCGTCTGTCCCTCTGTCTGTCCCACTTGTTTGGACTGTTTTGTTGTGAAATTAGTTATTTAAAATGAATATGTAAGGAAACACGGTTAGTTATATTTTGAGATGACAGCTTGAATATACGGAGAGAAAATGAAGAACACTTTTTATTGGGTGGCATAGTAGTTCTGCGGTTGTCCATCCGGACCAGCGAGCTACAGATCTGAAGCTAATCATTGGTCAATTAAATAACTTATAAAATAATTTCCTGATGTTTTTAAATACAATGTACATGTAGTTTTCAATATTATATGTTGCCTAAGAATACTTTAGCAGATCTTGAACAAGTAGCTGAATTATACTCTCATGATTGACTGACCTTGATAGAAAGCTCGTATTGTTCAGCTCCCCAGACTTTCATTCCAAGGTCAAACCCCCCAAGACTCTGGAAAAACGTCTTGTTGATTCCGAAAGCCATACCTTGAATACCAGGTGCTCTGAAAAATAAGAATTAAAATATTCTCACAATTCATCTCAGCTTCGTCTCACAAAATTAACATAATTTTTTCATAATTTCTAAAAATGGTCAACAGATCAAGCACCAATGTTAAAATCGTCAAGCATTTTTTGAAATAATTCCCTTTTGAGGCTGTAAGGATATGGCGTAAACGAAACTTTTTGCAAGTAATAGACTATAAATTTTAAGTATGACTTTGATTATATTATGACATACCGACCAAGAGGGAATGGTTCTACTATTTCTATGAACAAGACCTTGAATAGAGGTCAATGCAAAGAACGAAGATAACGAACAGTGATCGATCTTTAAAAAATCTATTTAAAAAAATACTAAATCGTGAAGAGGTCTAAATATGGACCCATGGAAATTCCAGAGGTGAGATCAGGTGCCAATCATACATATCATATTGATTCTAAACATGACCTGAATACTGGCCATAATATAATAACCAGAAAGTACGTTTTCATTTATTCTCTCTATGTGGCCTTGAATACATCCAATGACAGACACGAAAGAACGAAACTGTTGGTTCTCTATGCATGACCTTAATACAGGTCAAAGAGTCCATTTTTCTTGAAATACCGATCAAGAAAAAACCTAATTCATTTATTCTCTATATGCATGTACTTGACCACAGGTCAGGAAATGCTGACTAAGAAAGAAAATGACCTTTATTACGTTAAGACATACCGACCAAGAAAAAAGCGATTTCTTTCATTTTCCAATCTTTCAAAGGTTCCCAACAAATAATTATTGTGAAATTAACTCATTGAACATTAACTCCGGTTTGAATTATACCTCTTTATCCTAAGGGTGGAGTAGAAAGATGATATTTCAAGGCCACATAGAATCGATTCGATCCAAGAAAAAGTAAATGAAATGCCAAGCAGCCTCGTAACAACGTTTTACAAAAATGGGGGCTGATTTTTTTTTTAAAGTTATCTGCTTCAGCTCATAAATCCTATTTCGGTTGATGGGTGCTTCTATAATTTTTTTTTTTCAAATACTGCAATTCGCCAGTGTTTGACCTTACAGCTACAATAACAAAAATCCCGAAAGGGACGTCAACAAGAATCAATCCACTATCATCTGCATATTGTGTTTATGTCTCCAAATGAGAAGGTGAAGATAACGAGAAGCGATCGATCTAAAAAAGAAAAAATCCACAAACAATACAAATCTATGAACAGGCATAAAACACGGACCCCCGGAAATTCCAGAGGTGGGATCAGGTGCTTAGAAGGAGTAAGCATCCTCTATCAACCGGTCACATCCGCTGTGAGCCCTAAGTATTGATCAGTTAGACAGAATATTCAGTAAGTACGAAAAATTGGTACGAAAAACGTCAGACAAAATACGAAGGTGACCTTATGATATTTTCTAACAAGGTCATTATAACGACCATAGAATTTACGAAATGTTGATTTTAGACGAAATTGTTGAAATTGTAGCATCAACTTATCTGTCAGTAGCCTGCGTCGGTTTAAAAATTGATTTTACTTAGTGCATGATCTGTGTTTTTCCCTGTTCAAAATTCGCATTCTGTACTGGATTTATGATCGAGTTTGATCACTATTCGTTATCTTCACCTTTTACAATATAATAAGTTTAGTCTTTTAGATTTGTTATTTATATTGCTTATGAAAACGGTTATGTTAAAATTATGAGTACTTTATTGGAGCAAGTCTGTGAGGCCGACTGTTCAGATATTCCGATTTTGTCGGCACGTGATTTTCTGCCATGTAGAAATCAAATGTGACCATGTATACCGGGTCAGATAGCTTGCCGTTCGTGATTTCAAAAGTGTCACTGTTAATTGAGCCCATGGCGGGGAAGACCATGACTTTAGGATCATCTTTTATTCTCTGCAATAAAGGCTCCAACCACCCTGCAATTGTAAAGCACATCAAATACTTGAATTGTAAATCTGAGATGAATGAAGACTCTATTGCATTCAATCTTCACAATTAAGACTGTAAAACATCTAGAATACCAACGCTTTCTTTCACAGGTCTATGGATATTTGTACAATTTACCTGGTGCTACCTCTAAATGTGAGTCCATTACGATGATGACGTCCGACTTTGCATGGTTTATGCCAGTTTGCCGTGACGTCATAAGCCCTTTACTTTCAGGTAATCGAATAAGAATAACCTTTGGAAGGTACGAAATGTACCGAGAAAGTTTAGTTTTTAAATCATCTACAAAATTAAAAAAGTGTAAGATTCTTCAATCATCAGAATATTTCAGTTCAGATCATTGGTAAAACATTTAGTGCACAACCGGTGTTTGTTAGTTTGTTTGTATGTAGCAAGCGTTGATTTTTACCCAGATTCGATCCATCATCCACCAGAATAATTTCCCTGAGAAAATCCGAATTAGATTTGTCTAAAACACTGTGTACTGTTCTTAGTAGTGTAGTAAAACCCTCGTTTCTGAATGGAATTATAATGCTTACTTCCGGTAACTTGGCGTCATATTCAATATCATAGCACCTGCAAAAGTAAGAATATCGTAGTATTTTCAAGTGTAATGTGTTCTTATAATACCTGATTATTTGTATGAGTGGGGTTATACAAAAGTTCATAACCACTTATTAGTGAATTTGAAATATGTTCACTATTTGAATCAATACTGTGTTTGCAAGGTTGGGATTTTCTCCATCTGTAGCTAGGGGAGAAAACAAGGAAATTAAGCGTATTTGTTTGCCATGTTTCCCAGTGGCATCTGGATAATGATGAGGAATAATTACCCCTTTTCTGGAATATCTGGCGGAAAATTCCGGTGCAAAGAAATGAGATCACTGACAAAAGAATTGTACAAGTACAGTTCAAATCCTCTCTTATAATGGCGAAGGTCATCTCCAGAAAGGTCACTTTCTTTGACTGTGACCCCTGTCCCATTGTGCCCTACAATAAAATGAGGACAAGAATAAAAGTTTCACGACCCATGCTTTATCATATTCCAACAAGTACATATGTACATGGTAGGTCTGGGTATCTTTTGGAAATTTTGTATTGCGATATATTGCGATATTTGGAACTGTATTGCGATATGCATTGCAATATTTTTAATATCAGTTAAAATGCTCTTATTTTTTAACCTCCACTTATAGCAGAGTGTATAGCAGAGTGTATAAAACTTTTATAAATACGTTGTAACAAAAAAGTTCTATTCGATTTCACTACAGTTTGGCAACAAAATGCATCATACAACAGAAACCTTTACCGTTTGGTACTTTTAAGCACGATTGAAAACGTTTCTGAAATCTTAAATTTCATATTTTACTTCATAAATCTGAAGCCCAATCATTTTGCCGGTATATCGATACTGGAAAAACGTATTGCAATACGATATTTTTTTGTTAACGAATCATTCGCAATATACCGGAATATCGATATTATTGCGCAGTCCTAGTACAGGGTGTGTAAACAAGGTATAGATCAAGGTAACAATCCTTTTCAATAAAATCAACTAAGTGAAAGGCACAACTTAAAAAGAAGCTCTTCTCTCGTTCATGAAGCGAAATACATTGAATCGTGAACAAAGCTGAAGCTTATATAGGGGGTGGAGGATTACAGAGTAGAGGAGACAAATATGGCGGACAAAGATGACTAACATGACTTTCTTCCTTTTACGAATCGTGTTCAGCCTTAACCTATCAGAAATTCTTGACAAGCAAAACAAAAGATCAACAGCCTTTTTATTGGAAGGGGGGGGGGGGACGACCGTAAATAAGCTTTGTTTTCTAATGTATATTTTATATACTGGCAAAATTACTGGGGGAGGTATGCCCCCAACCCACACGGTTCATACAGGCCTGTAATATTAGTACTACTGTTATGCGGCATCAAATCTTTAACAGCAAGTTTAAGGCAGGCAAAACGTGATGAAAATAGTCATGGTTTGTTTTTTGGACATGATTATGAATTACCCAACTGGTTGTGGTATCTATGCTCTCATCACAGTAAATCACACGTTTGATAAAATATGTCACATCCAATATCAAAATATAAAAAAAAATTAATATATTTATCATTATTATCAACAATACATAGAAGAAGATGACGCATAGTATGTGGCCAACAGTGCAGCAGCTGTCAACAAGTCTAAGATGGAATATAAATTATATCTGTATATTAACATATTTTCAACTCAGATAGTAAGCCCTAATATTCACTTTGCATTCTTTAACGAGCGCACTAGTAGACAAGATATCATTAATGCCACAGCTGTGATTTGATGAAATGAATGCTGCTTATTCTCCAATCAATTTTGATATCAATCTTGGTATTACTGGTGTTAGAAAGACAGCTTGTAGAAGAGATATACAGATTAAAACTTGAAAGCTAGGAAATTTGTTACCTGGCCTATGACCATTTCACGTGAAAAATTCATTTGCTGCAGGGTTTTTTTTTTAATTCATAAGGTTCACATCCAACATTAATTACTTCTAAACTAAGCACAAGAATGAAATATGGATGAAATATCCTTTTTCCAGTTAATGAACAGTCCCGGAAATAAGATTATTAATATATACATTTCTACTAATTTAGTAGATATATAAGCAAAAATGATAGTCTAGGATTTTTTTTTCTTTTGCTCCTCTTAAACTAAATTTTATGCAAAACAAGTACAAATGCCCCGGAATGTGGTCTTTTTGATCTGACCAACAGTTTCTAGACTAATTATTGCACAAAATTTAGCAGTGTTTAGTCGACATGAAGGTGTAACTTGTCATTTAAGGTTATCTAAGGTTATTAGTCAAACCCATCACTTTACGACCTACTTACAGTCTTGCACTTTTTATTTATTTCTGCAACTGTTGTTATCAAGATGGTTATTTAAAATATTCACAATAATAAGTACTATGAACTTTAAATTGATTTGTAATTGCAATATATTTTGAGGCCAAAGGTTGAAAAGGCGAGGTAACAAATTTATATATAATATGAAATGGTTTCCAGATTTATTTCAATATATACTTCTATGAGTAAAAATATAACCCCTAACGATTTTTTAAGTGAATTGATAATTTCAGTCAATGTTACAAATTTGCATAATGCTAAATTTTTAAAAAATGGTTTTCTGGACGTGATGTAGATTTGCATTTACCAAAAAAAAAAAAAAAAAAAAAAAAAAAAAAACCATCAGTATTTTTTGCTGCTGGTCATTATTGAAGAAACCTGTAGAATATCGTGGTCACTGTTATGTGTAATTCTCTTGTGTCACTTGTAAAACCCACGTTTTTATCTAATTTTTGCATTCTCTGTAAACTTATACTGTTGAAATTAAAAAAAAAAACATTAAAAATAATTAAATTACTCCAAAAATAACTATTAATTTAATTTAATCCCCTAACAAATTAATTTGAATCTAAAAACAATGAAAAACGAAGTTATGATAAATGCCCACTTTCTCTTGATTTTGAATATTCTATGACCTTCACAGAATATTTTCACTTTTCAGAAAAAAGTAAAAACTCCTATACAAGAAAAAATGCTTCAAGTCCGAATGCAACTATTCTCCTATATTTAAATAGGTTCTAACTAGTGGTTTTAATTTGTACAATATTTTCAGTGCTCGTAGTTGCTTTCTTCTGCATGAATTTCAAAGTTATGCACCTCATCCCACCTCTGGCATTTCCAGGGGTCTGTGTTTTATGCCTTATTCACAGATTTGTATTGTTTGTAGGTTTTTTAGATCGATCACCGTTCGTTATCTTGCCTTTTTCATTATGATTTTTTTTCCAAATTGTTAGAATTTTTTCCTGTTAAAGATAACGAAAAACGGAAAATTTTATGGAAGCACTTAGGCCTCAAAATACCTGCCCTCATATAATTCTGTCTCACTCCCTCACCTTACAACGCCCTCAACAACAGAATCCTCTATCCCCACCGATCAGAAGAGTCACTGACGTTGAATAAATTTCATGGTCGTAGGACCCCCCCCCTCCCCCCCCCCCAATAATTTTTCCCAATACATATTATACTACAGAAAACATAGCTACTTTATGCTTGTGCCCTTTAGTAATAATGTCTGACGACTTTTTTTCATTTTGCTTGTCAAGGAATTTTTCTTGACTTCTTGTGTAGAGAGGGTATTTATAGGCATTGTATGCCCAATCTATTCAGTATTCTGAATAAATATTGTTTAAACCAAGGAATTTTTGCTTAGTGGTGCCCCCCCCCCCCCAACCGCTACTGAAAATGTTTGGTCCCACCCTCCAGCTGAAATTGCTTCCTGCGGGCCTGTTATTAGGTCGGAAACTTATGAAGATTATTATATTTAAACATGTAAAAACGATGACAGATATCTAGACAATTCCCGACCTCAGACGTGATCGACTTACCTGGACCGTCGTCCCTGCTGGAATGGAAGTAGGCTTTTCTCTTTACCAGCGGTGATATTGTCTGTAGGCTTGTCTGTTTTGTAAAGAACTGTAACTCCTGGACTGAAATTTCTTTTTCCGATGACCAAAAGTAAAAACATATAAAAGGATATAGCACTATTAATAAAGAACAATACAGCCTTTTTCGGCGGATCATGGATGAAGAAAAATATTTCATCACTAAATTTGTGATAGAAGCAATGTTTCAATGACTATATGAAGCTAAACCATTCGTAAAAAAAAAAATAAAGAATCAATGGGTATCACCATATGTCGCGGTGTTGAAGGTGACAAAACAATAAGTACAAATTAAAACGTTGGACACGCTCAGTGATTACAACAGAACGATCTCTTCATCAATAAGTTAATTGTTAACTTTTAATGACTGCTTAATTTCATCGTAGTATTCAGTGTCAATGATTCCGTCGATAAAAAGTCCGGATGAATTTCAATCGTTATGTCTGTCCATCTGTCTGTCCCAGTAATGGCAGGTCATACCTTCCTATAAAGAGGAAATAGGAAAACCTCAAATATACATGTACTATGTAGGATTGTCTTTCATTTTTGGGAATTCCCGATCTGATTGAAATCAGATCTTTGTTACAGGCTCCGAAATTCTGACAGCGATTATAAGAATTTCGGAGCGTAAAAAAGATCTGATTTTAATCAGATTGGAAAATTCCACACCATCTACCAGTCTCAACTTGGAGAGATGATTTGCAGTTCTAAGTTTAATTAAAATTGTTCTAATTTTTTTAGGTTATATATTTAAATATTTCTCAAATCAAAATTCTGTTTTGAAGATACAACATATAAGACCTTTGGACGGAGTGTTAGTGGTTTAGAGAGTTTGTCTAAAAAAAGAGATGGAAGATGATCTCTTAGTTTTTATCAAACTGTTTATATTATTTTAAATGCTGATGATACTGTTATTCTGTGTGAAACTCCAAGTGATTTACAACATGTATTAAATGAATTTTCTGTATATTGTTAAACATGGAAACTCCATGTTAATGTCATAAAACAAAAATTGTCATTTTTTCAAAGGGACCATCACCTAAATGTGCATTGAGATACGACGAGGTTATAGAAACCGTCCACGCTTCAGGTACCTGAGTTGAGAATACATTGAGCATTCAAAAATCAAATTTTCTCGGACTCCTGGACACCTAGCTGCAATAGCATGCAAACTGTTTCTGAAAATTGTCCCCAAAGTCCACGATAAGGCCCCAGGGTGTGGCTACATTGTTCATACTTTGAAAATTCATTATATCTTTGAAACTCGTCTTTACTCTTGGACATTTTAAAGCCAAACAAAATGGTGACAATGAGGAATCAGCCCTTTACCAAAATGTGTGACCTTTTGTCCTCTATGGTTGTACCAGGCATACTGAGATGGAAATGTACTGAAACTCACGTTACTTTTCATTCATTTTTTATATTTGGTTGAAGCCATTGAGCCAGAGTACAGGTACAGGTATGAGCTTTCAATTTTTTTTAAAAAAAAATGTTATCATGTATCAAAATAAACAATATATATCAACTTTTCCATATGCTTAGATGAGATGTATCATGTTACAATGCACGTTATTGCCATTTTCAATTATTAAACTTAAATAATTGACAACTAAACTTTTACTGTAACATTATCCATTTTTCTTTTTCAAAGAAACAATTCAACAATCGTCTATTTAAAAAGTGAAACAACAGTCTTTCAAAAAAAAAAAAAAAGAACAAACAAAAGACCTAGTATTGTCATAATAAAAAAAAACAACATGTAAAAGCAATTCTATTGTACAGTAGATGCTCATTTAAATTTACTTTTGTCATTATAAATCAAAAGGATCTGAATAACAAATAGGAGCAAGTTACAGGTCTATCACAAAGAACCTTAACCAGTCAAAGTACCTTAACAATGAACAATAAAGTAGAATTCTTGAAGCTCATGATAGGTAAAAACCTATCAGGAACAAAATCAAGTAAAGCCACAAATTACAGCAAGATTTTTGTTTTAAATACATCAGTCACACTTGGAATTATGACATCACTAATTATTCTGGTTAAATGATTAGGTACAGAATTTATAAAAGAGCAAGTGTGCAATACACACTGATTCCACCTGGAAAATGATGATGATCATTTCAATACTAATAGTCTGAGAAGAAATGGTAAACCCATAAAAATTAATTCTCTTACAAAATAAATCGTTTTAAAAACAATAACAATTATCGTGTATGTGTTTAGATTCCATACATTTACAAGGTAACCTTGATTAGCTTGTGTTTGGAATACAATGCTTTTTTTTTTTTTGCTGATTTTACAAGATAAACATGGTTCTCTTCTTTTTTCTCCAAAGTAAGTCTGCCACCGGTGCTAAGATTCCATCTGATTTTCCTGTTTCAGTTTGTTTTGTAAATGTTCATGAATTGTGGCCCTTGGATCCTTTGAATAAGATGGATGACTGTACACTTGGTGGAATAATTCCATGTCTTTTAACCTTACAAAGAAAAATAGAAAAAGCTTCAAGTGATTCTATAACAGAACAATAATCAACAACATTTCTGCCACACACATTTTAAGTACATGCATGTCTAAAAAAAGAAATAAAAGTAATTCTTAAATGTATTTAACTGTCAAAATTATCAACTTCTCCTCAAAAATGTGCATTAAAAATTTTAAGGTCTTAAGATGTACTTATACTCATAGTCATAGTAATAATATTAAATTATTAATACTCTAGTACAAATATACATGTTACAAATTCTTTGTATATGCTAATTATATATATATATATATATATATATATATATATATATATATATATATATATATATATATATATATTTTTTTTTTTTTTTTTTTTAAAGCATTTATTATTGGTAATCCCCATCTGCAATAATCATCATAATCTTCTTTAGTTAGTTTTTTTTCTTTTCTTTTAATATTGACATGTTGCTGCTATCAATTTTGAATTTCTCCTTGTGTACATTATTCTACTTGTATGCCCTGAGGGGCCCCAAATTGGTATCAATAAATCTTAACTTATCTATCTTATCTATACTCATACAGTTAAATAAATAAAACACGATGAGTTTACAATATGTTTTAAAACTACAGTGAATGAAAATCACTTTACTATAAGCATTTAATCATTGTAGGCATGTTGGTTATAATCATATTTTATGTACTGTATACCGTAAAACATTACACTGACATATGAGACAAAAATTATTGGTACTCACATCTGCTTTTGTCGCTTTTTCTCTTTTAAAATACTGCGAGGTTTTTCTTTATTACATTCCCTGAAGAAGAAGAAAAGTTTTACATGTTAGAGAGTACTAAGGCAGAAGACAATCACTTAATCAGTAGCCACTGTGGCCATGCTTATTTCTGATCACTCCATTTTGTGTCATCTCTTGAAAAGCCATGACAATAACCTTTATTTTCTGATTACTTTGAAAACTAGAAAAACACTTCTAAGTTGAGATATACTGCTACTCCTGGCAAAATTTCATTCTTTTTCCTCTACAGACATTATTCTTGCATAAACATTTTGGGATTATGAATAATGGGTCAGATATTAGTTACCACAAGTCTCTGAAAAAAATCAGGATAATAAAAGTTTCCTTGAACTTGCCAAATAAACTTGACATAGAATGAGGATACATTCTCAGGTCCTAGGCAACCATTTATGTCAAGGCTGTGACTTAGGTTATTTAGAAGACTTCAGCAGAAAAAAATTAAAACATCCTTCCTGGCCATAACATTAGAAGCTATACAAAGTCAATATGGAAGTAATCTATGTTTGAATTGCTGATTTAGATTTTATACAATTCTAGCAATACTACCAATGGGGTTTTTTTTCAAACGAGATACTATGAATTGAATTAGTATTGGTAAATATTGCAAATTGGAACATTTTCTCATTTATATCAAAGTGAGGTATTAAATCAAGAGAAGAAATCTGTATTATTATCAGACATAGGTGGGAGTTTGTTTTCAATATGCTCTTACTTTTTCTTGTGTTCATCACTTTTGAGGAGCATGTCCAGAGTAGGGAGGGCCTCTCCCAGCAAACCGATGTCCCCCACCACAGGGGCACTCTGTTTTCTCTTCTTCTCTTTGGCAGCTTTTTCTGCTGCCTCCACTGCATCCAGCTCTATCAATTAAAAAAAATCACTATTAGCCAACCTAATAAAGAATTATCAACTCTAACAATCACGCTGATCCCTAATAACCATCCTGATAAAGAATTATCAGATCTATCGATGTAACAGACCACTATTAACCATCCTAATTAAGAATTTTCCGCTGTACCAGTATAACAGATCCTTATCAATATTTGTAATAAAACATTAACATGTTTTGTTCTGGCATGTAACAATCAATATACAGGAGATACAGCTGTATCTTGTTTTAGCCTACGCTTTACTTGTAGAGAAAATGTCTGAGAGAAAATCTTTGTCTTTCTTTCTACTCTGACTAAGAAGTTTATTTCATCAGTTTATTAAATCTGTTGACAAAAAGAGCCTCAGAATAACTTCCTCAGGAAACAGTAATGGTTCCACACCATCTAAACATGTTAACGTGAATTGAACCCTCTCAAAAAGAAAAAAAATTAATTTAAAATGTTTGGATGAATTATCCATACTTCATTTAAAATTTAATTTTTAACTTACTTTGCACTAGAAGTTCTCTTCTAAGTTTCTTCCTGTCTTTCTTTTTCAGCTGTAGCCCCTTAAGTGAGGTACTAGTAATGGCACTCTTTGTATCCCAGTCAGTGGGCAGTTTCTGAGCCAAATCCTCCATGCTGATTTTCACACTCTTAAACATGTTACCTGTTACAGCAGGTACACTTGGAGTAGAGGAGGTTTCCATTTCCTAAATGTAAGATCATGTGTACTACTTGATAAAGCAGATGATTCTTAAATATGTATCACTAAATATATATAAGCACACAAACAAAGGATTCTAATGTTCACTATTCTCAATGCTATGTCCTTATTAAATTCTACCCATCTTATTATTTTATACTTTTAGCAGTGTTTACCAAACATGTGACATTATCATTATCAATATTTTGTCATATTTTAAGTTTTACCTATATCCTTGTTTCATAGTGCATTCAAGTTTCCATGAACAAGGACACAGATTTTACAGGAACACAGATTTTACAGGAACACCTCTCACCTCCTGGTCTGCCTTTCCCTCCTCTTTGGTGACATTTTTGGGTTTAACTGCTGCATTGTGGTATTTCTGTCTACCTCTCTTTTGTTTACCCATTTTTTACAACCTTAAGTAAAAGGTGACATTGAGTTACTGCCTACTACTAACATATTTCCTCCATATTAATCTAATTCTATTTACAATGTTTTTAAAAACTTCATGGAGATAACTAGAAACACTTCTAGAAAAAATGATGCATAAAGAAAATTCTGCCAAGAAAATGTGAATTAAGCTAACTCCATGTTGCAGGTTCCTCTTTCATTTAAAATTTTTCAATACTAAACATGTTGGGACCAATTGCCCAAATGGGATATTTTATAGCCCATTCACGATACATAACAATATGGCAAATGGGATATAAATTTACTGTGCAAAAAACTAAAGATTTTTTCCTTTAGCTTTACATGTTATAAATCTACATCTGCATCATACTTAAAAAGTAACAACCTGTGGTTAACAGGTTTATCTGTATCCCCACCATGTAGGGGATTGATTCCTCTTTACTTTTTGAACTGTATGTCACAGGTTCTTGGGTCTTGGTTTATAAATATGTATACCTATTGATATGTAAAAAAAAAAGTTCTTTTTTTTTTTTACATATCAATAGGTATACATATTTATAAACCAAGACCCAAGTACCTGTGCTCTGCAATGGGCTTGCGTCAAAATTTTTGCCATAAAGTAAAAAAAGATTTCAAGGATTTTATTCAAATTAATAGTGAATTACTTAGTAAATATCTTAAAATGTTAAAGGCAAAAATTAGAGCAAACATTTTTTTTTAATTATAATGAATGAAAACAAACGCTATTGCCGAGTATCAAACCTAAAAAAAAACAAATCAACAATACTAATAAAGCAAACAATCATCTTACATAAGCCAGAATATACAATTATTGCAAGTTGTACATGGATATTCCTAGTTCATCACAACTCCATCATATACAGTCATGCTGCTGTCTATTTTGTACATGGGCGCCGCCATCTTAAGTTTTACAAAATTGAAAAGGTAGACTTACAGAAATCTGAATTCCGGGAAAATATTTTTTATCGAGCGCATGTCCCTTACCAACGGACACGCATTGCTTAAATAAACAGTGTAAAAATTTGATCGTAGTTTGAACAGGGAGATTAATGCTATAAGCTATAAATTACAATTTGGGGGGGGGGGGGGGCTCTGAGGGGAATTTGTTAAACTCTTCAATGTGCTTTTGAATAGCTGTTTTTAACTGTTTTAATCAATAACAACAAAATTTTACCACTACATAGGCAATTAAAATTTGTATTGTACACTTTTAATTAGGCTATTATATTCAATTTATTAAGGTTCTGTGCATGTATCGCATGTACTTATTTTAGCAAATTCAAAATCTACATGTAGTGCAATCAGTTGGTCATTGGACTCCACTGTCTTTACATGGATTACTTCTCAGTAAAAGTATTTCTTGGCAGTGATATTATAAAGAGACAGTGTGTAATGTCCTATAGTTTGAATCCCATTTAAAAATATGCTTCATTACATGAATGGGTGGGCTGAATTAGTGGGAAAAGGTTGATAAATATAATGACCTGATATTTTTGAATGTTTTGTTTTGCTTCAAACTCTGCCTTTGAAGTTTTCTCCCCCCCCCCCCCCCCCCCAAAAAAAAAAAAAAAACATGCAATTACATTCCTGTGTCTAAACTACAGCTATGAATTGCTTCAGAAAACAGTTTGTTTTTTTTTTAATTCCCTGTAAACTGCAGCCCATATGTTCTGTCAAAGTGAACCTTTTTGGACATGAGCTGGGGTCCATCAGACTGAGGAAATGGAGATATGGTACTCATTAGTAGTTACAATAGTGGGGATCAGGCAGGTTCAATCACTGTTGGCCAGATTATAGCTCAATTGGTAAACACCTGACTAGTGATGTAGGGGGCCCAGGTTCGAATCCTGGTTTGGTCTGTCTCATTTTTCTCCTTTTTAGTTACACTTGGTGCTGAGCCATGCCCTGGAAGTGACAGATGAAAGACATGCCAGGGAAGAACCTGGTTTGGTCATGTCTTCAGGGGCAAAACCTTTTGAGGAAAGAATATGATGGTCAGGCAAGTACGATCACCTGTGGCCATATATCTCGGTAGAGCATCTGTATAGTGATATAGGGTCTGGGTTTGAATCCTGGTTTGGTCCCTGCCATCCTCGCAAGCCAGGGGTGCTGAGTCAACACGTTGCCGTTGGACAACGTGTTGACTCAGGACCCCTGGCTTGCGAGGATGGTCCCTTGCCGGTTACACTTTAAATATCACCACTATTCCAATGGCAAACCTCGAACCATGCAAAGAAATGAGATCATGTACAATGTACATATGTTGAAGCAGCATAGTCTTTGATGATGGCATAACTTCATTACTGTACTGTACAGGAGTATCTTATTTGATTATAGACCATCTATGATACATGTTTTTCATATGATTAGAGACCATCTATGATACATGTATTTCATATGATATTTTAGTCCATTCAAGATACATGTATTTCATATGATTTAGACCATTCATGATACATGTATTTCATATGATTTTATTCCATTCATAATAATGTATTTCATAAGATTTTAGTCCATTCATGATACATGTATTTCAGGCATGGATCCAGGAATTTTTTGCAAGGGGGGGGGGAGGTCCACCCCAGTCAAAAATTTTCCACCCAGAAAAAAACCTGAACTCCTTTCCCAAACGTATCAAACCAAGAAATTTCCTGACAAGCAGAAAAAAAAAAAAACGTAAAATACTTTTCCCAGATGTGAAATAACCTATTTTGTGGTGGTGGTAGTGGTGGGTCCAAGTTTTCCATGGGAGGGGGGTCCAAAGTCATTTTTTATTTGCTTCAGTGTATACTTTTAATAACTATGCAAATTCCGGGGGGAGGGGCGACCCACCCTCTAGATCCGCGCATGTATTTCATATGATTTTAGACCATTTATGACACATGTATTTCATATGATTTTAGACCATTCATTATACATGTATTCATATGATTTTAGACCATTCATGATACATGTATTTCATAGGATTTTAGACCATTCATGATACATGTATTTCATAGGATTTTAGACCATTAATGATACATGTATTTCATATGATTTTAGAGCACTTATGATACATGTATTTCATATGATTTTAGTCCATTCAAGATACATGTATTTCTTATGATTATAGACCAGGATTATTGAAACTAGGCAATACCCTTATTCTGTGATAAGTTGGACATGCATGTTTGTCAGAGAGGGATGGGTATAAAAGCATTGATTCAGAACTTAAGCGCCTTAAACTGCCTATCGATCATTACACTGGCTTGCATTGTAAAGATGCATATATGTATAAATAGGAGGAAATCAATCTCATATTTAATTAATTAAGCTCTTCAAAATGACAACAGATCTGTATAACTATATATCATTTAAGTTTTATTTTTACTTTCATATAACTATAATATTTGTGTACACACCACATGCAAAAAATGAAGCATAAAATGTCTTTTTTTTTCAGTCAATCATTATGATCTTTACCTCTGTATAAATTTACTGCAAAACAAACATTCACTTATGAAACGGAAACATTTTGTGGTTACATCACACATAAATAACGTACATATCATACAAATTCAGCTGTAAAACTCTTATACACAAGTTTATTTTCATTTTTCACTGGTCAAAGGGACACACAGAACCTTATCAGGCCCTACTGTAATAACACGTTATACAAAAATGAAATTGATAGTGAAAGAAGTATCACATATAAAAAACATATGAAGAATAATCAAGGGAATATGAACCTTTAATAATTAATAATATAATAATTAATTATAATAAAGTAAATTATACATATCACTGACTTGCTCAGATAGATTGCCACATTTTATTGATACTCAGATTTAAGACAGAAGTAACATATATATCTTTAAAACACTTTAATTTTATTATGACAGAAGAACAATAATTTTCTACATTTTAACAGCTATCAGTTTAAAGCAGATTTTGATCAATATCCTTTGTAGGCAGGAGAGTAAACATTGAGATTGTAAAATACTACCCTTCCCCAAATCCCGTATCAGCTCTCAGTTACAATTCTTTAAATTTCAGAATGACATCATGTTGCATATCTCTTGGTCCATTGCCGTGCCATTTTGTCGTGCTCTTCACGACTGGACAGATACTGCTGTGCGATAGAACCAACCAGGGGGTCATGAGGATTGCAGTCTGCCAGGAGGCTGGTGACTGATAGCAGCACCTTAGAAATGGTCAGTGCTGGACTCCACTGGTCCTTTAGGACATCTAAACAAATGTGACCTTGACTGTTGATGTTACAGTGGTAGATCCGAGTCTTAAATACCAGCTGAAATTTAAAAAAAAAAATATTCTTAAAATTTTTAGTTGAAAATTGCAGCTGCACGTTTCTTCTGATAAAAATTCCATAACTAGCTCAAAATGACCTCAATATAATCTTACTGTACTACAAGATTTTTGTGGGACTTTTTCAAAGATGTGGTCTATGGCATGTATGAATCTAGCTTTTGTAATCAAAAACACTTGATGTGCATTATGACGAAAGTTTGAAAACTGCTAATTTTAAAACTTCAAGAAAATGACAGTTTAGGAACTTTCAGATGGAATCAAACTGTTCACTAAGATAGAGCAGAATCCTGTTTACACAAGTATAAAGGTCCAGGAAGGTCATCAAGAAGTATGCATATTACAAGATATTTCAATGTACCGGTACTTGTTCTTAATGAAAATTTTCCTGAGAAAACAATTTTTAAAGAAAAATTATAGTTAATCATGATATTTTCTACCAGTTACTATTACACTGCAAGAAATTATAGACAATATCTCTGTAATTTTTTTTTTGGCTGATTAGCATGTTATTAATCAAAGATGCAAAGTCTGGTTTTGGTCAGAAAGACTAACAGACAGTGATTATAAATATAGGGCACCTCAAATCCTTACTGGGCCCAACAAACAATAACTTTGTACTGCTAGCATTAGATTGGATAACATAAAAGAATTACCTGTTAATAATTGGTTGAAAACTTTTTGGGAAATAACCTTGTTCAATTGACACTTACCTTAGGTGGCTTAAATGGGTAGTCAGTGGAGAAAGAAATATCCAGGAAGAAGACTCCGCCCTCGTACACTGTACCCTTTGGCCCAAGAATTGTCGACACCCACTCATAGAGGTTGTCTCCCTTTGGTCCCGCACTTCAAAGAAATAAGAACCAGTTATAAACTTTCAAGCTAGGGGGAATACATTTAATATAGTTCCTATCTCTCTCAGATGTAAATAATAAACATTATCAAGCTGTGATTGGAGTCAAATGTGTCTCGTCATCAACAGTGATCAGACAAACTGTGAATGAATCGAGAAAGGTAACATTTACTCTCCATGGAAATAAATTTCTGAATCACTACCTCCAATACATAGAGAATCATATTGTACATGTACTGGTTTTTAATATTTTGAAATTGAATATTCAATAAAAGTCATATGCATGTGTATTTCTAATATGGTTATTTTTTTTGGTTGTTGGAAATTTGTGTTATTCATATTCAATTAATTACAATGTACATGTATTTAGCCATAAAATGCTTGAGGAAAAACCTTGTACATGTATATCAACTAGCAATGAGTGGAGATTTAAAACCTAATTACTAAGGTACATATAAATTCCTCTATCAAAGAAAAAGCAATAAACTATATATATTTTTTTTGAATGAGAAAGAGAAAGTCACTCATTTTAGATTGATCAATCAAACCCTCTTAAACTCTTTGTGATCCAGACTTACTTACCTTACATTTGGTGGGGGGTCTAAAGTTAATTCAGCTAACTCTCTTTGCAATCTGAAACCATCATTTTTCTTATTACTAATTTACAAGTACATGTCTATACAAAATAATTTACTAATAAATGTAAATATACAAGGAAACTTAATAGAACATGTAAAGATCGATGCATGGTAATTCACTAATACATGTAAACAGGCAATGTAATTTACTAAGTAATTGACAGATACATGTAAATATACAAGGATATTTACTATTGCATGTAAAGAGCTAGGTTCTTTTTATGCATAAAATGGCCCTGTCCATGTATCAATTAGTTGACTAACTCCCTATGTCCCATTGCATATGTCACTATGAAGTAGTTCATCTATTATAACAAAGTTTCCTTTGAGAGTCCAGGTATTGGAAAACAGGATTTGTAAAATTGCACAATATTATAGTTCTTGAATCTTACAGAATTAAAACAGTTGTATCTAAGTACTTTCAGCAAAGAATTAAAATATGAGCACACCCCTTGATCCAAAAAAATAAACATGTTTATAACTTTCAACAATTCTATCATTATATATACAGTTGAACTTTGGTATCTCGAACACTGATATCTCGAATACCCTGGATATGTTGAAGTGATATGGAAGTCCCAACCCCTTATTCTTTAAGTATTTTACCCTGGATATCTCAAATCCTGGGATATTTTGAAGTTTTTTCTCAGTCCCATTGTGTTCCAGATAACGAGGTTAGACTGTACATGTAATTGCACATTTTGGATCAGAAGTAGTGCTTTTTATGAAATGTTGAAAAAAACTGCTTAATCCTTATGGCATTTTTGAAGAAATTTTTAGGATATGGGAATGATGCAAAATTCATGATGTCAAAATACATTGACTAGAGCAAGAAAAAATTGTCATTTTTAATAGCTGCTAAGTGACCCATGCTCTTTACAAAGTAATTTACAAGTACATGTAAATATACAAGGCAATTTACAAGTACAAAAAGCATGTAAATATGCAAGGTATTTTACAATTACTTATAAATATACAAGATGCAGAAGTAGGTTTGGTGGTCAGGTTCTATCACTGTGTGTCCAAGACAGAGATAAAGTGTACATTGTATAGTTCTCTAGCTATTCTAGGAAGCTGTGTGTTCACTGAATGTAAATAATTGCACATTTATTTTCATCGGTTTCAGAATTTTCTGGAGAAGAATTCAAAATAAATGTTCTTGACATTTTTAGTAAAAATTAGTTTTCTTAAGTTATGTTTATACCATTAGAAATGCACAAAAGAGTTGTGAATGAAATTTGAATTTTATGGTTTTTAGAAAAATGTTAAGGGAAAAACTATATTTTAAAAATTTCTGTATTGTAGTAAGAGAAAGTTTTAAAAAGAATTTTACAATGAATGGCAAGCATTATTAGAAAATCTGATAAACTGATTTAAAGAATTTTTATTTATGATTAAGCCAAAAAAAATATTCAATTATAAGACATTTACTTTATAAAATAATTTTAAGTCTATTAGCAATATTGATTACATATTCATTCTGCAATGTTACATGTATGTATTTTATCTTAATTTGTAAAATGTAAGAGCCAATTTAAAAAAATAACAAGTTTTCATTTCCTTAGTTCTGAGTCTGGCACAAAATTGGCATCGGATGTACAGTCAGAATTTGTTTTATTAAATCAATGGAAGCACTGACTTTATCAATGACTATCTACTAATCACTTAATCAATAACCTTTTGATTTTTATTAAAACTTTTTTTATGCATGGATTTATTGTACTGCAATATATTTTCTTCATCACACAAATCTGTCTCTTATTCTCCTTTAAAGTCATAATTATTGATTCAAATGTGAAATATTTCCAAATTCTCTATCATTGTGTCCACGCAAACATATTCCTTGTAAAAAAAAAACTTTTTACTTTCAGAGTTATTAGTTCTGACCATCTTTGGTAATTTGATCTCAGCTGTGAAATATTTTGTAATGGATTATATCAGAATTAATCCAAGAAAAGGTCAAACATTTTAGGTGCAATACAATTGATGTTTAAATTCATGTGAAAGAAAATTGAGTGGAAAATTTATACAAAATGTTAATAGTTTGTTACCTTCATTCCACATAATTCATCGAGGATATTTTTTTCTTTCTTAGGGGTAAAATTTCAATTACACAAAAGATTTTTCAAAAATATTTTAACTTTTGTTGTAAGATACATTTTTCAAATATATTTTTTTAATTATCCTTTTTTTAAAAAAAAAAAAAATACATATTTCCCCCAAATGTCGGTGATGCTTGTAAAATCTTAATATCAATTGAACATGTTGAATAAAACTATATATTAAAGAAAATCTATTCTTTGCTTTAATTTATGTTATAAATGTCCCTGCATTTTTTAAAATCACTTTCTATCATTTTTATAATTTCCTGAATATTGCTTGATAGTTACAAATCACCCAAAGCATATCATATAATAATATGAAGCATACCATTCGTGAAATCAAAATTCACACACAAAAGTCTACGATACTCAGCTATAGATATAAATTAATAGGCAGAAAATGACTGAATCAGATAAAACTGTATGTTGATGTGGCTATACAGAGGTATCGTAGTTACTGGCAAACTAGAATGCACTTTGATGATTAGTGGTGCACATTCTAGCACAGAGATTAATGTAAATGTGTTCCCCTTCGGAAGCCCCCACTTACATCGTAACAATGAACAAGGCGTTGAAAAAGTTTTCCCCTAGATTTCTCTTAAATCCCAATATAGTTAAATATGTTTTACACTGTATAAAACCTGAGATAAGGGAGATCACGACTCATACTTTTGAAAGATAAAATACTTAACAGTTAAGTCACAGTACGCTGTCAAATCTTATATGCAAATTAGTTTGGGTTATTTGAGGCACACGAAGGGTATTATTTAAGCCAAGATATTTAATTCAAGGAAACAATTTTTGGATGAGATACCTGCGAGCACTTGTACTGTTGTTCTTTGTAGTCTTGGTTTTGGTTTCTTTAGCAGTGTTTGGCACACGGGCACGGGAGGGACCAGGCTGGGGCACCCCCGAACTTGTAGCCATTGTGCTCGGTCTCCCCAATGTCAAGATGTAATAGATATTCCAAAGCTATATATATATTCAGCTGATACTCTCTCGTGCTTTAGTTCAGGCTTTGAAGAATAGGAAAATCTGAAATTAAAAATGTTCATAAGTTATATCACTAATAATATGCTGGTGTGAAATATACAAGTTAAAGGCACTGAAAATAAGAATACCAAATTATCGTCGGTACTAACTCCGCTGGCGAATGATCTGTCGTCCGATAACTCACAAGTCTCACCTAAAGAACAAGACTAATTTGATGATAGGAGATTTAATTCCGCTTGAGACGACTAACTGGTCATCCACTATATAATACCCTCTAAGATCTCGGGATGATCCAAGGGTCAGTCCTTCTTGTGAGCTACTCCGTTCTACGCCCCAGCCCAATGATTAGGCCAAAGCAAAAAATGTTCGTTCGTCAGACGTCACGCTTTCGAACAAAGCGAAAAGTAAGAGGTGGATCTAGGTTTTCATCTCCCTAAAAAAATGAGATTTATTGATATGATTATTACAGGGTACAAGCACAAATAATTAATTTATATACAAGAAAATCATACTTCACTCATCAAAATTGCGCAATATTCTATAATTAATTTTAATTTTTAATTTTTAAGATAATTTTTTAAACTGTATGAACCAGGGGCACGGGGTAGGAGGCGTGCCCCGAATAATTTTGCCGATATACAGATTACTATAGAAACATAGCTACTATATATGCTTGTGCCCCCTCAATAATAACATCTGATTTTTTTTTTTTTTTTTATGGTCAAGGAATTTTAGGAAGATGATATAGTGCCCCCAGCTGAAAATGTATGGTTGTCCTCCCCCCAATTGAAATAGCTTCCTACGGGCCTGGACAGAACATTTTCGATTTTGAAAACTTGGAAATTTTTATTTTGTTTTTACAACCAGGGCCTGCAACTGGTGATATATGTACATAGAATGGGCACGTGAATCTGTTTATCTTCGGCTTAAGAACTTTGTCATGCATTAATTAATTAGTGGAAAGAGGTATAGTTATATAATTTATATAAAAGTCTCGGATTCAGGAAGAAATATATGGATATTAATTTTCACCTAATATCTTTATATAGAGGGACGGATGGGAAACAGTGCTGCATGTTAGATCTATATAAATATGAACAGAACAGAATATCTATTTCTAATACACAATCATGAAATGATTACATAATCAGGAAAAGGTATGCGAATTGATAGTATAACAACTATTACATATGGAACGTTAATAACTCATTCCATAATGTATTTGGAAGATTCAAATTTACCCTTCTGATCTGAGGTGATATAATGCCTCAAAAACTCCGAATTAATCGAAAAAGGGGGACCTATTTGTGTGTGGGGGGGAGAGAGGGGGGGAGTGGGCTGGGGCTGGACACTCGTAATGTAAATTCAATTGTTCTAGCTGAAAATCGCAGGGGGTCCGGACCGGCCCCTCAGTTCTAGATCCGTACATGAGTGGGTTATCATAATAGATGATGACAACGTCTTGGAATCAAAATCCGATAAATTTGAAATTACGAAAGTTTTTATTTATTTATTTATTCATAAAAAAAAATTATTCACAGCTATTTTTTATTAATTAATTACCTAATTTATTTATCAGCATTCATATATGGTGATGTATTTTATTCCCATCATTTAAAATGAACTAAAAACGAAATATTCATTAAAATGAACTAAAAACGAAATATTCAGTCATTTGAAATTGGGACAATAATTTTTTCAGCCTAGGTTTATACATTTGCTTTATATTTTCTAAATGAATTGTATAAAATCATTGAGTGATTGACTCGATCACTAGTTGATTAATTATTGAGAGAGAGATTTTTTCCTTACAGTACGTCATGCAGAATAGAAATGGATATCTACATGACTGGCTTTTTTTAAATAAAGAATTTCAGTCAAAGTTGAAAACTACCACTAGGTCTTTTCACCATGCACAAATATTAAATAAATGAAAAGATGGATAAATGGATACATAGATAAAAAGATCGATTATAATCATACGCTGTACAATTATCAGCGATCAATCAAAGCTAGATCCGCCACCTTTCAGGCTTTCTGGTTCGCTTACAACAAAGAAACATAACTCGTATTATTTCAATATGAAAAGTATTTCAACACGTCTACATAATTTATGGAACTTAAAAAATACCACCAATGTACTAACTCGAAGAATTACTTATCACTGTATATTCATATTCAATGATATTGTCTATTGTCTGTATGATATATAAGAATATAATTGTTATTTGTTTATGCCCATTTGGGCTGAGTTGGTATTAAATACTATTCATAACTCGAGTATCAAACACATGTCAGTAATGTATAAATCAAGGCAGTCCACAATTCTGGTCAATTATACAAAATCTGGTACTGGAGGTAAAACGTTTATCATTTTTGTACAATCCAAAAGCATGGTTTTTATCTTCTTGCAATTCAGCCAAGGTCGTGGTGGCCGAGTGGTTAAGGCGTTTGACTCGAAATCAAATGGGCTATGCCCGCACAGGTTCGAATCCTGTCCACGACGGAAAATCTTTTTTCCCCCCACGATGTTATCTTTCTCTTTCAATGAATCGGGGGAAGATGCACATGTCCAAAAAATGCAGTGAATAGCACACTTCTCTACTGATGTAACTGAAAGATTATTTTTTCACTGTTTATAAAAAGCTGGTATGAAAAGGATGTGAAACATTTAAATGTCAGAGGGAGGAAATTTTATTTACCGCATGTCATTTTTCAGCAGAAATTTGATATTGAAATATATGAAATCTTTTGTAAACAAAGGTTTATTTAATAGATCTTCTACTCCATATATTCCATTGTATTATAAATCTTTTCTTTTGCTAAATAGATGTACTACCATGGAAATGTTTATTTGACAATATCAATAAGCTATAATCTGTAACAATATGCGAGGCTTTTCTTAATTTAGTGTATTTATATTGAAGTATTTTTTTTCTCTCATTCTGTTAAACTATAAGAACAAGTATGCTTCCACATACCAAAATGAATGAATGTGAGTGAGAAAGTGTAAGCCAATGGTGTGAAAAAAGAATAAAGTTTCATACTTGATACTGTATGTTTGCAATAAGATGGAGAAAAAAAAACAAGATGTGTTTGTGAAACACTGATGCCCCCGTATTGCAGCTTATGGCGAAGGTTAAAGTTTCTTCAAATGCAAGTCAAAATCCAGGCCAAAAGATAAAAAATGTTGATACCCAAAGAAAGGTCTTGTCTCGAGGAATACACCTGTGAAATTTGAAAAACCTAGATACAACTGTTCAAAAGTTATGGCCAAGGTTAAAGTTTTTTACATAAATGTCAAATGTCAAGGTCAAGGTCAAAGTGGTTGGTATCCAAAGGAAGATCTTGTCACAAGGATTACATATGTGAAGAATGAAAGCATTAGCACCAACCATTCAAAAGTTATGGCCAAGGTTAAAGTTTTTTCAAAAGTAGGTCAAACTCTAAGGTCAAGGTCAAAAGGTCAAAGTTGTTGGTATCCAAAGGAAGGCCTTGTCACAATGAATACACATGTGAAGTTTGAAACCCCAAGCACCAACTGTTCAGAAGTTATGGCCAAGGTTAAAGTCTCATAAAATTTTGCAAAAGTGGTCAAACTCCAAGGTCAAGGTCAAAAGGTAAAATATGATGGTGCCCAAAGAAAGGTCTTGTCACAAGGAATACACATGTGAAATATGAAAGTCATAGCTCCAACCAATCAAAAGTTATGGGCAAGGTTAAAGTTGACAACAGACAGACAGACAAACGGGCAAACAGACAAACAGATAAACAGACAAACAGACAGACAGGACAAAAACAATATACCCCCGGGATCTTTCGATCCGGGGGCATAAAAATAAATAAAAAGATTATTTATTTCCATGCGAAAAAAGACCAAAGGAAAAAAAATAAAAATATCAGTGCTAAATACAAACTTTAAAAAATGGAAGTTATATTAGAACCCTCTACATGCACTGCAGTCGTAAGAGTTCTGATTTCTTGGTATTTTTATGCAGTTACAGAACCTGCCTTTAGATCTAAAGTAAAATATATTGAAAACTTCAGTGTATTACTTCAATTGAAATTAATTCAAACGTATTCTTAAAATTTCAATCGGTCAAGAATTTAACTGAACACTAAAATATTTGCGTATTCTTTTCCCCACTTAGTAAATAACAGTGATTTCATCAATAAACTTAGTTGTCATTTTTCTTTGGGGTTAATTTCCCGGGAATCTAATATTGAAATAAAATATAGATAAGCAATATTTACACTTTTTTTGCAATATAATTCTCTAGATGTTAAAATAAACACTTAGCTTAAGTATTTAGAAGATCCTTTTCCATAATTTTAGTTTTTCGAAAAATTCGAAAGAGTAAAAGAAAAGTAATTAATGCAGAATGTGTTCCGCAGGACACTGCAGACGCATCTTTTGAAGAAGGTTGTTTTATTCGCCATGGTTCATGTATAAGTTTATTATCAGTTTTCACCGAATCCTACAGATTAAGCTACATGTATACATGCATTTACATCAAAAAGTCAAATTAAGAAGTTAAGGATTCCATAAAATTATTCAAAAATTGTTATCAACGATATCAGGATATTATTTAAACAGGTTTTCAGTAAAATGCTAGAGCATATAGCGTTTTAGATCTTCACTGGAGCGAACATATTATTCAGCGATACAAAACGTTCTGATCTTTCCATATTGCGTGCCGATATTTCACATGTGCTAGACTGCTCCAACATTTGTTAAGCGTTTATTAACAAACTTTTCATAGTATCTACATTTTAGATTTATGATTGTGGCTATTTACAAAAGTCTTAGTGAGGGCCCAATATTGGAATTGGAAAAGACTTATCTATCTTTAAAGTGACATATTGGAAGATAAAATGGACTCAAGTGAGATTTCATCAGGTCCCGCAGAGGAACATAAGTGTACTATACTTGCAGCAGAAGGGGCGCATACAAAGAAAGAAGAAATCAAATCTGTACCGCGTAGTTATACTGAGGATTCCAAAGTAGGAACACCCAAGTCTGACAATCAAAGGATAGGTGAGTGTGAAAAAGAAATCCTTACTGAAGATGAACCTAAAAATCAGGGCATAAACATTTTGAAAGAAGGATCGTTTAAGCGTGACAAAAGTAAAGACGAATCGAGTTCAGATATGCAAGTTTCACCCGAAATTTCTAAAAGTCACAAAAGACAGGACGAACTAGACATAGAGATGCAAGCCACTACGGAAGGTTCTAATTCCATGGGCAGTGTAAAAAAATCTGACAAATGGCCAAATCCCAAAGAAAATGTCCGAAAAAGGAACAAGTCGACCAACAGCAAGCCCAACAAAAACAGAATGTCGACATTGTCGTTGAAATCGTTAAGTGAGAGTATCCACGAGAAAGTGCATGTCAGTCATGACGTCATACAGGCGTTATCAGTCCGAGTCCTTCTGTTCATCCACAGCTGCCTGTGTGTATGGAGAACAGCAGACGTCAAAAAGGAAGACCTCTACTGGCTACTAGCCATGACCAACATCCTTCTCGGCATCGAGGCTCTGTACACGTGTATCTTCCGAAAAGGAAGGGATCCAAAATGGTACACACACTCTCTCTCTCACTCTCTATCTGAAATTGAACTGGAAATGTTTATTTTAAGTTTAAGTATCGTTTGCTTTTCAGGATCTGTCCATGTTTTGTCCTTTATTTACTTGGAACTGTGCCTGCTATATGGTTTCTCCAGTTAGATGTACTAGAGAGAAAGTTTAATGTGAACGTAACCTCTAATTCTTCAGCGGAGGAACTTTCTACATTCTACGGGGTATGTGATAAAGATAATTGTATGTGATAAGGATAATTATCTTTCTGAAGGGCCAGGTAGAGATTTTGTGTGTATATGTGAGGGTTTTTTTTTTAAATTAACTATTCACAGGTTAATAATGTGACTAAATTCATGCAAGAACCAGTTAGCCTTTTTTTTAAAATCTAAATGTAATCGATAAATGCATATGCTTATTGGACTCTTTCAACAATACATGTATGATGAAATGTTATTAAAATTTGATCGTTATTTGGATGTGTTGCACTGACACATAAAACGGAGGGCAATCAAGATAGACTTTTAATTAGTTTTCTGTACGTTATTCTTGCTATTTGAGCTCAGTATATATCATCTACATGCAATTTACATATTAATTATTATAATTTTGAGCAATTCAACGTGTGACATTACTAACGCTAAAACTGAAGATCCTGTGAAACCTACCTACAAAGGAACTGTAGAATCTACTGTTCACAAAATCTTTCCGAATAATTCTCGTTGTTCATCACCATTCTCCTGTTGTTTTAAATAAAATCTTTTTTAATGTACATAAGGTATATTTTTACGATAATACATGCGTAAAATATTTTTTTTTCCTTTAAGGTAAAATTAATCCCAATAGCACTTGATGCCGAGACATGGGCTTCCATTTTACAACAGTTGCTTTTGTTTGTCCTTGTTATTGGACGGATGATACTGCCACGTGGTCATTTATCACGTGATGAATTATCACAGACACTCTTCATCTTCATTGGTTCCGGATCTGACGTCATGGAATTCTTCGTCGTGTTCGAAGATCCAGTCTTCTACACGAATACAGGACTGAAATACGCCACGCTCATCATTTGGAGTATAAGTTTGCTCCAGTTTATCTTCGTGATTGCGGTTGCCAAAGGACCTAAAAGGTTCCGCTTGGGGACCATAGTCGACGAAAAGGAGAGTGAACACAAGAATTTTGGGGCTGAATTGTGGGGTCTGCTTATATCGATTACATTTATGGATGGCCCATATTTCGCTCTCCGCATCTATGCTATAACTGTGCACAAGGTGTTAAGCTTTGGAATACTTTTCTTCACATGCAAAAATGTTTTGATGTTAATTCTTCTTTTCTATCGGTTGTTCATTGTTGTTATGAAAATCAGATCCAAACGAAAAGACGTACCACAAAAGAACCTAAATTTTTCTTAATGATACAGCCAATCAAAAATATATATTTAAAACAACACACACACACCCTCTCACACACACACACACACACACACCCTCACACACACACAAAACGTTAATCTGCAGCAATTCCTGTCTTTTAAAACATTTATCTCGGCGATCAAGTTTCATTTGTCTCTGATTAATACGAAGACGGAAATGTCAACTTTCAAGGGAAAATAATTGTTGCGTAAAATTCAGTCACCGAAAAATTCTGCTCAGCATTGAAACCTTTTTATTTACTTAAAAAGGCGATCAAATTCCTCAAGATTATCAGAATTCTTAACCCATTGTGTACTATTATATATATATATTTAAAAAGTTATATTTGCGTTTATGCTTTTATAATTTAGCTCATGTGATATTGTATATAATTCTTTGAAATACACTGTGAAATATGAATAATGATTCTTCTCTCAACCCATAACATCTACAAAATATGTACGTGTTCTACTTTTTTTTGGCCATGTCATTGTGATCTTCCGTATTTTATATAAAGAATAAACTGTATTGAGATGTGTACAGTGCAACTAGTCTTTTGTGTTCTGTTAACGTTAACCAGCATAACTTACTATACTACTTTGTGTGTACATATATATGTATATACATAGTGGGAATTAAATGAAATCGCGTGTTGGCTCTCTTGTATCGTCTCGAACTTAGTGTTTTATCATGCTACATGTGGTAAATAATGCTACTGGCCAAATGTCCGAGATGTTATATAACCTGGCCAGGTGCTTGCATTTTAAATGAATCCTAATGTCTTGTCTTTGAAAGCTAATATTATCACGTTTCCTTCCGTTTGCGTGTTCTTCTGAAATAATGACTTTGTGGAGGGGGTGCAATCTCAATCACACACAGAAAGACGTAATTGAAATCGGATTTCAAATTAGCAATGTCTGTGAAATATGTTGATCTGTTTCCTGTAACTCTGAATACAAACGGTGTTTTATCTTACCGTCTTAGCTGAATCTCGGGTGATCTTGTTCACAAGCACCTGTAGACCAAAACAGTACCGAGTTACAGATTCATCTTAATATTCACCTTAATACTGGAACAGTACACGTTACAGGTTCACCCTAATACTAGAACAGTAAACGTTACAGGTTCACCTTAATACTAGAACAGTACACATTACAGGTTCACCTTAATACTAGAACAGTACACGTTACAGGTTCACCTTAATACTAGAACAGTATACGTTACAGGTTCACCTTAATACTAGAACAGTACACGTTACAGGTTCACCTTAATACTAGAACAGTACACGTTACAGGTTCACCTTAATACTAGAACAGTACACGTTACAGGTTCACCTTAGTACTAGAAAAGTACAAGTTACAGGTCCAGTTGTAGACAAGAGAACAGATATAGTACAACAGTAAAAGTAACAGGTTCAACTATAGAAAAGGACGACTTAAGATTTATTTAGATACTAGAATAGTACAAGTTACAGGTTTAACTGTACACTAGAACATTTATACTAGAATAGTACAAGGTGTAACTGTAGACTGGAACAGAACTCATTACAGATCCACCATTATACTATTATAACATTACAAGTTACAGGTTCATTTGTAGACTAAAACAGTACTGGTTACAGGTTCACATATAAATAAAAAATAACTGGTTACATGTTCACCTGTAAACTAGAACAGTACTGGTTACAGTACACGTTCACATATAGATTAGAAAATACAGTACAGGTTCACATATAGATTAGAAAATACTGGTTACATGTTCACCTGTAGACTAGAACAGTACTAGTTTACACACAGGCTAGAGTAGTACTGCATGGTTACTAAAAATACATGTTCACTTGTAGATTGGAACAGTATTTGTTACATACAGATTAGTACAGTATTACATACAGGTTTACATGAAGACTAAAATGATACAAGTTACAGATTTTTGTAGACTTACCATGTGTGTTCCATTCATCCTCTTTCACCAAGAGTTTACAGAATTGTTTTCGTCCTTATTTGGACATAACTTATATCTTTGTGCACTAAATATAGAGCCTATATTTATCTAAAACTTAATCTAATGAAAATTAGATCCTTTGATCCGCTCACATACGATCGCTACAGTAGCGATAGTACGTGATCGGATCAAAGGATCTAATTTTCATTAGCCTTAGTGTAGAAGTCTCTGATGACACTGTAGCTCTACTGGTTTGTACTTAAAACAAATGAAGAGAAAAGTAGTACTTGGACTTGAAACTTTGCAACAGCAATAAATAGAATAATAATCCTTTGTTAAGTCTCTTTTTGTGGAAGATTTATTGCAGCAGGAGGTGTAGTCTTTTGAGAGAATTTTGCAGAAAATTCTATTTTTAGCAACCAGGGCAACATCATTCATCAAAAACCGATATATAGAATTATGTATCTCATTGTAGTGTACTTGCATGCCAAGTTATATTTAAATCTAACCAGAACTGTAGGAGGAGTAGCATTTTGAAAGTATTTCACAGAAATTGTTATTTTTAGTAACCATGGCAACACCCTTCATCAAAATCAAAAACCAATACAGAGAATTATGAAACTTGGTATAGTCTACTTGTGTGCCAATTTATTATGAAATCAAACCAAAAATGTAGGTGGAGTTGCGTTTTGAAAGTATTTCACAGAAATTTCTATTTATAAAAACCATAGCAATACCATTCAGCAAAATCAAAAATCGATAAACAGAATTATGTATCTTAGTTTAGTCTACTTGTGTGCCAAGTTATTTGTTACAGTACAAAAGAATAGCAAGGCCATTTGAGACACAGATGAGTGTTGTGGCCCATGGGCTTCTTGGTTTTACTGTTTACTGGTCAAAAAGAGAGGGTCAAATTGAAGCCTTCCCAAACCGGTCCTTTGCCTTATTAAAGAGAATTTCAAAATGTATTGCCTGAATAAAATTTATTATAAAATATAATGCATGTACAGTTAAATGATAAAAGTCCAAATCATGTATCATATACATTAATGATTATTATAAAAGTAATGAGTGACCTAACCATATACTTATTCTACACTTGCATTCCCTTAACAATTTTACAATAATATGTCAGATTAATGGAATGTACAGATGGAATGATTAAAATATATACAATTAGGGATGATGTAATGTACAAATGAAATATTCATAATGATATTGTATAGATTACATGTTCAAAATCTTAGAATGATATTCCTAATCTACTCTCTCATACCTAATTCATGATTATATCACAAATCACAATGGCACATTCATACTTGCTTCTTCATATTTCCTTGATAAAACAGATCCCATTTAATTTTTTCCTCAAAAAGGAATATAAAATATACATAAATTCTGTTAGGTTTACACATTTTGTCTGATTATCATTCAAGTTTTCTATAAATGACCATCCAGATATTTACAAAAAAGTAACAACAGGGATGATTGTAATTATGATGAAATTCAGATGTACACAAGTTATTCTTTGGAACTTAGTTTGACAGAAATGTTTCTTATTCTGAAAGATACAGTTATAGGTCTCACACACTGGATTTAACATCACGTTAATTTCTCACACTATTCATATACATCAGAAATTCTTTGTTGAAATGTATTTATCATTACAATACAGTAAAAGTCAATGTTGAGGCTATCACATCTTCTACAGTTCTGGTGTAGATTTGGCTTCTGTAAGTTGATACTGTTGCCGTGGTTACCTGTAGAGATGGTACAATGCTTGGGAAATCAGAACGATGGACAACAGGACAATACTCAGCTGTGTGTGACTTCCTCCCAGCTAAAAGAAAATAAAATACTTGTATTCAGGTTGTTTTTATTTTAGATGTAATAATGATACATGTACCTGTATGAAGAAAAAAGAATTTTTTTTTTTACAGTCAAACTCCTATTAATTGTACCTGTCTTTTACATTAAGATTTATGACATTTTACACACACTCTTTCTTTACAGGATTTATGACCTTTCACCAATACTTCAGACTTTTGATCAAAGAAGATGTTCTGCAGAAGATGCACTGATTTAATAAAGTAAAATTCACCAGTCTCTCCCCAACACTTAAACTCTGATTGTAGTAAAACATGTATTTATGTGCTTGTGCAAATTTTCAAACAAGAGGCCCAGGGGCCACATTGCTCACCTGAGCACTATGGCTAGGAAAAAGCAGAAATCACTTCAATCTTGAAAGGTTGAAAAGTTTAAATATAAAAGTGGTTGGGGGGGGGGGGGGGGGAGGGGGGGGGTCATGAATTGAACAAATTTGAATCTACATTATCTGAGGATGCTTCCATTTAAATATGACCAATCATGGCTTTGCTGTTCTTGAGTAGAAGATTTTTAAAGATTTAACCTATGTATTCCTACGTAAAACTTTGATCACCCATTGTGGCCCCACCCGACCCCCAGGGGTCATGTTTGAACAAACTTGAATGTACACTATCTAAGAATGCTTCCATATAAATATGACCAATCATGGCTTTGCTATTCTTAACAAATAGGTTTTTTTTTAAAGATTTTTACTATGTGTTCCAATGTAAAACTTTGATCGCCCATTGTGGCCCCACCCGACCCCCGTGGGTCATGATTCAAACAAATTTGTATGTACACTATCTGAGGATGCTACCATATAAATATGACCAATCATGGCTTTGCTATTCTTAACAAATTGTTTGTTTTTTTTGTTTTTTTTTAGAATTTTTACTATGTGTTCCTATGTAAAACTTTGATCGCCCATTGTGGCCCCACCCGACTCCCAGGGGTCATGATTTGAACAAATTTGAATGTACACTATCTGAGGATGCTACCATATAAATATGACCAATCATGGCTTTGCTGTTCTTGAGAAGAAGATTTTTACTATGTGTTCCTATGTAAAACTTTGATCGCCCATTGTGGCCCCATCCGACCCCCGGGGGTCATGAGTTGAATAAATTTGAATGTACACTATCTGAGGATGCTTCCATGTAAATATGACCAATCATGGCTTTGCTGTTCTTGAGAAGAAGATTTTTAAAGATTTTTCCTATATATTCCTATGCAAAACTTTGATCGCCCATTGTGGCCCCACCCGACCCCCTGGGGTCATGATTTGAACAAACTTGAATCTACACTACCTGAGGATGCTTCCAGGTAATTATGACCAATTATGGCTTTGCTGTTCTTGAGAAGAAGATTTTTAAAGATTTTCCTATATATTCCTATGTAAAACTTTGATCGCCCATTGTGGCCCCACCCTACCCCCGGGGGTCATGATTTGAACAAACTTGAATCTACACTACCTGAGGATGCTTCCAAGTAAATATGACCAATCATGGCTTTGCTGTTCTTGAGAAGAAGATTTTTGAAGATTTTTCCTATATATTCCTATGTAAAACTTTGATCCCCCATTGTGGCCCCACCCGACCCCCAGGGGTCATGATTTGAACAAATTTGAATCTACACTATCTGAGGATGCTACCATATAAATATGACCAATTATGGCTTTGCTGTTCTTGAGAAGAAGATTTTTTTAAGATTTTTCCTGTATATTTCCTATGTAAATCTTTGATCGCCCATTGCGGCCCCACCCGACCCCCAGGGGTCATGTTTGAACAAACTTGAATGTACACTATCTAAGAATGCTTCCATATAAATATGACCAATCATGGCTTTGCTATTCTTAACAAATAGGTTTTTTTTTAAAGATTTTTACTATGTGTTCCAATGTAAAACTTTGATCGCCCATTGTGGCCCCACCCGACCCCCTTGGGTCATGATTCAAACAAATTTGTATGTACACTATCTGAGGATGCTACCATATAAATATGACCAATCATGGCTTTGCTATTCTTAACAAATTGTTTGTTTTTTTTGTTTTTTTTTAGAATTTTTACTATGTGTTCCTATGTAAAACTTTGATCGCCCATTGTGGCCCCACCCGACTCCCAGGGGTCATGATTTGAACAAATTTGAATGTACACTATCTGAGGATGCTACCATATAAATATGACCAATCATGGCTTTGCTGTTCTTGAGAAGAAGATTTTTACTATGTGTTCCTATGTAAAACTTTGATCGCCCATTGTGGCCCCATCCGACCCCCGGGGGTCATGAGTTGAATAAATTTGAATGTACACTATCTGAGGATGCTTCCATGTAAATATGACCAATCATGGCTTTGCTGTTCTTGAGAAGAAGATTTTTAAAGATTTTTCCTATATATTCCTATGCAAAACTTTGATCGCCCATTGTGGCCCCACCCGACCCCCTGGGGTCATGATTTGAACAAACTTGAATCTACACTACCTGAGGATGCTTCCAGGTAATTATGACCAATTATGGCTTTGCTGTTCTTGAGAAGAAGATTTTTAAAGATTTTCCTATATATTCCTATGTAAAACTTTGATCGCCCATTGTGGCCCCACCCTACCCCCGGGGGTCATGATTTGAACAAACTTGAATCTACACTACCTGAGGATGCTTCCAAGTAAATATGACCAATCATGGCTTTGCTGTTCTTGAGAAGAAGATTTTTGAAGATTTTTCCTATATATTCCTATGTAAAACTTTGATCCCCCATTGTGGCCCCACCCGACCCCCAGGGGTCATGATTTGAACAAATTTGAATCTACACTATCTGAGGATGCTACCATATAAATATGACCAATTATGGCTTTGCTGTTCTTGAGAAGAAGATTTTTTTAAGATTTTTCCTGTATATTTCCTATGTAAATCTTTGATCGCCCATTGCGGCCCCGCCCTACCCCCGGGGGTCATGATTTGAACAAACTTGAATCTACACTACCTGAGGATGCTTCCACATAAGTTTCATGTTTTCAAGCACAGTGGTTCTTGAGAAGAAGATTTTTTAATGATGCCATTAATTTTTCACGAATTCTTAATTATCTCCCCTTGGAAGAAGGTGTGGCCCTTCATTTGAACAAACTTGAATCCCCTTTACCCAAGGATACTTTGTGGCAAGTTTGGTTGAAATTGGCCCAGTGGTTCTTGAGAAGAAGTCGAAAATGTGAAAAGTTTACAGACGGACAGACGGACAGACAGACGGACAGACGGACTACAGACAAAATGTGATCAGAAAAGCTCACTTCAGCCTTCCGCTCAGGTGAGCTAAAAACTTAACTGCAGATCAAAATTACAAAAGAAGAAATTTGAATCCTACCATTATTTGATCAAATTGCCAAAATTATTAAACTCAATAAAATGCAAAAATTCTTGATAGACAGTATACCATATGGTACATATTACTGACAAGTTGATATTATGCCAGTTTAACTATCGGTATTTAACCACCTTATGAAGATCTAAACTGTGATTAAGTTAAAATAACTATTAAATAAATTTGATAGTGAAACATTGTCAAAGCTGTTTCTAACAGTTTTTATTGTGTTACTTACTGGTTACCCTGACAACACATACCGTTGCATAGTAATTACATCGGTCTCCTTGACAACACTCCACACAGTCCCAGTCTCGATACCAGTCCCTCATGCATCGGAATCCCTTCTCCTGGGCCTCAGCATCACAGCGAGATTTTGTCTCACAAGATTTAGAGATGTTGTGATACCTCTCGCTGACTCTCTGCCAAAACTTGGGCTCTGATGGAGAAAAAAGAACACTGCATAAACTCTTTATTATGTAAAGAAATTTCACAATGCAAATTTACATAACAAATACTGACTGGTAATTGTTCAAAATTGATTTCAACTAATACATGTACATTGTACATGTAGTTTGTATAATAATGCAGTATCTTATTTACTAAAAAACTGATTATTTATTTTGGAGGTAGGAAACAAATGCTACCATGGTATGTTTATTTCGTTCCTACAGATCTCCGCATACCATTACTATACAGACCCAAGAAAGTGATTCTTACATATCTCCCTCTTTGAGATACTTGACATTTGAAAGAACAAATTTCCTCCTCTTAATTTGAACTGTACTTACGCTGCCATCGTATTTGTGTTTTAGTGAACTGTACTTACGCTGCCATCGTATTTGTGTTTTACAGGCATCCTGTTCTTTCTCACATTGAATGGTGGTTTTTATACATTTGTCTTTATTTGTTCTCTGTCCCAGACAAACATAGCATTCCAGAGCAAAACCTGCAATGGAAAATCGTCAATTATAAGGAGAATAAAATTTTTAACTTATCATAAATGACAGCAATTCTAAATAACGTAAACGAAAATAAGTCATAAGTGACTGTCATTTTTAAACGTTATATTTTTAAATTTTCTACTCTGGCAAGTTTTATTATTGCTTCTTTTAATATTACAGTACACAGTCATGTTTAAACTGTCTATATTCAGTAAATTTCAGAAGAGAATAAGGGCCTTTGTTTAAAGAATTTCAGCCCTTTCGTCCATTTTAATGCCACATAAATAAAATATTCTTTCATAATTTACTTGTTTCAGAAATAGCTTTTTATATGAATCAGTCACTTCCGCCATTGGTCATAAACATATTACACCTCAAAAAATAATGATTTTCAGAGCTAAACAAAAATAAAATATTACTTACATGAACATATTAATCCTAAAAGCCCCAAAAGGACGACTGTGCTCTTCATTTTATATCTTTTTTAAAACATCTACCTGTACACATTCATTGAATTTTTGGAACACAGGTAAAGCGGATATTACACATAGGTAAATGCCAAACCTGCTTTTGACGGAATTATAAATCCCGGAAATCTATCTTAACTGTTGAGAAGTAATGAATGAATTCAAGATCACAAAACAATGCAAATTACGAAATATCAACAAGTAGAATCCGATCAAAGAGATATAAAATATGAATTAGACTAGTTAATGGTCCTCACAAACTTACACCCTCTAGACTGGATCTTATGTTAAACCCTTGCCGACGGGGGGACGACCCCCCCCCTTTCCTGAGTATAGTAATTTACTACAGTAAATTTTCATCTAGATGCTGCCCCCCCCCCACTTCTTGACTTCTTGCTGCTGTAAGGTCGAGCACCGGCAAATTCCAGGATCTGAAGATAAAAAAATGTACTAAAAAGTAAAGGAAAGGTCCCTACCCCCCCCCCCCCTTTCCACCACCAACGAAATAATTTGGATAGTTCAGTTTTTTGTAAAATTATATTTGCTTGTCAAAGATGTTTTTGGGAGATTGCCCCTTCCCCACACTATTTGTACAGTTTATTTTTTCACTGGTTTTTGTTTGTTTGTTTTTTTTGTTTTGTTTGTTTGTTTGTTTGGGTTTTTTTTCTTCTTTGCTAGTCAGACCCCCCCCCCCTTCCCAACTATTTGGGCAGATAAGATTTTTCTTTTTTAATTTTTTTTTGGGGGTGCCCCCTTTTCAAACCGTTGCTACGGGCCTGCATGTTACGAAAAAAATATATATAGCATATTTGTTACATCATAAGCACCTGAAGCGTGGATAAAATACATTTCTTCATAGCCCCTCCACTTACTTTCCAAAATATAACGGGTCTATTTTCTCGAAAAATATGTGATTTCTTCATCAATTCCATCTATATGTCATTCTGTTATATCGGTTAAGGTTTAAAAAATGATCATATATACGGTATTATAATAATACTCAAGGTAGGAAACAAAAATTATAAACAAACGGGGAGTTCCCCTCTTCGAGGCTGATTTCCAAGGCACATGTTACCTATCATATTTTTGCAAGCACTTTCTCCTGCTAATCTCTTTAACCTTTACCACATTCTTAGTGCTTTATAACTGTTGTAATCAGAAGATTTATTGAACGGACACATGATATTTTCGAGAAAATAGAGACTCGTTTATATTTTGGAAGTGTGTGTTGTAACCTTGAACACAGTATTCATAATGGAAGTCGGACTTATCGTTGAAAAGCCCACCTTTGTATCATTTGACAAGATATCCAAAAACATTTTTGAATCTCTCAGCTCTTTAAAACCCCAAAGTGAATTTAATTTGCATTACTATGAATGAGTTTCACTCTGACTCGAAACCATGACTATGATTTGAACAAACCTGAATATACACACTGTCAGGATGCTTTCAAATAAGTTTCATGTTTTCTGGCCCAGAGGTTCTTGAGGAGAAGAGTTTTACAGCTGATCCGATCTTTTTGATCTTAGATAATTGTGATTTAGCACCATCATTCATTTACAGTGTTAAAGTTTTTCAATTTCCTAAAGTTACACACTCTAGTTCGCATCTGTTCAAAAGAAAAAGAAATTCGAAGATTAAAATATAATTATTGTAGTTCGACAATAATAATTACAACGACTTATAATATACTTGCGAACTTAATAGTATCGCTTTAACCGTAAACAGGAGATTTCACGAGTGTATATTAATGATTTGAAAAAGCTGGTTATTTTGATGGAATCAGAACTCAAGAGAAAAATAACAGTGGCCAAATAGTGTCCTTCATTCAATAAACAAAATTCTTGAACATGGCATGAGGTAAATAGGTGCTAAACTATGAAATTCTAACCAGTAAACAAAAGTATGTGTTTTAACTTTTCAGCTTTCGAAAGGTCATGCGATCGTTCTCGAATTAAAGATCTTTACGCTGAATCTTCATGAATTTTTGTTTGTAATGAAATATGGAGATAACGAACAGTATTCAAGCCCAAAGTCCATTAAAATAATACAAATCCGGAGCAGAGCAAACACGGACCTCCAAAATCAGAGATGGGATCAGGCGCCATGGAGGAGTGAGCATCCCCTGCCGACCGGTCACACCCGCCGCGTGCCCCTTGTCATGATCGGTAAATAACAGAAAAATCCGTCAACAATTCAGTGTTTAAATAATGGCCTAAGAATTAGTATGAAAAAAAGTCAGTCAACATTTGATAAATGATAGATTGTATTTGCTGACAAGGTCATTGTATCGACCATAGAACTTACGAAATGATATCTTTAAACGAGACTGTTGATATTCTTGATTCATCCAACAATACAGTTTTAAAAGATGCTACCAAATGTTTATCATTATGAATTCTTAATTATCTCCCCTGAAAAAACGACATGGCTCCTCAGCTGAACAAACTTGAATCCCCTTTAACCAAGGATGTTTTTGGCAAGTTTGAAATTGGTCCAGGGCATGGTTCAGTCTGGAGAAGTCGAAAATGTGAGAAGTTTACAAACAGCACACGGCAAACAGACAGACGACGGACACTCCTCGATCAGAAAAACTCACTTTTAGCCTTTGGCTCAGGTGAACTAAAAATTAGAGTCTTTTGGTATGCATTAACAAAGCAGTATTTTTTTTTTTAAATACATGTATTATTTATTAGAAAACAAAACATCACATACATGTTACATACAATGCATAGATTAGATTAGTTGAATCATTACATTCTTTCTATCTGTCATTTATAGAGTCATATAGAATAATTTATCATAAATTATCAAAAAGAAAAAAAAGTAGATATTTATATGTATAGTTGTATAGGTACCCTGTAATATCTGGGAAACCACGCCTTTCACAATCTTATCTGGGAGACAATTAAAAGCAGTATTTTTATAAACTGAGCATTGTTCACAAATAGGCGCATTTATTAAGAAAGAGCCATGCAGATGTCTTTCAACAATATGAAATTATCAATTACTAAGTATTAATAATACATGTATATTATATATATATATTGATGTACATGTGTAGACATAAAAATATACAAAAACAACTCAGAAAAACTTCAACGAAAATGACAGTGATATATGTTCAACCGAAAACTTTTTTTAATGCATGTTTAAAAGATTTTTCAGGTATGGGACGGAAAGTATGCACAAATGACGACACAACTTTTGCAACATTACAGACATTGATGAAGTGAAGGCAGTCTTCAGACATTACAGACATTGGCGAAGTTAAAGGCAGCTACTGACTATAAGGAACTCCTCTATAGAGGCATTACAGCTGCTGGAGACGAGGCGGAAGGCAAGCCAAGCCCGGCAGGATAAGCATAGGACTGAGTGTCGTCAAAGCCATACAAAATTAAACCAAAATTTACATTAGGATCCTGATGTGAAACCTGGTGCTGTCCCGCACTCACTTCCGCTGAAATAACGAGGTATATGACCTCATTTATGAGCAGAACATCCACGCCCTCTATTTTGGAGTATATCTTGTCCCCATCCAGCCGGATCCCGTTCTCGTCCTGGCTTCTGACGAGGATTACAATGTAATGGGTCAGGTTCGCTTTTGTCGGGGTGAGGAATTTGTAATTGTTTGAGTATTGGTCCAGAGAGGGTACAAAGAGCATAAAAGGACTAATGGTAAGAGGTGAAGCCGTCACAATGATGGGTTCTGTGCTGGAGCCGTGATAAGGATTGGCGGCCCCGGCTGTGATTCTGGAACCCCCTCGCCTTTGTAACTTACTCGAAAGATTAACGTTTTTCCCCTTTGTCGAGATTACATTGTCGACTCCCAGATTGCTGTAGTATATGTTGATGTAGGTAGAATTAAACACAGGAGGAATAATGAAGTCCGTGCCGAGACTCCTGGACGGAGGGATAAATTCAATCATTTGGTTAAATTTAGCTCTCCGACTGGATGGAGACGCGTAGTACTGACCGGAGATAACTCCAACAGGTTTGCTAGAGTACACTCGGGTGCCCAGGAGATAACCGCTAGGAGTTTGCAGTTGCGCAGTTTGTCCCGCTGTGAGATTAAACGTAATATTTTCCCCCATTCCATAATAGATTGATTCAAAGGTCACGCCACCCCAGAATCCCTTTGTGACGCTTACTTCCGTATCGTCTTCCGTTGCTACTAAAGCTACCGTGCTGTTGTACTGGGTAGCGGTATAGTACTCCGTACCCCAGAAATCAACAGGGATAGCCTGAAATCCCTCCCCCGCGCAACAATCGTCACCGGAATGTCCATAAACATAAATGGGGAAATCCGATTCAATAATGATCCCTTTATCCTCCCTCTTGTTCCCATCTAACACCACTTCTGGAGGAAGAGAGACTACGGCGCCTTCGTTTGCTTTCAGCTGCAGCACTCTATCAATGCCAGGAAAACCGGAAGTCAACCTCACTTCCGTGTCCTGTAGACTCGACATCAACAGTTCTGCCCTGGTCACTGGTCTGTTTCCATCCGGAAACATAACCACATATCGCGTACCTCCATGGCCTAGATGAACAGTTTGTTGAAATACATCTTAAAGTTTACATTTAAAAACATAAGAATTAAAATTTAAGGGTCTATAACTTTTAGAAAAGAGAAAAACAAAGCAAATATGTACCTGTAGATTGTCCCTCAGTATAAAGCTGGAAAAATTGTACCACAAATAAACTGTAAATAATTTTGCAATTCATCTTAGAGCGACACTAAATCTTTTCTGTTCTCTTAAATTTTAGATTTGTCAATGCTTATTTAAGAGGTATTCATTAAATGCATATAAGATATGCTAATGAGATGCGTCAGTATGGCATATATAATGAGGCATTGTTTTAGGAGTTTGCCTTTATAGCGTGTGAAAGGTGCGGTCCAGATCCAGACCGATGACATATTGTCTATATCGAGGAAAATATCAATCAGTCGGTAATAATTCCTGAAGTTCGAAATTCTCATTTTTATAGGCGGGACGAAATGTACGTGTAATAATATTGCTTAAAAGCGGTTTTTTGTTTGATAAATACGTCAATCCAATCAGAAAAAAATGAACCAATGATAAACCAAAAACGTATGATGAATTATATTGTGTTTTTTTAGCATGAAGATTAGAACGAGAGAGAAATCCTGAATTATAACATTTATTGTATAACTGAGAACATCAGCTGATGATTTCTACGTAGGCAGGTTGGACAGGGGTATAGGCGTGACCCCTGGGGCTGGGGACTGTCAGATCAGCGTACTGTCTACCACTCATATTGGCGTAACGGTTAGGTTCCCTTTTTCCTCCCATCTCTGTACATACTTTACTGAAAATTATATGTATACAAATATTTATTATTAGTATTTGGAATTGAAATCTTCAGCAAATATATCTGGAAAATTAAAAGAAACTTTAAGTGGGTAACTGTGACTCCTTTGTCAAACACATGCTTCATGCAGAGATAATTTTGGCGAGGAAATATGACTGGCGAACTCCTTATCAAACTCATCTGTAAAAATACAAAAAGAGAAGACAGTGGACCACAGAAAAGGCATAGAGATTTACACGTAAAAACTTGCTCATATTTACCAACTATAATGAATTAGCCTAATATTACGTATCCCTCTATCCCGAAATCTTCAAGTAAATAACATATCAAATCTTACAGATCTGAAGTGCAAATTCTGAAAGAAAATACCTACCCAATATCCCAGTTTGTCATCAGCATATTAAATAAATACATCAGCATATTAAATAAATACAATATACCTAATATTAGATGTCTTTGTGCCCCTACATTTAAAAGTAAGAACCCATCCATTTTCCCTTAATCCTTTTAAACACTTTTATGTACCAGTAAAAAACCTTTTTGATCTTATATTGTCCTTGTAGTCCCAAATCTGGAGGTAAATCACCCACCTGTCTTTAGATTGTTCCGGCGTCTCCTCTAGTCCTTTATCTACAAGTAAATCAGAAAATTAACCCGCGAGGGTCTGGTGAGTTTGTTTCTTTTAAGTTGTATAAGGTACATTATTTATTTCGTACACATGATGTGCAAAATGTTTACTTGTGATTTGCTTACATCTCCATGGATCTTTTTTAGAGGTTCGTGTTTGCTCTGCTTCCGATATGTATTGTTCCAATGGACTTTTGAGCTTGTTCGTTATTTTCATATTTCTTCTACAGAGAAGTATCATTTGTTATTGAATTGAAAATTTTAATCAATACATTGTACTTTCCTTATTTATCTCTGTCTTGCGTTTTGGTATTGTTTCTAAAATCACCAGGATATTCCTCAAATTAATTCCCAAGACCTCTTCCAGTTTTCCCTCTTTGCAGTGCAAAAACTTATATTTTGTTTTCATTTTTTCACAGCAATTTTTTATTTCAATTTCGTTGAACCTTATTTTGAAGTGCTTGTGAAATTAGATAACTTGCTAGCCTTCGACATTTTATTTTGAGTAATTCTAGATTCAGCTTTAGGCCTATAGCGTACAACAGAACTACTAGTATGTCTCAACTAACTCGACTCGATGTACTGAACCATAGGTACATGTACGCAACTGGCTATCTGGAGTTATTCAAAGTTACTATGGAAAGCCAAAGGTACCGTTCATTTTATAGTTATGATAAGACTTAACCAACATACATGGACTTTGCCATAAGGAAAAAAGCATAAACAAACCTATAGAGAATGTCCATAGGTAGACAGTAATCTAAAGTTGTCGGGAGGGATATAGTTTGGGGATCGAGGGGGAGGGGCAAAAAGAAAATGCTTTGAAATAAAAATGTGGCGGTCAGACCTTTAAGAGGGAGGAATGTGGCGGTCAGACGGATTCGATCGCCGGTGGTAAGATAGCTTAGTTGCTAGAGCACCTGACTGGAGATTCAGGGGGCCCTAGTTCGAATCCCGGTCTGGTCCGTTGCATTTATCTTCTCTCCGGTTACATTTGGTGCCGTGCCATGTCCAGGGAGTGACAGGTGAAAGCTCTACGTACGAACAATATCTAAAACAAGACAAGCTACAGACAAATAAGTTGATGATACAAGGATATAAACAGTCTAGTTTAAAGTCAACATTTCGCAAATTCTATGCTCGATACAATGATCTTGTTAGCAAATACAGTCTATCGTTAAGTAGAATATTGAATGACGTTTTTCATACATATTGTTAGGCCATTATTTTCACACTGAATTGTCTACGGCATATTGTCTACTGTTTTCGTTTGCCCTATTTTGACAAGGAGCACATGGCGAGTGTGACCGGTCGACAGGGGATGCTTACATCGTTGCAAAATATGTTTTTACATAAGCGGGGAGTGTCTCACTCTCTTTCACAACTTCATAATATCCCCATTTCAGCATACCTCGCTTTTCTAGTCTCAGAAAGTGGGGTGTTTAAAAACATTGCGACGAATATTGCTTTCTCAGTTCTATAGAAATGGGCGTGTCATTATGTAACAACAGACTTTCGATAAGAAAGACCCAAACATTCCATTCAAACGAAACATTTTACCACTTCAATGCGCATCATTGTACTTTTGTTTGATTCAAAAAAATTGTTCTGTAAGTTAAATTTGTATAAATAAATTGGACGTAAATGGTACGATTTCCTCTCCTGTGTTAGGATACCAATAGCAGAATTTCTCTTTTATCAGCTGTTCCACTTTTATTATAAGCTCACCTCTTGTCTGCTTCAGTGCTCGAGTATATATTACAATGAGGACTGCAAATATTACTAATGCGACCAAGATGAGGAAGACTCCCACGTAGAGAAGAGAGACGTCCGGACTTAAGTCTGCAATTAAACAATTTCCTTGTGAAACTCACTAAAAGTAACTAAACACCTATAGACACACACACACACACTCTCTCACACACGCACATATTATATATCTATACTTATAAATTAATAAATTTTGCAAATAAACTCCGAAACGGGTGAACCAGAGTTCTTACTTACTCCTCTAAGAATACACACGATACAAGATGATGTCCGTAAACTATATTTAAATTTCACTTGCATTGTAAGTATCGTAAATTAAATTAAAAGTATACTTTTATTTTCTATAAACAGCCATGAAATAGCAAAAACGTGAGTACGGTGGCGTTTCCGGTTGGCGGATCTAAGTTACTGGCAATTTTTAATGAAACTGACAACAAGCAATCGTTTATTTATTTCATTAAACGTGATTACTGACTTATTCAATCAAAACTTGAATTAAATGATATAAAAGAAATAAGTTGTGATAACCGATTAAAAAGGAAAACGTGCAAATTATTTTTGTCATTCACCGATCGTAATATTGACGGAAACTTCTAGAACAACATATAGCATCGAGCCCGATGTTAAAAAGAAAAACGAAGCGATTATAGCTGCTTTAACATAAAAAAAGCTTTTGTGTGAATGGTCATTGAAATAATGGTAAATCATTGATAACACTGTAAGTTGTGAGTATATTTATATATCGAAAGACTATTTCATATATATAGTAGGTTTTCCTAATACATTTATCGGTAAAATTTGTATATATTCCTCACTGAGAGCATCGTGGCAACGAACCCGAAGTACAATTTGTACTTCGTTATAAACTTGCTTACATGAAAAGAGAATATTAACGAATAAGGCATTATTGAAATACAATAATGCTGTAAAATTTTGTGCTTTAATAATCAATACATTTCAGTTTTTTTTAATACAGTCTTTTGTATCAAATATTCGGCCTATTCCAGTGGCGGATCCAGAAATCTTGAAAGGGGGGGGGGGGGGCAGTTTGGGGTTGGGATAGGGGCCCACGGACACACCAAAAAAATTGATTTATTAAATTCTATGTATATTTTGGACAGAAAACGGGAGGGGGGCTGGGCCCCCCTCTAAATCCGCCAGTGTATTCATAGGACGTTATATAAAAGCTAATTTTTACACGGGTTCTTGGGTCTTGGATTATAAATATGTATGTACCTTATTGATATGTAAAAAAAGAGGTAAGGTACAGTTTTTACATATCAATAAGGTACATACATATTTATAAACCAAGACCCAAGTACCTGTGAATTTTTACCAAAAAAGAAATCTATTTCTCAGTAAATTGTGCATATTCACTGCTTTTATTCTTGACGGAAATGAAATAAGACCATCTGAAGTACAATATCCATAACATAGTATATACAATATCCATAACATAGTATAAAACAGGTTCACAATAAACGTCAATTAATAAGTTTTACAAGGGGGGGGGGGGGTGGTTGGAGACGTACTTCTACTTCATGCGGGATTTTGAACAAAGTATTTCTTCCTGCTATAAGCCTGTAGGCTGTCAGTAGAAACTACAATATATATATATTATTAGATTTTTTCTGTCGGTATATGTAGTGGTATAAATTCAATTCCCTGCGCTTGCGCGGGATTTCATCTAGTAAATATATATATTACTCGGGTAAGATCTCATCCCACCACCCATACCGCACCCCCGATACCCTACCTTCTGTTTCTGCAGGAAGAGGGGCACGCCGGGGAGGAGGCTTTATTTTCGGTGCATCCATTTGATTAATTCCTAATAAAAACAGGACCTAGACTGTGAAATACAAAACCAAAAACCAGCGGAAGGAAAGAGATGTTTATACTGAGTTTTCGTTTCATCATCAACCTCGTCAAATCGGGGGCTTATATACATGTAACAGGAAAGGAGAAAATGTGTATGGCTGGACCGGGAATCGAACCCGGGACCCCGGCATCACTAGTCAGGTGCTCTATCGACTGAGCTACCCAGGCCGATATCCACGGCCCAAACCATTACATTCCTCCCTCCTTAATTGTCTTCGCCCTCGAAGACACAACCCAATTTCTTATTAGCCCCTGGCAGGATTTCACCTGCAAGTCCAGGGATGGTCAACGGCACCAAACCTGTAAATGTATGGCTGGATCGGGAATCGAATCCGGGACCCCTGCATCACTAGTCAGGTGCTCTACCGACTGAGCTACCCTGGCCGATATCCACTGCTCAAACCATTACATACATAACAACGGCCCAAGGAAGTAAGGAGCCTCGTTAAAATATAGAGCGTCTAGAGTTTACAGGAGTTTAAAAAGCTTTCAATTATATCTATTATCAATACCGGGTGTAATTTGATTCATACTTAGGTCATATATAATATGAAGTCGAGGTTCCCAGTACGCAGTGACACTGTTTGAATTATTCTTCCTCCTTGTCCTAACACCTTAATGTCTTGTTAAAACTTTAATCAGGGATTTGATACTTCCTGTTAGAGTTATATACTCTTTTACTTTCTTTAGTGTACGTCTTTTGTATGGCGGATACTGTGACAAATTGTTGAGAGATCACGTGAGTGACATGGCGAGTAATTAGTGTAATACAATGTTACTCACACACGCTATGTAGAGGAAGGATGTGCTCTGTTAGGAGTGTATATACCGAGGTTTCCTTGTAGAAACTGTCTAGGTTTTACAATTGACCCAAAAGGAATATTTATATGTATGTGTAAACTCTTTACATTATGATATTAATGTCTTTGATTTTTGTCACCTGAAAACTGTTCAAAATTTTCAACGAAGAGAACCGCAGATTGGAGAGAACTTTTTAGTATCAGCTGTTTGTATTACAATGGGTGGGACAGGTATGTAACTTTCAAACTTTTGGATGTTAATTAATGTAAACTTTACATGTAGAAATGTTTTCTCTCAATAAGAATAGAGTATATGAGTAAAATTAAGCTGTGCCTGTGTTAGAATGGCAGTATCTAAGCCTGTCTTTATGCTATGTATTACAATGTCGACCATCATTGAACACAGTCCATTTCCTGTGTTTACGAAGTGTTTATTCTGATTAATTTCCTTATATGTACACTTATTTTATATAGAATGAAGGAAAATAAAGTATTGTTCGATTTAATGATCAAATCATTGCAGACAGAAAGGTTTTTCACCCAATAAAGATTATTTCTATTTCAGTTTTTACTTTAGCTAGTACTTTGTTTCATAAGCTTTCTTCCATTAAAACCATCTACAATAGGACGCATCTACATATACATCTATCAATAGGTATAGCTTTGATTTAACTATAAACATATAATGATATTCATGCCGAAAACTTTTTTTCAGTTTTATAAACTTCCGCACGACAGTATTCCTCTATATAATTATCATAAGAAGGAATAAAATATGTTAAATAAAGCACAGCAAAACAACTTAATCTGTACTTCCCCTACAAATTAATTATGGGTGAGTCATTGAAATGATGAAACATCAGGCCTTACTCTACAGCAACTGTAGAATTTAAGCAAACAATTACAAACAAGTTCTATATATACGTATCATTTCTTCATGCTTGTGAATGAATTAAAAGAGAGAATCCTTTGCATGCATGCGAGGATCTAAAGATGGAGGGGGGGGGGGAGTCCGGACTCGATACCCCCCTCCAGGAATTTTCAGAGTAATTAAATTTACATAGTTAAGTAACTAAAAATGACTTTACCCCCCCCCCACCCCCCGGAAACGCAGATCTCTTTTAAGTTGACAGGAAGAGTCATATAAGTGAAGGAAAGCGGTTCATAGAAGGTACATCCCCCCAATGATATTTTGTAAAAGGCAAATTAGGGAGGGAGTACCCTCCTTTCAAGTTCGTCGAGAAAGAGAATCAGTAACATGTATGGAGACCCTACTGGTTAAATTCCGTATTTCTAACATTGGAGAGGATAGTTGGAAAAGAAAAAAATCACTTGATGAGACAAGCAACACATTTGGTATGTAGGTTCCTTGGCAAGTTTCTGAATAGGAAATATCGTTTGCCATTCAAGTTTCGGCCATATTCAAAATGGCCGATCTAATTTTCAAAACGGCGCTATTTTTCGTATTCTATATATGGTATTTTCAATATTTTTAGCAACAACGTTTTTAAAATTCTTTCAGATATTAAATCAAATTTTTGTCTGGCTTATGATTAAATTGTTATTTAACGTATATATGCAGTATTAAAGCATGTGCTTAAGTACGTTGTCGTGGTTTTTTAGTACTCAAAAGAACGAATCTGCAAATCAGTTACTGCAAAGAGCAGTAAATGGCTAATTTTGCCTGAAACATTTGCAGTTACCCAAAAAGTAATTCTACACTTACATTCATGTACTTCTTGGCGTAAGGCTGCGACCAGCGCCAAAGATGTTCAGTATATGGGACCCATTTTTTCACATGCCCAGTGAAAAGGTGAAGGTATAGCTTGCGACTTACAAACGGCTGCTTCCACTTACGTTTTGCTCAGGTGCTAAAAAAGAAAAATCCTTGAGAGGAAAAATGCAACAGAAGGGACTCTGTTTACGGGGGTAAAGACGTGGTAAGGACATGGACATTTTTAATTGATACTGCTGGACCGATCGAACATGACTTAATCCTCTAAATTGACGTTCTTTGTGAGCAACAGCATGCTCTGAATACGATCAATTTTTAAACCTAGGCAAGCTACTGACAAATAAGTTGATGTTACAAGGATTTCAACATTCCCGTTTAAAGTCAGCTTTTCGCCAATTCTACGGTCGTTATTATAACCTTGTTTGTAAATACAGCCTAGCGTTGGGTCTTATTTTGTCTGACATGTTTGATACCATAAGTTAGGTCATTGCTTTTATACTAAATAAGACTACAGAGTATTCCGTATACCTGATCAATACACAGGGCTCACGGCGGATATGACCGATCAACAGGAGATGCTTACTCCTCCTAGGCACCTGATCCCTGCACTGGTATTTCCAGTGGTCCGTGTTTTTGCCCTGTGCATGATTCATTTTGTTTACTGGATTTCTGAGATTGATGACTGTTCGTTATCTTCAGATTTTACACCCTAACAAAAAATACTATAGTTAACTATAGTTTACTATAGTGATAACTTTGACACTATGAAAACTATATCTAACTATAGTGATAACTTTGACACTATGAAAACTATAGTTAACTATAGTGATAACTTTGACACTATGAAAACTATAGTTAACTATAGTAATAACTTTGAAACTTTGCTTTACTATAGTGATAACTTTGAAAACATTGATTTACTATGGTGATCACTATGACACTATAGTAATAACTATGAAAACTTTGAAATACTATAGTGATCACTATGAAAACTTTGATTTAGTATGGTTAAAACTTTGATTTTCTATAGTGATAACTTTGAAACTTTGATTAACTATAGTAAACTATAGTTAACTATAGTTTTATTATAGTATTTTTTGTTTGGGATTGTGAAATATAAGGTTGTCACAGTTGTCCTCCACCTGGTCCTGTTTGAGCTGTTTCTTTTGTCTCCGTCCAGTTTGTTCCAATCTCATCTTATTCTGTTATTCTTGTCCTTCAGCTATGTAATGGACAACTTCTTTTCCGATTTCTCTGATCCGTCTTGAAGATTGTTTGATGTTGGCATTGTCAGGTTTGTGTAACTTGCCATGTTCTTCTTTTAAGCTGTTTCACTGCCGGTTCTTTGCTATCCAGAGCCACCTATTGTTTATGGTTGTGAGCAAACAAATCTGCATATGTATCGTTGGCACTTGTTCACGATAAACGAGGAATTACTATTGTAGGCTTTTATTTATATGTAATCTCCAGGACTTTAGGCCATAAAAAAGATTGATTTCACGCTGGTGTTAATTGATCTAATTTTGGTGTCCTCTGATAGAGTTGTTGACTTCTATGCCGGCTGATAAAGCCTGCCTTCCTTTGCTTGTTTTGGTTTTAATGCTTTCTGTAGTTCCTCTGATTAGTTTATGATACTAACAGGAAATTGATTGACCTTTTCTATATGTCCGTCTTTGAAAGTTTACTCCATTCTCGGTATGCCTCTCATTAACTTTATTTTCTTGGTATAGAACTTAAGCAGGGACGTAGCATCGTTTCTGAAAGTTGGGGGGGGGCAGCCAGAGAAAAAAATTTCAACTTACCTGGAAAAAACTTGACAAGCAAAAAAAAAGGGATAAATTGTCCGAAAATCCTATTTTGCGGGGGGGGGGGGGCAGGTAGGTTCCAACTTCTTTCAGTACCAAATTTTATTCATACACTACGACAAAACCCTTATTTTACTACCGGTATTCTACAACAAAAAGTTGTGGGCCAACCGGCCTTTCAATTAACATTTCAAATAGTAAAAAAAGTCTGGAAAAAAGTGGAAGGGAGGCAGCTCCCCACCTGTTGCTATGTGCCTGTTAAGCCTTATCTTTAACCCTGTTTCATCTGTTTTCTCTTCTCTCTTATCCTAAAGAATTAAGTCTAAGGTCCTCTGCAAAGTCTATGTCATCTAAACTCTTAAGGAAGGGGGCACCGAATTCCTTACTGGCTTTTAATAAAGGATTGTCTCGTAGCCTAGCCTACAGCTATCAGGAATATAGTCAGTGATAGGATTCAACCTTGTACAGCAAATGATCCTGTCAGAGTTTTTTTTAGGAATTCACTTTATGCCGTATCTTGATCATGTTTACGATTGTAACAGTGATCCATGATGCCTACCAGGTAGTCAGTGCAGTGACTAGTGACTGATCATTCTAAATCTCTCTCTCAAAACTTTGTCATTTACCTCTTTCTTCGAAATAATAGGTTTTAGAATCTTTCTTGCTACACATTGGTATGTGATGCCTCTTCAATTTCTGTACAGGTTAAGACCCCCCTTCTTTGGTTCACGTAGTTATACATTCAGTTCTTTCTTCCTCTCATTTGGACTCGTCCGATTTTATTAAGACAGTCTATACATATATTCCACAACGTTTCGTCCTATAACCCCAATACTTCTGGTAGTATTCTGTCAATTCCTGTTGTTTTTCCATATTTAAAAGAATTAATACCAGTTGCTGTTTCTACTTCCTTCTTCGCATCTGTCAATCTTTACATCTATTTTTGTATTCAGGAATACTGTTTTTCTCTCTGGTGTCAATTGGTCTATTTAGTACATCATTTTGAAGTGCCCCTCCCTTCTTCAAGGTATTCATCTAGCTTTACCAACATATCTTTCAGGCCTCAAGACCATAAACTGAGAACATACTTAAGCCAAAGTTTTGATTTTGAATATCTTGAGTTTTATTTAACATATGTGCATAAAAATTGGCAGGTTTGTATTATATTTAAGTTCAAACAAATGATGAAAATTTTGTTTCATTATCAAAATCACTTATTATATTGATTTGAAATTTTGACTTAAGTCTATTCTCAGTTTATGGTGTTGGGACCTGGTTTTCTTTGACGGCTTGGTTTTACTTGGTCTTCTCTTGCTCTGAGTTTTTGTGAGGTTATATGTGCAGTGAGTATTGTCTCCCATATGATCTTCCAGCTCAGCTTCCAGAGTAAGTTCTTTTATAATCTTTTCTTCTTGCTCGTAGCTATGTTTGACTTCTTTGTCTAACTCATGATATTTTGTTTAAAACTACTTCTTTTGCAATCTTTTTTTTTCATTATTAATCTTATCCTTGACATACTTTTTCCTCTAAGATTTTTGCCATTTTTTTGTCACATTTTTTTCTTTCAATAGACATAATTTTCTTCCCAGGATTTCTTCACATGTCTTTTAGAAAATATATTTGCCTATATCTCATTCAAGATCTTCTGTGGTGTCTACACTTCAATTTTTTAGTTAGATTTTGAATTCTTCTTGGATTTGTAAGTCTTTCAGTTTTTGAAAATTGTACTAACTGCTATATTGTTCCCTCTTTTTTAGTTTTGCTAGTCGAATTTTAAATTTCCCAGAACTTATTACTGTATGCTCCTCGTTTTACTCTTATATAACTGAGGTCCGAGATTTTTCATCTCTCCTTATCATGATAAGATCAATCTATCTTTTCATAATCTGTCTTGTGACTCCCATATATCCTTATAGATACATAAATTCATATGTGGGAACATGGAGTCTCTTGTAACAAGTGCCCACAATTCATCTAGATCTCAATTTGCATTCATACCCCTAGAGGGGCACCATGCCTTTCCAGTATCTTTTCTTTTGTCGTCTTGGCAAATCCCTGCATTCATATCACCGTTTAAGTTTTTAATACAATTTAATATTGCAATTAACCAATTGTATGTGAGGCCAAGCAGTATAGAAACGGCGCCATTTTATTTTAGTGGAAATTGATTTTTTTTTGTTGTTTGTTTGTCTGTTTAACGTCCCTTCGAGATTTTTTTACTCATATTGAGACGCCACTTGCTGGTGAAGGGCTGCAAATTTAGACCTGTATCGGAACTTTCGGCCTTTGAGCAGTGTTCAAAGGGTCTTTTTCGTGCCAGCACCTACTGTGACACTGTTTATACGGTCTCATCCAAAGGAGCGGTCTCCACATCCCGCAGTGGGATTAGAAACTGCGACGTATAAGGATCAGTTCCTTACTCCGCGACTCTAGAGCAAACGCTCTAACCACTGCGCCACGCAAGCGACGGCGGAATTTGAGATTGGCAACGATGATTTTAGAAACAGCATTATCTGACTTAAATTTGTAGCAATGTTTATGCTTGTATGTATCTCCACAAGTGAAATATTTTGGTGAAATTTTGATGGTAATCGCTACACTTTAACTGGAAAGGAAATGAGTATCTTAGTATGGACATACAACTGTGTTTTAAATCAGTTTTTTCCAACTGTAGAAAGTTTCTGCAAGGAGTGTCACAGAATGATCCATCGAATCAAATATAAGAGATTTTTTTGTTAACAAATGCGTATACAATGTATATCCGTATAGAGGTTTTAGAAAAGGACCTGTAAAATAGTGCAGGTAATACAATTACAAAAACAAACTAGAAAAAGAGAACAGTTCTTTATTCTGGTTATTTCCACTAAATTTTAAGACGATGGAGATTTCTTAGTAATGAATTTCAAAAGTGGTCATTATTGTTTGATTAGTGTTGATATACAGCAGAGGCAAGGAAAAAAGCAATGTTATTTTTCTTTAAGGAGGCTGGGGGGTCAACAAATTAACCATCAGATATAACTTTATTTTTTAGATATGATATCTTAAGCTGTCAACTATCATTTGGCAAACAAAAATTTCATACATTTTAGTTTTAAAATTTGATAATTTTTGTATATCTTTATATGGAGCTCTTCTTCTAAAGGAGATCAATATAGTCTGAAAATGGCCACAACCACCCAGCCCTCTTAACAGAAACAAACTCTACCTATATTCGAATACTTTGCTCTAAGAAAGATAACTCTGACATAATTTTTGTAAAACGGAGCCATCTAAATGCATTTACCTCCAACTATTAAATTCAAGAACATGATATCAATCCTAGGGATTTCTACAAGAATAGTTATGCCAGTCTTGAGGTTTAACTTTGGTCAATTAAATAAAAAAAATAGGAAATAGATAAACGGAACGATAAATTAATAAATTAAGCCTCTCTGAAGTTGACCTACCTGAGCTGGGGGTTTTACAGCAATTTTTAGTTTTACCTTGGAGTTGTAAAAATAACGTCAAACACAGTCATTTGACTTTTTGTGTCAAATTAAAAAGTAGGTAGATAAAAACCAATCATCTATATTATTTAAACTTATAATGTAACAAGTTTTATGATATTTGGAGTTTTTATGTCTTTTCTCTCTCCGTTAATAGCTTCTAGTCGAGGAGTTATAAGCAGCCAGCAAAATAATGTTCTGTCATCAATTACATCTGACCCAATTACCTGAGGTCTTGTTTTGACATATTTATTTTCGTAACGTCAAAAAATGAAATGAACTACAGAATTCTAGTGGAAGGGAGGGTAACGATGTTTTGTTGTGCTAATTTTAAAGGATGCCTAGGTTCTGCGAAAGGTAAAGTGTCTCTTGTGTGTGTGTGTGTGTGTGAGGGAGAGGGTGTGTGTGTGTGTGTGTGTGTGTGTGTGTGAGGGAGGGTCTGTGTGTGTGTGTGTGTACAGTAATATCCTGGTGAAATGAACCTTGCTGTGATGGTACAACTTCGTCTCTATCAGGTTGTTTGTCTTGTCTTGTACGAATCATTACTTATCTATATAAACTCTGCACAGGTGTTAACAATATTCCTATGTACACAGAATAAACAATGGTATACATTTTATAATTGCTGACATGGCTTTATGTTTCACTGAGTGCCTTTGAGCAATGACACTTAGTGGCCGTGTTTTTCTTATACAGTGTACGTACAATATGAGTCAAATAAACCCTGTAATTGTGTTTATATGAAGTATATCCCCTATGTTGCCTCTCCGATATACTTCCTGTTTTGGGTGACGACTTGTACATGTATTTGTTTCGTCTGTCGTGTTTTCACTTCGATAATCTGATAGTTGTTTAACTTCTGGATAAGTTTTCATGTGAGCCGTGTGGTTACAGCACAGAAAATGACATTTTGGGCTAAACTTAAAGCATTGGTAGGATTTGGTGACGGTGGGTATATTGTCTCTCTCATATATATATATATATATATATATATATATATATATATATATATATATATATATATATATATATATATATATATATATATATATAGACAGTTGTACTTACTATCTAACTAGAAGCTAGTGTATAACAGCTCGTTTAAACCGAAGCAAGTGTACTCGAAATAAGGAAATATGTAGTATGTATCACAGGTGTATATTATTGTTAAATTGATCTTATGATCGAGTTTTAAATCACTGCTATTTTGTTCGTTAAGATTAACTGAATTGTAGATGTAATTTGAAAAGTATATCAGGCATCATCTATATATACAATAATGAGTCAGCTTGTATACCACGGAAACTAGTGACACAGTGTTAGACAGTGGCAGCCAGATCAAACGCTACATGTAAAATTCACAGTTGCAGTATATATTAATAGATAAGCGTCTGTTTAACTTTGAAAACCCTTGAAAAACCCTGACATGTATCTCAAGTTGATAATTTTATCTTTTTAGTAAGATCAGACTTGTCCTTAACTAGTAATTAACCGTACGTTCACTGTCTTTTCGACCAAGTTGGTCAAACGTCTGACCATATTTTTGAAAAGTTCAGTAGATCTTTACACACGTATAGTATTCAGTCTCTCTCTATCTCATTCTCTCTCTCTCTCTCTCTGAGGTTGTAGATATTTACAGGAGTGCAGTTTTCAATTAAATCTTTTTATACAAAAAACCCGTGCAATATCCGAACATCTAACCAAAACCGTTACCAATTCATCTTTTTATTCAAGAACCCCAAATGCTCTCAAGTCTTACTTGAGTCCCCTAATGGTAATGTCAATATAGGGTTACCCCTACCATTAAAAGTTCGAGGGGTTCTTTTCCTGCAAAAAGCAGAATAAAATTTCGAGCGTAATGAATTTCTAATTTTCTTGATCTTTCAGGATCGAAGAAAAAGACAACTAACAATGACGCTGCGAACGGAAAGGAAGGTAAGGAACTCCTACCGCAACAAACGGGCACCTGCCCGTCTATATATGTATTATACTCTGTATAGGGGTTTTTCTTTAACAATTTCTTCCGACTAATACAATATATATAACTCATGGAGTGCGCTTTTTTTTGTGAAAAAGTAGAGCAGGGAAAGGGTCTAAAGGCTTCTGTCTTAGTTGTTTTCCAGACTATCAATATTAATTTCCCTGTGTAAATTTAATCTATATTTAAGGAAGTGTAAACGGGGTTGTGTTAAAAATGCACGCTTCTGTCTTAAAAATTAAAAAAGAATACCGATAACCTTCTACACATTCTTAAAAAAATATTGGTTGTATGTACACAGCTAACTCAAACCATCTAAGAAAATCTTTTAATGGAATTGAATATTGATTTGTTTTCTTCCATGATATTGTCTGTTAATAATAATTTTGCTTTGCTATCCCTTTTTAACGCATACAATAAACTGCATTTCTATCGCTGTATGTGAATCTTGGGTAAAATGTAGCACTGTCTAAACACATTTACTATTTTCTGGTATGTGACAAAATCTAACCATGCTTTTTTTTTTACCTGTCTTCTAGATGAACCAGACCCCAGGTGGTCAGGTAGGTACACATGTACAACCAATACAATAACAGGTAGATAAGTGTAATATTAATGATGCTAGTGGAGTCGGTTTATAAACATGAATAAATCGTCAAGTTCTGCATGTGGATCCAATGATGTCGGAAAACAATATCATTTTAATGAGTGTTTTTTAAAGCAGGAAATGAAGTATAAGATCCATACAAATGAATAGTAGCTCTCTATTTCAAAAGAAACATATACCGGTGATATAAAAATGATCCATAAATGATCTATATAAGCATGTTGGAATAGCGGTTTGAACTAACATCTCTCAAAATTCGAATCGTGATTCGATGACGAAGTTTAGAATTCCGAATAGTACCGATATCCCTCTGTGTTCTACGACCCTCTTTCACAATGCAGTCTCATCACTCTACTTTAATGATCGTCTATAAGTATGCATTATATGTGGTTAAAACACTTGGTGGTAAAGCAGGAAATGTCAATCTTTTTTGCCCGATTTCCTATTGAATTGAATCAGAAAAAAATGTTTGAATTATAAGCTATACCAATCTTATCATCTAGGTTATTTCCTTGTTCCAGAGAAATTATTTAACATAAAATACAATGTATCTAGTCAAATTCCTAGCCTCTGTCGTTACAGATTTATCAAATTGGTACTTTATCTACTCACAGAATGCTATAGATGTATTTATCAAATTTATATCAATATAAAGTCAATAGCCTACAGTGCCACGTCAGTATAGGTCGTGAGAAAAGTTTTAGTCTTTAAGTGACTTGCTCAATAAAATGTCGTCTACTTAAATGTGAACTTTGAAATACTCGTTTGGTAGTTTCGTGCATTACATAAACACGCTAATGAAGAAACAATTCATGGACTTGTGTACTTACCGCCCAAAAGCCGTCGAATGAACTTTGATTTCTTAGAATATTCCAGCAAAGGCTCCTTCAACATGCTCACATATTTTAAAGAAAGAGGAGGCCCACTTGATATCAAAAAGCACAGTTAAAGAGAACAGATTCCCATTGAATTATAACCACTCACATAAATCATGGGAGATCCAATATTTATTAACAAAAACACTAATGCCATCTTAAGCTTTAAGTAAAATAATGCTATTTGATTTATTTTAGTTGCAGGGAGGAAACATACATATGAAGAATGCCATCCAGAGGACGAGGATGATAAACCAGACCCAGGGGCACAGGAACAGTACAAAGGTAAGAATTACCACCCAAAAATACAAAGATTAGAATTACCACCAAAAGGTACAAAGGTAAGAATAACCACCAAAAAGTACAAAGGTTAGAATTACCATCAAAATGGTTAGAATTACCACCAAAAAGGTTAGAATTACCACCAAAAAGTACAAAGATTAGAATTACCACCAAAAAGTAAAAAGGTTAGAAATACCATCAAAAAGTACAAAGATTAGAATTACCACCAAAAAGTACAAAGGTTAGAATTACCACCAAAAAGTACAAAGGTTAGAATTACCACCAAAAAGTACAAAGGTTAGACTTACCACCAAAAAGTACAAAGGTTAGAATTACCACCAAAAAGTACAAAGGTTAGAATTATCACCAAAATGGTTAGAATAACCACAAAAAAGTACAAAGGTTAGAATTACCACCAAAAAGTACAAAGGTTAGAAATACCACCAAAAAGTACAAAGGTTAGAATTACCACCAAAAAGTACAAAGGTTAGAATAATCACCAAAATGGTTAGAATAACCACAAAAAAGTACAAAGGTTAGAATTACCACCAAAAAGTACAAAGGTTAGAATGACCACCAAAAAGTACAAAGGTTAGAATGACCACCAAAAAATAAAAAAAAATTAGAATTAACACCTGAGAGTACAAACGTTAGAATTTATCACCAAAAAGTAATGAGGTTAGAATAGCCACCGAAAAGTACACATGTAAGAATTACTACCAAAAAGTACAAGGGTTAAAATTACCACCGAAAAGTACAAATATTAGAATTACCACCGAAAAGTATACAGGTTAGAAGTACCACCAAAAAGAATTATCGGCAAAAGCCCCCAAGGTTAGACAACAAATAATACGAAGGTAGAAGTATGGCCACTTCAAAGGTTAGAGGCATTATGAAATATTTCAAAGGTTGAAAATACCGCACAACGGTTCAAAGGGTAGATCTTCTACCAAATTACATAAAGGTTACGTAAACGTTAGAATAACTCCAAAACATTGTAAATGTTAGAATTACTTAAAACTCAATTTAAAGGTTGGAATTGCTGCTAAACAATAACTCTGAAACAATTTATTTATAAAGGTTAGAATTACTGCGAAACATTGTAAAGGTTATAAAATTAATCCAAAATAATGTATTAAAGCTGACAATGTTAAGATTAGAATTACTTCGAAACAATGTAAAGGTTAAAATTGTTGCCGAAAAGTTCAAAGATACACATGTTGTGGCTCAAGGACAGTCAACACACTAATGAAAAACGTTTTTGGACATTGAGAAAATTTAATCATATATCAGATGTACCTATTTCAACATAGGGAACCTGCCATTTAACCTCAGGAAAAATATTCAAAGAAAACTCAGTACTGATGAATAGAAAGCATTCATTTGTTGCTTGCTAATTCATGCGCGGATCCAGGAATTGAAGTTTGGGGGGGGGGGGCGCAAAAAGTAGGCAGGGGGTCTGGGGGCCGCCTTGAGGCCCCCAGTGGGTCCAGGGCGAAGCTCCCGGAAGCTCCTGGATTCTAGAGATTTTGTGGGTTAAAAATGAGGTCTACCGAGTAGACATTTTTACATTTTCTCGAAGAAACTGCGGTTTACGTTAACTTTGACAGTTTTAGGGAGGTGCGCGCCGGGGGCGCCCCTACCCTTAAATCCGCAACTGTTGTTTAAGGGATAAAACATATGCAAATAAAGTTTTGGTCTAATAAAACGCTAAAAATGCTTGAATTAATAACAAATACCCGGTAGAATAATATACTGTCGATTTCAATTTATTTAATTAATTTTAATTTTATTTATAGACAAAACCACATGTGGCGCAAATCATACATACAGTATACAAATATAGTCACATACATGTAGATTTTCTTATGTTAAATGCATCACGTATGAAGTTACAAATATTTCTTGTTGAATTAACATCTGCTAGATTAAGAATTTCATAAGATATACATGTATCATTAAAAAGTATACAGTATTCACTTCTTAGTTGTTTATAAAGAGGACATAAAAATAAAAAATAATATTCATGCTCAACAACAGTATGGCAGTTAATACACTATCTTTCATCTCTTGGTATAATTGGATTACAATATCTGCCAACTCTATCTGTAATTTGTGGGCACTTATTCTTAATTGAGTCAAAAAAGAACGAAGCTTCTTGGAAATGGAAAAATTTTAAGTATGGTTGAATTTCAAGCTTGTTTAGATTTTGTGGACTTATTAACTGACTGTAGAATGACAATTTTCCATTACCCTTTTCTTTGATATTTCTAATGTCCCTGAAAACTATATTCTCAAAAATACTTTTTTCAAATTATTTTTAAAATCATTTATAGATAATGTATTAGCATTTGAAAAAAAGATAACTTCATCAAGTATCTATATATACATATCGTAAACATATATCTTTAACATTTTTTGAGTATCCTATGTCCTAAAATTGACCCTAGTCAAGTTCCAAACTCTGTTAATTACATTTATTATACCTCTACTGATTTTTCCCTATATAACATTAGATCGTTAAATAGATGTGACTTACTCCCTAGAAATCCTTATGAATGGACTAATCCCCGTGCGTTAGTCAAGTGGGCTAATCCCTGCTTCGAAAGCTAATTCCCGGTTATCCGTAATCCTCTAGATTTTACTTTCACATTGGTATGATACGTGAATGGACTAATCCCCGTGTGTTAGTTCAGTGAGCTAATTCCTTGCTTTCAAATCACGCTATCTGAATCCTCTAAATTTTACATTTGTATCGGTATAATAAAACAGTTAAAAGTATATCATTGCGGGAGTTAGCAAGATTCCAGTTCCCCTCGACCAGGACCATTTCCCTCGGCTTCGCCTCGGGAAATAGTCCTGGCCTTGGGGAACTGGAATCTTGCTAACTCCCTCAATGATATACTTTAGTTGTATAGTATTCCCTTTATTTACACTTAGTATTAAACTTCAATATCTTCTGATAAAAATACGCAGGTAAATCATGTTTACTGCATTCTGTCTATATTTTCAGTGACAAGGGCACCACGACAGTACGAAGATATCGATAAGGATTATGAACAACAGAAAGCCGAAACCAAAGATTCTAACAATGCAAGGTTGTCACAAAAGGTCGCTTATCCTTCCTTTCTCATTTGTCGACACCCTGAGTATAGTATTAAGTACTGGAAATAAATTTCCTTACTAAAAAAAAAAGAACTATTCTATCCCGGAACACTTACCCCGAACTAACCATTTGTATTTTTGATACTACAGAGAAATTTATAACGTAAATATGCCCTTATACGTGGTTTTTAGTGTAATTTTGGTTAAAAATGAACGCTAGACATGTGACTTTCAGTTGAATGTCCTAAAGAGATAATAAAATACTACTCACCGACCTAGAAAGTTTTGATCCAGCACCATCAAAAATACTACTCACTTTTACCAGCCGTTGCGTAGCTCAAAATTTGTGGTCTATCATTCTGACTGAATATTGAAATCCACTAGTTCATGTACTGAAAATAACTCTCCACATAAGCTATATTTTACTCCTAATTTGGAGTCCGCTAGTACTCAAAGTATAACTCCCCATTTATGCTACCCCTTGTTTAAACTTTGATTGCTGGAGGTGATAAAAAAATATTGCTCACCATTCAAATTATGTCAAACGCCGGATTCAAAATCTACTTGTACCAAACTATTGTCCAGTTAAAAAGTGCGTGTGTGTGTATGGGGGGGGGGGGGGGGGGTAAGTTCCATAAAAGGGAAGATTTTTTATGTTCTTTAACTCGAACTTGTAAATGTCAATTTTAAATTTGAAAAACCTTTAGTGACCTTCAGGGTATCGGCAATGTTTGTATGCAGAAAATGCCAGAAGAATAACCCTTGTTCTTTTCCTCTTCTGTGCTGGCTTATATAATCCCCTCATGTGAGACAAATGACTTGTTCAAACTTTGAAGAACTGCTCTGAAATAGCTTTGTTATTACAGAACAATGTTAAATGTTCACTGTTATCCTATGCTCGCTCAAACTAGTCATGCTTTTATTAGATCTAGCTATACTTTAGGTGAAAAGACTCAACATTAACAAATTTAAATTATAGTTTAATTTTTCAAATTCGAATTTTTGCCAGTTTTAAAACTATATGTATGTTTGTGATCCCTTTATTGAAACTAGAATACTGTTTGAAACTACTTATTGCATAAGTTTCTTAAGGAGTAAAGAATAAAGTTTCCTGTCAGACAGACAGACAGACAGACACTGTTGAACATTTCTCAGTTTAACTCCATCTTTGAATATAGAGAACAAATGCATGAGAATACTATTTACACTGCTTTTAAATGCATGCTATATAAAACTTGCAAGCATACGACTTATAAAGTTTGGATAAGCTTTGTATCCCCCCACTCTAAGGGATCCTAAGGTAACGCTTTCTGATTCAACACTAGGTTTTAAGATTAATATAAATATAGTACATTGTTGATTAATATTTCAGCATGCTGTTTGGTAGGATCCTAACAATATCTGTGGTTGCAATCAAACTAAATTTTCTTTTTAAAGAAATTAATTTAAGAACATCAATGCAGGATTTTTTTTTTCTAATTTAAAGTTTGTGTCAAAAAAAAATTAGAAACACCCCGTGTTTGCTGATGGTGCTTAATAATTGATTTTGTCCTATATTTACAGCAGTCCGGAGAGTTAAATTATGTTGATGTTGAATTTACCAAGCCACAAAAGAAGAAAAAGAGTAAAAAAGACAAAGAATCGGATTCTAGTGACGTTCCAGCGGCTTCTGTGGAATATAGTGAAGTGGTCATTCAAAACTCTAAACCCACGATAAACTGAATGTCCACTTTTCTTAATGTTGTCTTCTGTACATTTGTAACTTACGCATTTTGTATATTCATGTGACGTTAAATATTTTTAGTGGTTTTTTATTTGTATATATAAGTTCACAAGTTTAGGTAACTTTGACTTTGTACATTTTGAGTAAGGTTTGTCTCTAGAAGGCGGATTTTACTACTGTTTCACCTAGTGTACTATTATCTAGGGTTTTCAAACCTTATAAGGTAACCTTGGTGTTTGAAAATATTATTGTTATGTATTGACAAATGAAAACTAAGCAAAAAATATGCGTATTGCAATTTTAATGAATATGTGGATAATAATGCCATTTTTTTTTCAAATTAATTTTCAATTAAACAAAAAAATCGCATGTATTAAATTGCCATGTAACTTGAATTAGATGACGTGCTTCATGATTCTTTATAATCTACATCTGTATCAAATGTAGCCTTATGTAAATGTCTACATGTATAAGTCAACAACCTTGCATGTAGATAGATGATGGAATTTACGCATTGTTTGTATTGAATTTATGTGTGTTTAAATAGTTTTTTAAATTCCTCAAGTTATATATGTATATGTAATCGTGAACACTTCACATGATTGCAAGTTTTAGATTTTTAACACAATTTTGATAATTAAACAATAATAAGATCTTCCATGAACATGTTAGATTGTTTTAGTTGGGACAGATAAAAAATTACGTTGACTGCGTTCAAAACTTCGTGATTTGTGACTACATAAGTACATGTACATGTACACTAATATTGAGGAGAAATTTGAGAAAGGAGATTAATATATACATGTATACCTTAAAAAGGAAAAGATATCCAGACAAACATTAAAAAAGAAGGAAAATATGCTATACAATCAATTTTCTTTTTGAAGATTGTCAAAATATATCCTTTTAACTCACCTGAGCCGAAGGCTCAACTAAGCTTTTCTGATCGAAATTTGTCCGTTATCTGTCGTTGTTGTCGTCGTTAACTTTTCACATTTTCAACTTCTCCAGAACCACTGGGCAAATTTCAACTAAACTTGGCACAGACTATCCTTGGATGAAGAGGATTCAAGTTTGTTCAAATGAAGGGACATGCCCTCTTAAAATGGAACATAATTAAAAAATACTGAAAAATTAATTGCACCTTTTAAAATCTTCTGAAGAACCAATGGGACAGGAAAGATGAAACTCAAGTGGAATCATCCTCAGGTATTGTAGATTCAAATTTGTTCAAACCATGACCCCCGGGGTAGGATGGGGCCACAACGGACGATTAAAGGTTTACAAAGAAGTATATAGGAAAAATCTTTAAAAATCTTCTTCTCAAGTACAGCAAAGCCATGATTGGTCATATTTACATGGAAGCATCCTCAAGTGGTGTAGATTCAAGTTTGTGCAATTCATGATCCCCGGGGGTAGGGTGGGACCATAAAAGTTTTACATTATTTAGAGTAGTTAGGAAAAAAGTTTAAAAATTTTCTCAAGAACAGCAAAGCCATGATTAGTCATATTTATATGGAAGCATCCTCAGGTAGTGTAGAATCAAGTTTGTACTTATTAACTATTTGGAAGTATCCTAAGGTAGTGTATATTCATGTTTGTTCAAATCATGACCCACTGGGGATAGGGTGGGGCCACAATTGATGATCGAAGTTATACATAGGATTTTTTTTTTGAAAATCTTCCTGTCAAGAACAACAAAGCCATGATTGGTCATATTTATATGAAAGCATCCTCAGATAGTGTAGATTCAGATTTGTTCAAATCATGACCCCTGGGGATAGGGTGGGATCACAATGAAAGTTCAAACTTGTAGGGAAAAAAAGCCACAGTTAGTCAAAGAAATATGTAAGCATCCCTAGTTTAGATTCAAATTTGTTCAAATCATCCCCCATTTTTAGGGGTAGATCGGGACCACTACTGAATTGAATTTTGCTTTTTTCCTAGCCACAATGCTCAGGTGAGCGATGTGGCTCATGGGTATCTTGTTCTGTTAGGGAAAGAAAATGTTTAAACACAAAGAGATATTTATTTTATTGAATTTATTAACAATATTGAAATATGCCTTCCTCGGGTTACGTGGAATAGAACATCCCAGCCTAGTAACATATTTCACTTTTCAGACCTTCGATAGTCAATGTTTTTACATTTTAAATACTTAAAAATTGGATTTTGTTGAACTTTTCCAATTTGTGTGTATGTCAAAACAAAACTGATATACGGTCATAGGGGGTCACTGCATGTGTGACTCCAACAGACCCGAAGCAACGTTTTTGAAAGGGGACACCTCCAAACATCAAAACAAAATTGAACAAAAATGTCCACACTCGAAAATCCTACTTCCTGTGTGTGTGTGTGGGGGGGGGGGGGGGGGTGATGGACCTTTAACTGATCGGTACAGTTTTTTAAACCAAAAAAAAAAAAAGCTGGAATTTGCCAGTGTTTGACCGTACAGAAACAAAAGTGGGGAGGGCAAGTACCTTCCAAATGGAAATTTACACGACATAACTATATCAAGAAACTATTCTCATAAAAGTGCCCCCCAGCGTATTACAGGCCGTCCAAAATCTATATGATTCTTTTCTATCTACATCATGGTCAAAGTAATCACCTTAGCTTCTATAACAGGAAAGGAAAACAAGAGGTCCATGGGCCACAACGCTCACTTGACTCACCTTGGTCCTGTTGTTCTTCACAAAGAGGTTTTTAAAGATTTTCTTTTTCGCTATTCAATGACACCATATTGTTGCCCCAACATACCCCTAAGAGGTTATGACATAACCAAAGTTGAATCCACACATTGGAATATTTCAATATCAATATGTTTAACATGGCTCTACTGTTCCCCCAGGACAAGATTTTTTAAAGATTTTTTTTTTACACGTGCATGATGAAAGTTTGATCACATTTGAGCCCCACAGTAATCCCAGGGTCCATAATTAAAAAAGAGTCCATGCAACTTTGTATAAACAATTTTTTTCAAGAGTAGCAGAGCCATAATAAATCATATTGATATGGAAACATACCTAAGTTGCATGAACTCTTTTCCATATCAATATGATTTAGTGTGGCTCTGCTACTCTTGAAAATATTTGTTTATACAAATACTCATGTAAAACTCCAATACCCTACCCCGGGGACCATGATATAATAAAAGGTGAATCTACACCACCTAATAAATATTTCTATATTGATATGACTAATCATTGCCCTGCTGATCTTGAGAAGAGGACTTTTCAGAATTGTTTTTCTATATACTAGTATTCATATGTAAACCTTCTAACCCCTGTTGTGGACCCACCCTACCCCTGGTCGAGGCCATGATTTGAACAAACTTGAATCTACAACTGCCTGAGGATGTACCATATTAATGTGATTTATTATAGCCCTGTTGGTCTTTAGGAGATTTTTAAAAAGATTTTTTAAAAATATCTTACCGTAAAAAATTGATCCTATATAGTGGCACTACTATCCCTCTGGTGGTCATGATTTGAATAAACGTGAATTTACACTACCTGAGGATGCTTCCATATTAATATGATTAATTGAGGCCCTGTTCTTGAGAAGAATATTTTAAAAGATTCTTTAGCTCACCTGAGCCGAAGGCTCAATTGAGCTTAATTTTCTGGTTGCATTTTGTCTGGTGTACGTCTGTAAACTTTTCACATTTTCGATTACTTCTCAAAAACCACTGGGCCAAAAAAAAAAAAAAATGAAAATTATACGGAAGCATCTTCAAGTAGTGAAGATTAAATTTTTTGTTCGAATCGTGACCCCCGGAGGTAGAATGGGGCCACAATAGATGATCAAAATTTTACATAGGAATATATAGGAAAAAATCTTTAATAATCTTCTTCTCAAGAACCATTTGGCCAGAAGAATTGGCACTTTTGTAAAAGCTTCAATACATAGTGTACAAATTTGTCGAAATCTTGACCCCAAGGGGTAGGGTGAGGCCATAATGAGTGATCAAAGTTTTACACTGGGATATATGGGAATTTTTTTAAATAAAATCTTCTTCTCAAGAACAGCAAAGCTATGATTAGTCATATCTATATGGAAGCATTCATCAGGTAGTGTAGAATCAAGTTTGGTTCAAATGATGACTTCTGGGGGTAGAGTGGGATCACAATAGACGATCAAGGTTTTACATGAAAATTCATAGGGAAAATCTTTTTCTCAAGAGTAGCAAAGCCATGTTTAGTCATATTTACATGGAAGCTTTCACAGATAGTATAGATTCATTTTGTTCAAATCATGACTTCTGGGGATAGGATGGAGCTACAAATCACTTATATGTGATCAAAGTTTTACATAGGAATATAAAAGGACAAAAGGTCTGATGAAGTACAGGGGGTCACAGTGAACCAGGTAAGTTTTGTCGCCTTTGGTCCTCTGTTTATTTTACAATTATAATTAATTCTGGTTATAACGCGTTATTTGATTGGATAATTTTTTTTATTACATTTTCAACAGTGACTGAAATACTGTGGTTAATGTAATCTATTGAATAAAAGTGATATTCTGTCACAGTGTGAAAGGATACCAAAGTGATATTCTGTCACAGTGTGAAAGGATATCAAAGTAAGTGAAAAATAATTTCTGGCCTGTCATAAAATAGAGATAGTAAGTCGCTGTAGATAGCACGTAACCTCACAGGCACTTGACGTTACTTTTTTTTCTTTATATATATATATATATATATATATATATATATATATATATATATATATATATATATATATATATATATATATATATATATATATATATACCCTACCTAATAATAAGGGTTACGGTGCAAGGGTTAGGGTTAGGTAAGTAGGGTTAGAGCGTATTATTAGGTAGGGTATATTTTTTTTTATTAAAAGAAAAATAAGTAACGTCAGATGCCTGTGCGTGACCTGTGTGTATGTACACATTGCTTTTACAAAAAATGCAACGTCAGGCGGATTGATTTGTTTTTGACGCGCGTCATTGTGACGTGGGCAACCCCATTTATGATATACAGTTTGATAACAATTTTTAAGGGCAATAATCTTTTTTTTTTCTTACACTCAATGAATGAAAATTAAATTATAAAGACTCGATTTAATGGTACACAATTTATACGGTATAAAGTGGGTTGAAACAGTTTGTAAACACTTTTTTATAAACCGCTTTGCGGTTTATAAAGCGTAAACTGTCCCAGCCAGTATAAATTGGGAAGCTATGAATTAAATTCATTCCTTAAATAAAAAAAAATTCATCCCCTATTGTGGCCCATTCTACCCCTGGGGTCATGATTTGAACGAACTATTTTGCAGACTGGGTAAATATTAAAAATTTTGGGGAAAAAAGATCATTCTAATCTAGGGGATAATGACTTTAAATTAAATAAATCATTTTCACTGATAATCAAAATGATTACACAAGTCAACTGTTATTCGGTGTAATGTAAAGTGCGAACGATCGACAGATAGAGAAAGTGAGAAATTATTGAGCAGTGATTAAAAAATATATCCCATTTCGTCCTATAGTGGATTTTTCAAGTACAGGGAGAAAATATTCCTTGGTACAACAATAGTTTTGATTAATCCTTCAGAGCAAATAAACAATATATCAAACATTTCATACCTGAAATTGCAATTTTAAACAAATTCATTGTTGCTATAATACAAATTAAATGTGGTAAATAAATATTGAAAAATATTTGAATTTTTCACAAAAGCTCAAAATTCATGGTAAACTGAGGCGCGGATCCAGGAATTTTTTTCCATTTTAAAGAAAAAAACCTATTTCGTGGTGGTGGTGGTGGGGGGGGGGGTGGTTCCACGTTTTCTAGGGGAGAGGGGGATGGGGTCCAAAGTCATTTTTTATTTGCTTCAGTGTATACTTCTTATAACTCTGCAAATTCCAGAGGGGTCCGGACCCCCAACTCCGACCCCCCTCTAGATCCGCGCATGAAAATCTTACTTCGTAATTAGTATTTGTGAAGAGTTTAATTAAGACAGTCAAGTCTTAAAAGATTTATATGAAAATCATTCTTAAAAAAATAACTTTCTTTAAGTATTTTTTTCAGAAATTTTCATTACAGTATATACAACCAAGAGAAAGAATATTTAAAGGCTTTTGCAAGCCTGAGTGATGCATAATCCCCCCTCTTTCCATAAATGGAATGGTCACTGCTCAATTCATACTGCAAACTCAATTAAAAATAAAACAAAAGAAGGAATAAACAAAAATCTTAGGAATAAAGATTTGCAACAATATTTTAAAAGAAGACGGTTGCTTTAGTTCTGATAACGTTAGGCACCAGTCTGTTTGGAGTATTTTGATCCACGCCTGAAAATTACAAACCTCTGATTTATATATAAACAAATACCCTTAAAAGTTAAACACCTTAAAGAGCTGGGGATTAATGGACAGAAACTAATATATTGATTTCATTTTAATCAAGATATGACTAGGAAGTTAATTTTGAAGTGTACTGTAAACATTTTGTGCGGACCTCCCTAATAAAAGTAGTCTGCATATTTATTTCACATATCATTGCGCATAGTATAAGTCACGGCGTGCACTATAAAAACAAGTGACAATAGTAAGAGGATAAAGCTAATATGCTTTAGATGACATTTTTGAAAATTAAAATTCTCCTTCGAAAACGTTACAAGAATAATTTGGGTAGGGATGATATTTTTTGATGGACCTAATTTTACACGGTTAACGAGAGTACTTCAGTGTGTTGTTCGGTTAGTTATGGTGGACAGTGACAAATTCCTATAAGCTACTGAATCTTTTCTCTCCAAGAAGCGCATAATTCAAAATAACATAGTTTTAACTTCATTCAGAAATAAGCAAATCAAATTTCTCAATCCGCTTTTATCTATTATTTGGTTTCTTCTGTCAAATCTATTTGCATCGTCGACATTTTACTTTAGACCAAGCAGAGTAAGGTGTTGCTTGCTTGCAATGCTAGACTTCAGAGTCCACTACCGTTGAAGTGACCAATGCACAGCCATGTCTTTTTCGGAGAGGTTTGTATGTTACATCAGTGAATGCTTGACAATATCTGGCTAATCCGTCAATAATTGTTCAGTGTCTGAAGTAATTACTTCCGAGCGGAAGCAAACGTAATTAGGCCATCAGATTGAATCACTGTTGCCCCATAAGATCCACTGTTATGTCTTCTTCTGTGTCCATTGAAAATTGTTGGTAGTAACTTTAGAGAGTTGAAAAATTCTGGATGGGACACTAAAATTAATTTAAACAAAACGAACAAGAATTGGACGACGGGCCACTACTCCTGATTCCCAACCTTGCCCAGATAATGGACTTTTACTGATATTCTTCACACCACTGCACAAAATTGCTTGGTAATCCTCAGTCAGACATAATTTCTATGATAAAATATAAATATATCAGCAAATAAGCAATATTAAATGTAAATTAATATACTAATCCAAAGAACTCCAAACTGTCCCAGATAGTGTTTTTTCTTCATTGATATTCCGCAATCTAGATTAAAATTGCTTCATGCTTCTCAGGCACATTTGCTTTGTATAATTAAATTCACTTATTACAAAAAATATATTAAGAAATGTTTTGTATAATATATACTAAACTGGAATATCATCTGTCCGTAAGTGATAAATCTGGTTCTGGGTTATAAATGCAGAATCCCGAAAAGGACATCCATTCACTGAGCTGTTCATCTCGGCCCATAAATGCTGGCATATGTAAGATTGTTGAAATAATTGTTTCAGTTTAGCAAGTGTGCCTGGGAAATATGAAACAATTCTATTCAGTGTTTAAAAGAAAATGTAATCCAAGATGATTGGGAATCATTTCCTGTCGCATTAATATGCTTCAATATGCTACAGAATCTATTGCCCAGAACATTACTTCAGTCAATCTCCACTCTATCCATATATAAAGCTATTTGAGAATAAAGCAAAGTTGAGTGTAAAATTTATCATGGTGCTTAAGTATTGGCTATAATGTTGAATGCCAGGTCTCAATATTCTTGAAGTCGGAGTAAGTATCGTCAATAGTCAGTAAGAAGATACTCAGTGGAGCAAGGTCTACTACTAAGGGACCTGAGTTCCATGTTATGAAGTCAGTTTACACAAGCTAACCACAAACCTGCACAATGCTTTTGAGTAGAGCTTGTTCTGGGATATATCCTTTGAGTAATAAAATGGAAAGTGTTAACAGAGTCATGTGATTACAGTTCTATATCTAAGGAAAGAACAAGTAAAAGATTTGAACAATTACTGTTAGTTGGTGTTTTAAACAGTTACTTCAGATGGAAGTGTTAGAATAGATGCCTTAAAGTTTTAGTAGTTATACCTGCAAGATACATTTCTTAAGTGTGGAACAGAATTGTAACGGACTAATTCACTTTATACAAATATTCATTTAGAAAGTGAAAAACAATATTGAGGAGTTACACATAATATTACTAGCTTATAAATGAAAGTAGACAAAGTATATTTCATATAAAGACTTAAATGTTGTGTTATTTGTCTTACACATCTGTACTTTCTGTTTGAAAAAAACTGTCAAATATTTTCTTTAGAGTTCACACTAAGGGTGAATTCATTGAAGTTCAATTTTTTTTATTTATCTTATCTCAAGCTGATACTCCACATTTATTTTGGTTTGTAAACTGGAGTATAAAACTTAAAATTTCATAGAAACTAGCTACTTAACTAGCTACAACTTAGGAGTGTGCAATGCATGTCTATTAAAGACTCTTTTTTTTTTTTTTTGTTGGTCATGGGTTAAGTTGTAGAGCCTTCTAGGAAAATTAAGTGTCACACTACTATGTTTTGAACTTTGTTTCAAATCATTTTCAAGTGTTTAAATTAGCTCTCTAAGGCTAGAAATTAATACCTGTAGAAAATGTAACCTGTATATATACCAACACTGCTATTTTAATTAAATTAGGTTATTATTCCTATATCTATTCATGTATTTACCTTCATAGGAATTTATGGCATTGGTTTCCTTCTTTGTAACATTGACAAAGTCGATCTTTAGCAATCATTGCTTTATGAATGTAACGGTGGTGTCCTTGGATCCATTACAGTTGGTTGTAAAGGAGGATAACTCCGACATGACTGTGTGTCATGACGGAGTCATCTTGAAGTTTCTGTTTCGGTTATGTCATTCGTCTTTCCCTGAAATATGCAAATTTTTAATTGGATCATAATGTCTGATTATGTGATAATCTAATTGTTATTTCCTGAAAGTCGTGGTAGAGCTGTTGTCATTGAGTTTCAACTTCTTGGATTTGATATTATTTACAGATCTATGCAGATAACAAATCATTCTCATATATGTCATTTTTGGACTGTATTGTAAAACATTGTAAAGATATTCTATAAAGATTGAATGTTACTAAATTCTCAGTTCATAGGTATCAGTATATATAATTTAGTTACTCTAGAAGTATTTATTGATAGGTTTAGCAATAAGAGCTTTGGAGTCTGCTGAATTTATTTTGGAAACAGTTTGTCACATTTTTTTTCTTTCAGATTTTTTTGTAATTTTTTTTTTTAAACAGTTCTTTTTTAAAGTAAAGACTATGAGATTAGTGAGTTTAGATAATGATTATCTGCTGGTCACGTTAAACTTTGAAATTCTTATATTTTTAGCATTATAGTAATATCTATAAATTATATTCTTATACCAGTGGCGTAGATTGTTTTATGTCTGATAGTTAAATAAAACAAGAAATTATATATATACTAGTAATACTGTACATAAAAAGGTGCTTACCAATACTTAATAGAAATCAAACTGAATGTCATAAAACACGTCCATTGTTGACTGAATTAAAATCCAGCTGATGGCTAGATCTTCCCTTTGAGTCATTTAAAACTCCCATGTTTTTTTGGATGCTTTCCTTAGAACATAAAGATTAAGTTTATGTTTCAGCTCATCTCTTCCTCAGGTTTCTTGGTATCAGTCTGTTGTCTGTTGTCTTTGAAGTATGTACAACAACATGTGGCAACGATGGTGATCACATGTTGTCAAGTAGGTGCCTTAAATATCTCCTCATAGCAGTGTCATTATATAGCGTGAATGTGCATCATAGAAAAAAAAAAGATGACTGAATAACTTATCCTTCCTGTAATTTATTTTCATGGATTATTAGTCATCTGATGCACTGAAATCTATAAGGTTTTGATTTCATATGAGATATATGCATTACACGCAGGCCACACAAATCAGTCAGGTGTCAGTCGTGCCGTGAACCATCACAATAATTCTGAATATTTTATCACTTTTTTAAACAGGTAAATATTTCACTACCAAGCCCCTTTCAGTTTTGTGTACAATAGCTCTCTTTACCTACTGACTAGTTTGATTTCTTTTGGGTTTTAACAGCAAACCTTTATTTTTGCAATTAAGAAAAGGGGTAAAAAAAATTATTCCTTTGGGATTAAGGAAATTGATTATAAACAAAAAATAATCAGCTAAAATGCATTAAATCTGATTTATATCATTTTTGTCAGTATCCATTCAAATAAAAGAAGTAGTATGCCTAAACCTGTCTAATAATCTGTCACAGAATGTATCTTTATTTCACATCAGTTACTTGGCAATTATTTGCCAGAGGAAAGTGACGTAAGGATATTAAAGCCTAAAGGTTTTATTTTTCTGGAATGTCGGATTGATTACAAGGCTGGCTTGCTGGAAACCTAATGTGTTTTGTGTTTTTTCTTTATTGAGAGAGATATAAATGCATAGGTAGCCTACAAAGACGGATGAGTTGTGGTCATACATGTTTTTGGGGTTTAGTCGGGTCACTAGTGTAATCTGCAGAGAAGGATCTGTAATATATGACTGTATAAATCTATATACAGGATGTGGCTTAGATGAGAGCTTAACAAAGCCTACCAACATTGATATAATGAAAGTCTTTGTTTTAATGTTGTTTTTACTTGTAAACAATAACATTTCCTGGTGTCTTCCCTGAAGGTCAAAGTTCAGAGGGAATAAACACAGCAGCTAATGGTCGGGTTAGCTAACACAGTGTAGATAGTACTGTAGTGTTGGAGGGATACATTACATTCATTGACCGGAAGTAATAGGGAGTAAATTGAGTTTGCTGGAATGTACTCCAGGTGATGTTGTGTGTGTATTTAGTGACCAGACTCTGAATGACAGGATTATCAGTGATCATACTGGCGGCCTGGATGAACAAACAAATTTGATGATCCACCTCTTAAGATTGAAAGCGTTGTGGTGTTAAGGAATTCATTTTATGTAGAGGAAAAAACCCATTGTTTTTTGATGATGAATATTTAATGAGGAATTTAAAATGAAATTAACTACTGTGATTGGATGTCATATGTGTATTTTCGTCAGATTTTAGCGTGGTTTGTGTCCACATCTGTGAAATCAGTTATTGATTTGAATATTTATATCTTATTTTACCTCAAATTTATTTTAATGTGTTATTTCTGAAAGTGCTGAATTCAGTGAATATTAGACATTCTTATATAGATTAATTAATAAACAGCTAATTTATATGATAATGGAGAAATCATTCAGGCTGTTGAGATAGCTAGTCTACACAATGGTGATAATAGAAAGCAATTAATCTAGCTCAGCATTGATTCAATTTCGCATAATCTGAGTTTACAAATATGCCATTGGGAAAAAAATGGCGATCGATGGACGTTCTTCATTTCGGCTCTTCTAAGCAAGATAAAGAGGCCTTAAAAAAAGATGATGGACTCATAGGATCAGGGGAACACCTGTCCCGAACCTGTAATGCTCATGTTAAGGGTGGGTCCAGAGACGATCTGATCAATGAAGATCCTCCGGTTATACTGAGAAAGAAGCATAGTTCTAAGCATCGGTTTAGCTCAAGGGAGGACCTCTTAGATAAACCTGCATCCCCCAAACTGCGACAAAGCCTGCATGTCCCGTGGCATAGGGCTAAGTCCAGCTCCAGGGATGATCTGATAACTAATGAATGTAGGAAAGACGTGAATGACAGGTATTACTAATACACCAATAATATCTGTCTGCTATATTAATTATCATCACAGTAAGGGTTACATGGTGCATGTACACACAGATTGTTTGTGTATATAACTGTGATAGCACTGGCTAAATAAGGGTGAAAGGGTTATACATTAATGTATTAAAATCAGCTGTACTCGTAATGGATCCAAACTTGTATGCATTACTTTGTAAGAATCTGACATTGTGGATCATCTGTGCTGCAGAATGCATTGATGGGGGAAGGAAATGAACTGATAACTTACATATGTCTATGCCAGGAAATTGATGTCTTGTGTATATTGGTGTGTCATCATTTGGTACACGTTAACACACTTGTTGAGTACTCTATGACAAGAATGACTGGACATAGTACATGTATATTGTACACAGACATCAACTGAGGGTCTAGCTGATCTACTCCAGACCAGGGCTGTGTCTACAGTCACCTGTCATGTATACAAGTGTCCTGATGCAATGAATGACAACTTTCCCACATGATTTTACTAAATTCTAGACCAAGGGAATGTTAAATATATAGTCTTTTCCTTTCCCTGTGCAATTATAATTCCTTCAGCTCAATTTAAGGTGGTACTTCTACTTTGTAGATAGCTGTTTTAGGTCAGGTGTTTACATTGTAAATCTTTCCAAGGGTGACTGGATTTAATGTGTTAGGTCTTAATTTTGTGTCCTGCATGAGTAAATTGTGTGTAATGGGTATCTGCGACACTACACAAATCTGATGTCGTACAGGAACTGGCTTTTCTTGTTTGCCTCTACTATTTGGGTTTTTCTCAGGAAATGATAAACTGTAGATAGTTTATATACACAGAGTGAAAGTTAGTTATGTTAATATATATAAAATATAAATATCTCTTACAAAGGGAATTTTATTCCCATTATTCTTGCATACTTTACTTTATATTATTTTCAGTAGGATGTAGTGTATGTTATCAATAAAGGACATTGGTTTTTCATTTCGTCGTTAAATATTATAGGTAATTAGTGAAAGAAAAAAATTTTAGAAACTATGTGTTCTTTATTTTTATCTGTGCAAAACACTTGAGTGTAAGGAAAATGTATTCTCACTATTCAAAACACATGTTCCTGTTAATGCTTATTACATAAAAGTTTGGGAGTTTGTTGTATGGGCTTTTCTGTTGTAAAATTGGGGAGAGAGATAGAGAGAGAGATTGAGAGAGAAGCAGTGGTTATATGGATGGCAACAGTTGGTCATGCCTTTTTTAACTGTAGGGTTACATTAATTGATCTATTTATAACTAAGAACAGTCAGAGAAGAAACTTCCTTGATGACATTGATTTTGTGTATTTACACAAATCATCTTATCTTATTTTTAACAGAGTACACATAATTTCAAAACAAATGTTCTATAGATAACATTTTACTGTACGTAATTTTACATATTCACAAAGTTTTGATTTTAAAAATCGTAATTGAAATGTTATTGCCTCAATATAGAGACAATATTTAGGATATTTATTGTAAAAAAACTGGCTTATATGAAATACTGGTAAAATGTATTAATATTTTGTTGTTCATTGTAGGCACTCTAGCAGTGTGAAAGGGGAACAACATGGCACTCAGGAGGAAACCAAGGAAGGTAAGAGGGCAGAAAAATAGACACCAACATAAGTAGATTTAATGTAGCAACATTAGGACATTAGCAGGTGAAAATATTAGCAGGATTTTACAGGATGAGGCAAGTGTATCAGAGACATTGCCATCAGAACAGAAACTTTAGTACATGTGTATATGTAGGGCTATTAGATAAACAAGAATACTACATAAGGTACGGCATTTAGATTTGTATCCCTTGTGCATGTGGCAGGTCAAATGTGCAAGCACTGAAAGTAGCGTGTCATAGCTTAACAAGAGGAATACCTGTATATGTTATAATTAATCTAACAAGAATCATCCTAGTGGAACAAAGTGAGAAGCATTTAGCAGATATACAAGTATGTGAAGGGGAAAGAAGAAACATCAGTAGTACTTGTAGACCAGGGCAACATAAAAAGGTTTACAACAACAACAACAAAATAGAAGAAAACAGCAGCTAAAGTTGTAGCTGGATAGAGAGGCAACAATGATGGTGTTTGTAGCAGGGAAAATGTCTGATGAAGTATGTATAGAAGGACAACTAACTAGAAAAAGGACAGATAGCGGGACATAGAGCAGGGCTCTCACAAGGAAACAACAAAAGTACAAACAGCAGGACAAAGAGGCAAGCAACCAAAGAACAAATAGCAGGACATAGGGGCAAGCAACAAAAGTACAAATAGCAGGACAAAGAGGCAAGCAACCAAAGAACAAATAACAGGACATAGAGGCAAGCAACAAAAGTACAAACAGCAGGACAAAGAGGCAAGCAACAAAAGAACAAATAGCAGGACATAGAGGCAAGCAACAAAATACAAATAGCAGGACAAAGAGGCAAGCAACAAAAGAACAAATAGCAGGACATAGAGGCAAGCAACAAAAGTACAAATAGTAGGACAATGGGGAGAGGAACAAAAGTACAGATAGAAGGACAAAGAGGCAAGCCAAAAAAAAATTCTGGTAGCAAGGCAAAGAAACAAGCAAGAAAAGTACAGATAGCAGGACAAAAAGGTAAAACAAGAAACTACAAAAAGCAGGGAAGTGAGGCAAGCAACAAAAATACAGGTAGCAGGGCAAAGAGACTAGCAACAAAGTACAAATAATTGGGCATAGAGGGAAACAAGAAAAGTACAAAAAGCAGGACAAAGATTAAGGGGCTAGCAACAAAAATACAGATAGTAGGGCAAAGAGGCAAGCAAAAAAAAAAAATACAGATAGCAGGCAGAGAGGCAAGCAACAAGAATACAGGTAGCAGGACAGAGAGACAAGCAAGAAAAGTAAAAATAGCGGGACAAATAGGGAAACAAGAAAAGATAGTAGGACAAAGAGGGAACAACAGAAATACAAATAGTCAAGCAAGAAAAATATAGGTAGCAGGACAAAGAGGCAAGCAAGGAAAATCCAGATAACAGGATAAAAAGGTAAACAACAAAAGTACAGATAGCAGGGCAGAGAGGCAAGCATCAAAAGTACAGATGGTAGGCAGACCTAGGCAGATATTTAGGACTTGTGAAGTTTGTTAGACTCAAGGTGTGACTAGCAATTCATTTAAGTTTTATCCTGCATTCATTTTATATGGTGGCTTGTCAAGATAATGAGGCAGAAAAACCACCTAGCTATTTCTGGATTTGCTTATCAGAAGGGAAAGGAATATTGAAGCTAAATGCCTGCCAAAACACATCAATATCAAGCAATAGTTCAGGTTTCTGTCATTCATCCAAATATGCATTTACACACACACTGATAGAATAAGACAAATGCAAGCAGATGTCTTCAGAAATGTGCACAATTTGGAAGAAACTTGTATGTCAACAAACCATAGGTGATAAAATTGTCCCAGCTTATACTAAGATATGTTATACAAATTGCTCAAATGTTTTTTTTTTAATCAGTACTGGTCAAAGGTAGTTTAAAATTTATATTAGCCTTACACATGTGTCTGTCTAATATGAATGATACTTAACTGAAGAGTAACAGGGCTTTATAAGAATTATATTTCACTATGTTTACCTGATATAAGGCCAGTTTTTAATCAGTACTAATTAAGTGATGTGAATTATGAAAAATCTATTTGTTTGAAATCATGACCATTTTATATTTTTAGCCATTTTATTTTTTTTTTTACCTATGTTTTATGTTTTTAATAAATTTTCTGAAAGTTGTCCTTCTAGTAGCTAAGGCCAACATTTTTTTATTTTCTGTTTTACGGGAATTTTTTTTCAAAAATTTGAGTCGGGGGGTCGAAATAAAAATAAAAATAAAAGCTCGAAATTTAAGCAGTCGGTCAGAAAAATAAAAATAAAATGAAAAAATGCAATAAAAAATTTTATTTTTGATTAAGGTCGGAATTTTTTTGTATGACCTTAATTTGTTAGGAAAACAGTGTTATTTGAAAAGCTTATGAATACAAAACACAGAATTGGTACTGTTAATGGATCAATGAACTATTTTAAATTTAATACTTTCTCTTAGATATTTGGGGCAGGGGGTGCATTTCTAGTATACAGCTTGCAGTTTCTAACATTAATGCCAATCAAACATACATCTATAGTCTTCTCTCAGTTGTCAAATATCATATTGTCACCACAGTAAACCTATAGGACTTATGTCACACCCCTCATAAACTTTTCAGAATCTTTTATTTTTGGTATTCAGCAAAGTACAAGATCTGAGGATTTTGGAGTAGCTCTGGCAAAGTTGTGGAGAAAATACAGTGAGACATTCAATGGATCAGCTAAAATAAATTAATTCACAGAAGTGCACAAGACATGATAAAAAGAAAAGTTGTATAATATTTTTTTCAACGCAATTTCAATTAATATACGTAGGTGGAAAAAAAACGTACCACAATATCTCTGTTGAAAACAAATTCAAACTTCCACAATCTGTAGTATATTGGATATCTTTTTATCCTTATATTTTTCTTTCTGAGCATGCTAACTTTCAACATAATTGTAGAAAATACACATCTTTCTCATAGTATACACATGTAAATTAAATTGAATTGCTGAAACTGGTTCTAATCCACAACTTTTGAATGAAAAAAAGAAACCAGGTCTTCAATTGAAATAATATTTGTAAGAGCGTATCATTTACAACAATACTTTTCCCTAGTGGTAAAAAAAAGTTGTTTTACTAAACAAGAGATATACATGAACACTATATCAGCTGACATGAATACGCTGATCAATGTACATTAATTTGTTACATAGCACGCAAACTTCCATAAAACGATAAAAAAGGAAATAATATCTTGTATCAATCAAGCATATATATTTTCGTAGGTAATTTTGAATTCCAATATTTGTCATAAAACGAGTGAAAGTTGTGACTCGAATTTCCTCAGTCACGCCACTTTCTACCAGTTCTACAGTGTTCTGTTCTGTCGTTACTTGTAAAAGAAAACATTTTTGTCTTAAAATTAAAGTTTTTAAAAATCTTCAGGACGTATTTCAATGTATTGAAGCAATTGTCAAAGATAATTTACCTACTCAAAATCTTTCAAAACAAGCAGTTGACAGAACCTCGATTTCCACGTAGTCGATCCTCCGCATGACATTTGATCAAGATTACTGTTTCGTCTATTTCATTCAATGTTTCATTAAAATTTATACTTTTTTTTCTAATATATGGCATTGACTCGTCACTTTTTAAACTGACTATTTAAAAACACGTGAAACCCTCCGGATTCTGACATTTTGGCGCTATGCTGTGCAGTGACTATATTCACGCTTCGAATACTGTGAATGTGATTGGATGAATATATTTACCAAAGCCAATGACAAATCGCATTTTGAAAGGCTTGTAAAAGGTTCTTTATAAAATTTCTTTTATTTTTTCAGTGACTATAAATAAACTATCGGCGGGAGAAATAAAAATAAAACTTGAATTAGGGACTTTTATTTTTATTTCATTTTAGCCCAAATTAGGGTCGGCGCTCCCGTAAAACAGGATATAAAAAAATGTTGGCCTAAATGTGCCATGTGTAACACTACTCATAGTTTGGACTACAAAGTTAATTAACAACATCAGGATGTCTTGAGAAATGCGAGGTTTTCCAAAGAAAAAGAAAAGATCCCCAAGCACTGTAGTACTGTAATGTTAACAGTTTACTGATATGTAAATATGTACAAAATCTCTCACCATATCCTGTTCAAATCCTAAAATTCCCAAATTTGTAGTAATACATGTAGCTTAGGGAAAACAAATTTATCTTGAAGACTTGAACCAGATTATTGTTTGGGCAGCACAGATTTAATTTCAGGTCATTTGCAGATGAAATTTTATAGAATCAAGATGGCTAGATGATGAGCAAAGTGTGTTCAGCCATGACTTATGCTAATCTTGGTAATTTGATGTTTGTAGAAATTCATTATTAGTGTATTCAGTAGGTTGAGTAATTTAAATATATGTGTTACAGAGAACATTACACAGGTCTTAATTTTAGGAACAGATTGTATGTACTTTCTTAACTTACAGGTTACATACAGAGGTGTGTAATCATACAGAGAGATGAGAAGGGCTATGGTCTGACAGTCAGGGGAGACAACCCAGTCTATGTGGAGTCTGTTAAAACAGGTCAGTACTGGCTAGCTTTTCAGAACCAAATACATGTATGGGAAAAGACTGAGAGAAAAAAAAACTCAACTCAAAATCAGAAATAAATTGTCATTTGTTATGTTTTTCAAGAATATAAGCATCCTCTTCTAGCAAAGGTTCAATTTCTCAAATTGTTAGGGCTGTCACGATTCCCCAAAATAACCAAAAACTGCGGTCCAAATTGTTTGGTTTGGTTTTGGTTCCTTTTTTCCGGATTTCAGTTCGGGTCTGGTTTATAATATTAGAATCTGATTTAAACAAAAAATGGCGTTGAAATCAAAAGAATGTTGATGATGACAGTGATAAATAAACATCACAACTGAAATCAACTTCATTCCATGACAAAACACTTGTCACAAAGGATTAGATAATTATCAAAACGAGAAAGAATGGTCAGGTTTTAGCTACTAGTTGGCCAAGTATTCCTAAACACCCACGTAAAGACGTTAACATGGTTAAGGCTTATTTTCAAGGTGAATTTAATGTAAACTATAAAGATTTTTTTCAAGTTTAATTCATGAAATAAAAGTTTAAAATATGTGTAAATAACTGGACCAAAAAAACCCTGAAAATTTTGGAATCATGACAGCCCTACAAGTGGTACAACAAGTATTTTTTAATCTCTATCATTGTGGGTTATTGGCCCTTTGTTTTAATTTTGACACTTTCATTTGGCAAACAGAAAATTATGGCACATACTTTGCATGTATACAAATAAAATGTATTATTTTAGCTAGATGCAAATTCAACATTTTCTGTCTAACCTTGGCCATAACTTTTGAATGGTTGATGCTAGAGCTTTCATATTTCATTTGTATATTTCTTGTGACAAAACCTTTTGTTGGACACTATTAATTTTGACCTTGAATTTCGAGTTTGACCTTCTTTTGAAAAACTTTAACCTTGGCCATAACTTTTGAACAGTTGGTGCTAGGGTTTTTATATTTCACATGTTTATACCTTGTGACAAGGCCTTTCCTTAGGTAAATACACTTTTGACTCTTTGACCTTGATCTTTGAGTTTGATCTTCTTTTGAAAAACTTTAACCTTGGCAATAACTTTTGAACAGTTGGTGCTAGGGCTTCCATATTTCACATATTTTTCTTGTGACAAAACCATCCCTTGAGTACAAACAGTTTTGACCTTTTGTCCTTGACCTTTGAATTTAAACCTATGTTTTAAAAATTTACACATTGGCCATAACATTTGAAAGTTAGTGTTCGGGTTTTCACTTTTCACAGGTTTATTCCTTGTGACAAGACCTTTCTTTTGGTACCAACATTTTTTTATCTCTTGACCTTGGAGTTTGACTTGCATTTGAGAAACTTGAACTTTTGCCATGAGCTGCCATATGGGGGCATAAGTGTTTCAGAAACATATCTTGTTTTTTTTTTTTAATTAAAAGAAAATCAGCATTAATCATGTTAATATGTAATAGATTCATAAAATTGTTGAGAAATATCTACTTGTGCAGTAGTTGAAATATTGACATATATTGTTCGGTGACACTGATACCATCACCAGTAATGATGGTAACCTTTTCTGTGAAAAGGCACAGTTTCTTAAATTTGTAAACATTTTGTTTGTTATTTATTCATATTTTTGGGAGGGGAACATTTGGGTATTGTATGAAAATATTGCGTAAATATTCAGTGCATACTATGTGTGGACTATATGATTTGGTGCACATGGTATAATCACATGTGTTGCACAATATTTAAAATTGCTGTTGGGTCTTATTCATTAGTTTTCATCAATCTGTCTGTAATTTGAATGGTACACTTAATTAAAAAGAGAAGTTAATATTTAGGCTATAGGATCACCAGCTCTGATAGTAAATCACAACCAGTTTGTTGGTATTCCTGAGGCAAATGCTTGGCATATTACGCATTTTACTTAACAACTGCATGTAATATATATCTTTTTATACACCTGACTATTTCTGATTTGTTTTCTTTTTAATCAGGATATTATATGAAAAAAAGCCTCATACACACAAATTTAATTTATTGTCAAAATTTTGAAATGTTAATTTAGAAAGCTAATGACTTGAACTTTTGTGTTTTTTAGATGGGGCTGCAGAGAGGGCTGGAGTGAGGCAGGGTGATCGGATTTGCAAGGTAAATCACAAAATATTTATAAATCCATTGTAAAAAATACAAATAGGGGTTCTTTTCATACAAGGTGAGGTTTAATGATGCTATAACCCAGAGATTTACATATGATGTAATTGATATATAATTTTACTTTTAGCCCAGGTATGAATTTTTCCAGTCAGACATTACATACAATTTCACATACATGGACATGTGATTTGTACTTTGTCTCCCATTTAGATCATTAAAATTAAGTTTAGATGTGACTAACCAGCCTTAAGTGTTCATATTGTTTCAAATTTTAAAAAGATAATGTTCGTTACAATTGACACAGTCACCAGTGTCTGGTAGTGGGTACAAAAATAACCCTTAACATATGGGGAATAAAGTCTGTCCGTAGTATCTCTGATCTGACTTTCTTTTATTCCATTCTTTTTGAAATTGTTTGCCTTTCATGCTTATATAACATGCCATTTCATGTAGTGCCAAGAAATGTAAATGCTGTAAACACAGGTTTTATATATTGGGGTTACTGCCCATTACAAATACACAGGATTGAACTGACTAAAATGAAAGAAAAAAATTGGGAAATTTTATGAACAGTTTTTTTTTTCTGATTACGGTTTGTTATCACTATAAGGTACAGTGTTTTAGTGCTATAAATGTCTTCTTATAAACTTCAGAGACATCTTTTGATTTTATTGAAAAAAATTCTATGTTTGACCCTAAGTTGAAAAACTGTTTTTGATTCCTAACATTTACTGCTGTGGACATTACCTCTATGATGTATTTATACACAGAGCAGGATGAACAGATGCTATTTTATCTCAACATACTTGTCACATTACTGACTTCCTGTGTGGAAGGAACTGTAACTCCTCCAAACCTTTTAGAAAAGAGGCCCACTGTGGGTTTCACAAAATCTTGTACATAAGCGTGTAGGTAGGCATTGATCTTACCTGTAAAGTTTTAGATTACACATAAAACATCTTCAATAGGGATATAAAATTTTAGGGCAGGTGTGCTCAGATTTTTTATATCTTCATGGATTTTAGATGAAGCTATTTCATGTTGAGCGCTGTATGTCTAGAATCTTCTTAGTGATGAGTAGATTGCACTGTCAGGAATAACTAGAGGTACACAGTTTCCTGGCACTGGTGTGGGTGTAGTTTTTCACTGTTATTTTGTGTGTTCCCTGTTACAATCGCTTCCTGGTCACCTTTGTGTAGGCTCATTCAGTCAGCTGATAACCAGTAAGAAATTATGTATCACACCCAAAATTGACTACAAAGTCAATCAAAGAACAAACACAAGCTATACAGACTGAAAGCCATTAGTGTTGAAGATGTGAATAATGTGATGATTATAGGAAGAAAGTTGCAGTAGTTTGTGGTGAGATATTTTGTACTCCATACAAGTTCAGGGAAATGTTTGTGTGCATGTAAGTTATGATCGTACCTTTAATACTCTTAGATTTTTGTAATATTAACTAAGAATTCTGACAGAATGCAGATAATTGGAGATATATATATAGATAGATAGATATATTGACACTATTCAAAATCCACTGAGCAGCCAAGAGGTGAAAGTGCTATGGATTAAGAGTACCATCTTCTACAGAATCTTTAATTATTATTTTTTCTGTATTACTGCCTCTACCAATGACTTATAGATATATAGATTGTGTGTGTGAGAGGGTGTGTATTTGTGTATGTGTGAGGGTGTGGTGTGGTGTGGTGCAGTTATAATTGATTTACAGTGTGATATTGAGTACTGGAAGTTTTTCTATCTTTTTGACTGATTTTGCAACTGATATTGTGAGCGTTTTCCCTGTGTAGTGTTTATAAAAATCAGTAACTTCCTCAATCACCTCAAACTTTCCAACAGAAGTGCTGAGGACAAGAATAAAACAGGGGCATTTGCCAAAACAAAATATAAAAAAAAACCAAGTGCATTTCTAATCTGAAAATAGAATCATTGTATCCAAAATTTCAAGGATTTTTTATCCTGTCTGGTGTTTGATAATGAAGCCATTGTAAGGTGTTAATAAATGTCAGTCAGAAAGAAAATGATGTGGGAAATACACTCCTCCATGGTGTACACATGTACACATAAATGTTCAATATTCATGAAATTTATAAATCTCAGTTTATCAAAATGATTAAAGAATAAGCCAGTTTGGTTTGGTATTATGTTTGGGATACATTTATCAAGTTTATGTACCAAGTGATCCTGAGGTTGGTATGGTAAGTAGTGTTGATAAGAATTGGCTGGGTTTGGTTGGAAACCACCTCAGTTTGACCGGTCCTGCCAATTACTGGCAATGATGTGGAAAAAACCTCTTCCCCAAGGTCAGAAGGTCAGGCTAGAGGAATATGTTTGTTTGTTTTGGCCATACAGTACACACATCTAATCCCCAGAAGATTTGATACATTATAGCTCAGTAATTGTACATGAAGGTATACTCGGGGAATCTTTAGTTTTACATAAGCATGTGTGTGCCACCATCACTTGGAAGTCATACATCAGTCTTGTCTTACTTTTGACTATATGCTGTCACTTCTAAAACATCAAGTGTCTAAAACAAGAAAAGACAACTCATCATATGAACTAGTCATAAAAGGCCCTGGTGTCGTTGGGGAAATTATTCTGAACAATTTAGCAATGACTTCTTCCTGTACATGGAGTCTCCTTACTTTTTATTTTAAGTACAATTTAAGAAGTGTTTATCAATTGAAGATTGGAAATGTTAAATTTTGTTATTTTGATTTTTAGGTGAATGGGACACTGGTCACAAACTCAAACCACTTAGAAGTTGTGAAACTTATTAAAGGTAAGAAGAGGTCAAGAAATGAGGACGGACTACTGACAAATATATGTTAGGATTGACACTTCATGTACAAAATGTATCACTACCAAATTATCTGGAGGGAATGAAGGTCACGGTTAGATAGGAGACGTTAAAAGTTATTTTTGATGATAAAGTTTATTTGTAAATATAGCTGGTGTTCATTGATAGTGGACATAATTACCAGGAAAATATTGATGCAGGGGGAAGCATATCATTTTGATTGAAATCGGAGTTTACATAGGACTCCTCTTATTATCATTTTTTGATACTTTCAATACATTTGGTCTAGAATGGACTAATTAAGACATATACACTGCTTCTCTGTGCACTGTAATACAACATGAAATGCGTCTCTCTTATATGACCTATCTCAGTGCAGATGAGGTATTCTGTTTCATACATGTTCTTGAAATCTTTGGATTTTTTTTTCAATTACAAATCATCTGGAATGGTCTCTTACATTATAAGCATCACTTTTCTCAGAGATATTTTGGAAAGGTATTCTGGATACAACCAACATTTATTTTGCATGTGACCCAATTATTAGTCCCCTACCGGTGAAACCAAAGGGGACTATAGGTTTCCTCTGAGTCTGTCCGTCCGTCTGTCTGTCTGTCCATCTGTCCCACTTGGTTTTCCGCACTTTTCTTCTAAACACTTGCAGATATTGAGCTGATTTTTGGTATGCGAGTGTATCTCGATGAGTTACAGATCAAGTTTGCATTTCATTCCGCTTCAATGATTTTTGACGGAATTACAACCTTGAAAATTTTTCAGGGTTTTCCACACTTTTTTTCTAAACGCTTGCAGATATTGAGCTGATTTTTGGTATGTGACTTTACCTTGATAAGTTATAGATCAAGTTTGCATTTCGTTCCGATTCATTGATTTTTGACGGAATTATGGCAATTTCAATTTTTAACGGGAACCAGATTACACTTGCCAGTAGGGGACTAGTATTGCTAATGCAATACTTTCAGAATGCTTGTTTCATTGTGTATTTCTATCAAATGTTACCAAAGGTAGCTGGGAATTGATTTCAAACTGACAAATTGGGGATAAAAGTTGTTGTAAATAATGGGTGGTAAACAGTATAATTGTGAATAGTGGTTGGTAAACAGTATAACAAGGTCAATATGAGGATGTTTTTTTGTGTTCCTATTTTTAATGCATTTCTTCAGTCTACTGGAATCACTGCCCCTGGGTTGTGATGCAAGGGTAGGGGGTGATCATGCATGGGTGGAGTCTTGATGCATATTACAGATGGTATTGGTATGTCATTGGAAATATTCCTGTGACTGTTAAGGCATAATTTTTCTGCACGTTAGTTTTTATGGTATGCAGGTAATATACACTTAGAGAACTTAAAAAAAAAAAACTTCCAGGTGTACATCAGGTGTTTAAACTTGTCACTATAAGTAGTACTATAGGAATTAGTTTAATATATATATATACTGCCTGTATTCTATAATTCATAGAACCAGCTAGTCTGACATCAAAGGCAACAAATGTGCAACCATTAGGCAGGCCTAGCTTCTTGTTGATAACTCTCTCCCATCACTTTAAGCCATCATCAAGGATGAGCTCAGCCAGAAAATTATGGCAGACCATCAATCTTAGAAAAAAGGGGGAAAAAACTCGCAAGTTTGGAGGGGAGATGTCAAGGTCATAGGTTTCATTGACATTGAAATTGACTGATTTATGTACCAGTAATCTCATTAGCATGCTGCAAGTAATTCTACATAGCATATTCCCTCAGCCAGTTTGGCAAACTTATATAAGCAATCAATTACAAAAGAAATATAGGAAACTGAAATGTTGAGGTCCATGTTTTTTTGCCCCTTTATTCTAGAAGTCTAGTGGAATTTCAAAATAGTGGGGTTTATAGTAATGCTGTTCAATATGTCATCACTTCGAAGATGATTTTGTTGTTTTATTATGCCCCCGGATCAAAAGATCACGGGGGTATATTGTTTTTGTCCTGTTTGTCCATTTGTCTGTTTGTCTGTCTGTCTGTTGTCAGTTTTAACCTTGCCCATAACTTGATTGGTTGGAGCTATGACTTTCATATTTCACATGTGTATTCCTTGTGACAAGACCTTTCTTTGGGTACCATCATATTTGACCTTTTGACCTTGACCCTGGAGTTTGACCCACTTGTGCAAAATTTTATGAGACTTTAACATTGGCCATAACTTCTGAACAGTTGGTACTTGGGGTTTCAAACTTCACGTGTGTATTCTTTTTGACAAGGCCTTCCTTTGGATACCAACAACTTTGACCCTTTGACCTTGACCTTGGAGTTTGACCTACTTTTGAAAAACTTTAACCTTGGCCATAACTTTTGAACAGTTGGTGCTTGGGGTTTCAAACTTCACATGTGTATTCCTTGTGACAAGACCTTCCTCAGGATATCAACCTCTTTGACCCTTTGACCTTGACCTAGGAGTTTGACCTACTTTTGAAAAACTTTAACCTTGGCCATAACTTTTGAATGGTTGGAGCTAGGGTCTTTCATTCTTCACATATGTAATCCTTGTGACAAGACCTTTTTTTGGATTCCAACCACTTTGACCTTTTGACTTTGACCTAGGAGTTTGACCTACTTTTGAAAAACTTTAACCTTGGCCATAACTTTTGAATGGTTGGAGCTAGGGTCTTTCATTCTTCACATATGTAATCCTTGTGACAAGACCTTTTTTTGGATTCCAACCACTTTGACCTTTTGACTTTGACCTAGGAGTTTGACCTACTTTTGAAAAACTTTAATCTTGGCCATAACTTTTGAATGGTTGATGCTAGGGCTTTCATACTTCACATATGTAATCCTTGTGACAAGACCTTCCTTTGGATACCAACAACTTTGACCTTGACATTTTACTTACTTTTAAAAGACTTTAACCTTTGCCATAACTTTTGAACAGTTGCAGCTAAGGCTTTCAAATTTCACAGGTACAGTGGACCTTCAGATATCCGGACGCCAGATATTCGGACGCTTCAGTTTCCGGACAATTTTTAATGGGAATGAAAATTTTCTACGTTATTTTGTCTCGTTTAACCGGAATTCCGCGTTCCGTATCCGGATGGTCTTTTTTCACCACAAAATGAATTTTTACGTTATATTTTGGTTCATTTATCCGGACGATAATTTTTCAACTGGTCTGTCAAGTCTGCTCAAATTTCTTGATCTGGGTGTTAATTGTTGTAAAAACACTGGTCTGGCTGTTTGTTTAAATGATGATCACCTGCGACCTGTTATCAATGGCTTGCGGCAAGGTTAATTGTAGTTCGATAGGTGCGCACGAGACACTCGCTTCACTAACATGGTTTTGATACGTATTAATTAAGGAAAATAATTTTTAAGTCTAGGATAATTTTTCGTAGTCGGCAAATATATTTCTTTTACTGTTAGAATACAGTCGTAACATGGGTTTATATATTTATCAGTGTTTATAGACATGACATCGGAGTTTTTATATGCACAGTATTTTGTGCGCAAAACGCATTCTATGATTTGATGACATTTATAAAATCACTTTCAGAATTACACAATCGTTAATACGATCTCGCATTGGATGATTACGATTAGCGATCGTATACATATGCAGATTATGTCACATTAAGCATTGATAGGCGTTCATATTAAATAAGACTCTACCGACAGTACTGTACCGACATGGCTACTAGGAGAAGACACTGGGAAGTAGAAATAATTAATGTGACCATTTAAACACGTTTTTTCCCAATGACAGATGTACTTTTTTTATTTATTCAGACAAGTATTGAATAGTACTAACTTATATAAAAGTATTTAAACAATAAAACATATTGATATAAAGCAACATTCTTTACGATTGAAAATGGTATGAAAGGCCATATATAACTAAAATCAGCGCAATTCAGGTATCCGGACGCTTCACATATCCGGACAAATTGACTGGGAACCAAAGCGTCCGGATAAATGAGGTTCCACTGTATATTCCTCGAGACAAGACCTTTCTTTGTGTACCAACATTTTTTATCTTTTGGCCTGGATTTTGACTTGCATTTGAGAAACTTTAAATTTCGCCATAAGCTGCCATACAGGGGCATCAGTGTTTCACAAACACATCTTGTTTGGAATGTTTTTGTTTTGTTTGTTTTTTACACTGACTTTATAAGTGGCTATCATGTTTTTTTCTAAGCTAATGAAAATGCAATAAAGTTAGTGTTTTCCCTTTATTTTAAAGTAAAACGGTTAGAGATCAATTGTAACAGGCTATGGGTTGAGGTTTATGACAAATCTCAATGGCCATTACAACAATTAAATTTTGATTTTTTTTTTTTTAATTTCAAAGCAGCATTTTTATCAATTGAAGTGGTCAATTTTGGCCGGTAGCTGGTTCTTAGGGAAAACACTGAAAGTGTAAGTTGAGATATAAACTTTAAATGCAATGATGTGGACGAAGAAATACCTTTATGTATTGTACATGTTTTATGAGGCTAATATGCAAACTATGGGTGGAGTAGTTACAGTGTAAGATACTTAAGGACGTATTGTTTCCAAACAGTTCTAGTAACTAAATGAATCTAGCAGGAATTTGGGAATTAAGATTTTTGAAATAGTTGGTATGGAGGTAAAAATTTGGGCAAACAATTACAAGTGTCTGTTGTTTAGAGATTCGATGAATTCTCTTCCATTTGACAATGATGATGAGAAATGCAGACCCCCTTGAATTGGCTCACGGTTTTGAAGGAACTGAATCTTTTTCCAGATCTTGTTTACCTATCTCTTGAGCTGAACTTCCTGTGTAGTACTGCTGCCATTATAGGCTCTCTTGGCACAGACTATATATTGCTGATTTTTCAGATAAAGGTACTCCACAATCTGGAGAAATGTTGTACTGGAATAGCTTATATTTTCTTTCCAAATTGAAGTAGTCAATATATACATTCTATCAGGCTATTTTTGATATTCACAAGAAACATTTTAGCTTTCTTCT